TACGTACTTGTTATTTGGGAAGTAGCTGTGCGGTTCAGTTAACCTAATATACTTAATCAGTGTTCAAAGTAGCGCAATACAATAAAGCGAGTTGGATGCATACAGTGTGTCCCAGGTAGAACGCACCATAGGGAAATGGCAATGCATGAAGGATACACGAGACCTTTGGAATTAGCGTATAGCGTACTACTCCAATCTCTTTCTCGCATTAGGCAAACGCAAAACGTAACTTGACCGCAAACTTCATATCAAAGGCCTCATGGATCCTTCGCAAAAAGATCCAGTAATACTGTTTGCCTATGATGCGTTCAACCTGGGACACACGGTATATGCGGCTGTGATAAAAATAATCTCGTTATTTTGCTATCACTGTATAATTTTTGCCGATGATATATCCATTACATTGTAAATTAATAGAGTGTTCAAATTCTAACGATTGGGGTGAAATGGATTGAATGTGATGCATCCCAAAAATAATGAGCTTCAACAATATCACCAAATTCATAAATAAACGCCAAAATACAAAGTGACTTATTCGACTTACCCTTAGATTGATGCTTTATTTCACGATAAGTGGACTAGGACACAAAATGTTATACTACCACTGCTTTTATACTAATAAGTAGTGACTCACGCATACCGTCCAACTACAGAAATTAGAAAACTAAAGTAAGGAAAGCCGGCGACCATGCGTACCATATACTACGTACTTGGTACGTTATACAGTTTGTGATCGTACGCAAATGTACGTATCTACATCAGACGTACATATTTCTCTCGTGGATGTACGTACAGTGGATATTGTATACAGGGTGGTGACTTGCGTAACGCATCATAGGGATTTCAATGTAAAATTCATAACATGCGATTATTGGCTCGCCAAATTATTTTTTAGAGCAAGAATGTATTAGTTTTTTGTAGAAAAAAGTTTTTTACGCCAAACCACCGTATTAGTTTTCAATTTTTTTCATGTAAAGACGGAAAATTGGAAAAATAAAAGCCGCATCTTTTTCAATAATCTGCGATGCCATGGAATTTTCTAAAACAAAAAAAATATCCAGTTATCAATTAGCAAACTAATACAGTTGATTGGCGTAAAAAAATTGTCTACCAAAATACATTTTTGCTCTAAAATAATTTGGGAAGCCAATGATCGCATGTTATGAATTTTACATTGAAATCCCTATGCGATGCGCTACGCAAGTCACCACCCTGTATAGTGTATGTGATAGTGAGTACAGCGTTCAGAGTATGACGGTTTGAAAAAAGGCTTAAATTACATCAGAGGATCAGATGCCAGTATATGATAAAGAGACAGACGACATAGTAGAAGACATCACGATGGAAGAACTCATGGATGCTATAAAAAAGCTGAAGTTAGGAAAAGCACCAGGGAATGATCTTACCACTACGGAAATGCTCAAGAATTTAGGCACAAGAGGAATGGAAGTGCTACTCAAAATATTCAACACGGTAATAGCACAAAACTCATTACCAAAAGATTGGCAGACAGCACTGATAGTGCCAATTTATTAGAAAGCTGACCCAAAAGACTGTAATAATTACAGAGGTTTATCTTTGCTGAGTTGTACCCAAAAAGTTTATGAGTACATACTAGAAAATCGCATAAGAAAAGTCATTGAACCTACATTAAATGAAGCTCAGAGTGCCTTTAGAAAGGAGAAATGCGCGCAAGATCATATATTCACTATCAATCAAATAATCAGCAGAGCAACACAAAGAAACCAAAGTGTATATCTAGCGTTTATAGACATGGAAAAGGCATTCGATCGCGTACCAAGGGAAGAAGTTTGGAATATACTAAGACAGAAAGGAATAGACTTGAAAATGCTGCGACTTATAGAGACTATATACAAAAATAACTCTAACTATGTGATAAACAGAAATATGAAGTCAACCCCATTTGAAACTCAGGAAGGACTAAGACAAGGAGGGGTTTTAAGTCCACTCCTGTTTATAACATTCATGGATGAAATAATAAACAAATGCAACGAAAAAATAAAAGAAAAGTTTAACATAGGATATCATCATTTACGGAGTATAGAAATTTCAGAATGTGTATACGCGGACGATATCGTGATTATCGCAGGAAGTGAAAAGAGACTAAAGGAAAATTTGGACATATGGAATGCAGAATTAGAACGGCACAATATGACAATTAACAAGAAGAAAACCAAAGTAATGGTTATCACAAACGAAGGAAAAAAATTAAATATGAAGATTGGACAGGAAAACATAGAACAAGTTAGCACCTAATTATAGTTAGTTCACTTTTCATTTTCTTGGGTTTTTAAGGTAGTGCTCTACTGAGTTCATATGAACCTGGCAGAACATGTCATAAATCATAATTTAAAAAAAGGAGCTTTAATTCGGGAATAGGGCACTTAATTAGCACCTAATTAGCACTTAATTATGCAATATGTTTGAATGTGTTCTGATGACACTGCTCTGCTAGGTTAATGGACATTACATAACTACTACTTGCACAATACTAATGTTTTAAACTACCTTCAGAAGATAACTTATGCGGTTCTGGCAATTAAGAGTTTTGCTGTATTCGAGAAACTGAGAGTTTATTTTGTTTGGCCAAAACGCTTGATATCGCTTATCTCGAACGACTCCTAATCTTTGTGCGTTGTTAATCATGTATTATTGAGTACAGGGTGTACCGTAACATTCGCCATTAAGAACCGTCGATTCCAACCGACCGACCGCCCCACATACGCGAAATAAAATCTCTCGTATACCAAATAATACTCGCCTGCTATTATAACTTCGCTAAGAATTCAATTTCAACTCACTGAAAATGGTTCGCGAAAAGCAACTTCGTTCAACGATAGCAAAAATCTCACGCGCCAATAGTGTACAACTGTACTACGTGATCACAGTAATTTTCGACTCGCGAACTCAAGTAAGAATCTCCCGCTCTCCCATCTCTTTCATTATTTGGATCTCACCTGGTAAAAAAACCGAAACGGGCCTTCTTTTTTTAATGCAACGACCTCGACTAGCGACACTTTTAAACGTAAAGCTCCCTCCGACGAGATCGTGACAACCGCGCTCGCTTTCCGCAATACGTATATTGTTATCGCTAATTATCGCCAGACATACTTTCGTTCACGTTCGCTATGAAGCGGTACATGAGCGAATTTTCTTATACTGAAGAAAATAAAAACCCAAAAAAATACTTTTCTAATTTTAAAGCGACCACCCGTTGCATTGCCTTCATCTCCGGGTTCCCAGATGTTACAGGAAAATTGATTAACTAAAATAATCCATGGTGTGGCTCGAAACTTAATTAACGACGTGAGGATTCTTGCAAATACATAAGACAATAGCATGAATTAAATTACTTTTTTGCGCGATCGGTCATTTCTGACTATTTACCATGGGTGTTTCCATGACAGTACGTAGAATTTACCAGTTGCTATGATTACGACGACGCCAAAATTACTTACCGATCTAAAAACAGAACAGCAAAAATACTTACCGACGCCTTTTTAAAAATCAACAGTCTTACATTACATTTAATCTTTAATTATTGTTAGGTACATTAAACGTACAATTTGTGCTGTTGTTTCCTATAGCAAGACGCTCATAAAGTCATAAAGGAAGTGCAAAGCTAGTAAACTACATCAAAGACATGCACATTTTTATGAAATTATTAATTTCAATTTTGACATTTAAACTGGTTGCCTAGTGATGTACACCATACCACTTCGATAATTTCAATTTATTCTGCTCGTTAATTTCTTAGTGCATATTTATATTGGTTGGATAATTTTAATTTCGATCGCGCAAAAAATGTTATAAGCACGTCGAACGTTAAGGGTTACCGTTCTCAGACAATAATTGGAGTCGTCGCTCCGCTCCTCCTCCAAACAATTGTCTTCGAACGGTAAAAATCCCTTACCGTTCTCCATACTTAATATACTATAATAAATCTGTTGTCGATAATATTACCTAGATAATCTAAACCTAAAATAATAGATACCAAACACGCCGCATGCCAATTTCGTCACGGGGCGAAGTCCACGGGTCTAATTCTTACCTTCATGGTAATAAAACGCATTTCATTTGAACTGATGCACTGGTCTTATCGCAACAGAGTACTATGAATTTACAACAATAAACCTTCATAATATACCACAGATATACGTACATCTGTGATAATACGTTCTTCAAATTGTTCTGCACTAACAAATATTATGGTACTATCTCCTCCCCCTCCCCAGCATTACCAAGGGGTAGCGTTACATTGTATAATTATGGCGATATCTCAGGGATCAATTTGGTCCAAACTTTTTGAAGGAACATGGAACCATTGTGATACAAGTATTCTTACGAAAATGAAAAAAAAACCAAATGATGCTAAATTATAACTATAATTCTAAAGAAGGACATCAGTAAACAGAAACAAGTACAAAATTGTTAATGCATTTAAGTGAAGAAGTAATTTAGAAATAAGGCTTCATGGGTTGTATTTAATTCTCTTAAACGAATTAAGATTTTAGACTGTGTAATTTAGTAAAACGTAACTGCTTGAGTAGCTCGCCGTCAACATTTGCTGAAAACATTTGCGCTAATTTCTTTGTTTATTTCTAGGACGAACAATAATTATCCTCGAGACAGCGCCTTTAAATAACTAATTACAGACTGACTTAATCACTAATCAGTAATGAGCACTTGTTCTTAGAAAATATTCTGAGCAATGCCCCAATGTACATATTTTAATCGAGTAGTGTAGGTAAAGAGAGCTGCTTTGCTTTTATTTGCATATTAATTAACTCAGATTTACCGATACTACCTTGTAATAGAATAAATTAAGTTATTAACTTTCAAATAAATCTTACTTCTTTCACATTGTATCCATAAATGTAAATAAAGCTCCGTTAATTATCTGTGTCTAATGAAGGGTTTAATAAAATAACTTCTTTAGTGGTTTTACGCACATGGCGCTAATGCTATCTTTGTTTTCAGGACAGTGACAGAGAAAGCAGTATTAGCTCGCCCGAACCAGGCTCTATGATGGGAATGGACGGAGACACAGATTACTATAGACCCCAGAAACTAATTCAAAATTGTATAGATTCAAGTCAAAAAGAACATCGGATATCACCGCCAATCACCTCAACGGCTCACCTCAATGGAACCAGTATGACTTTCTGCAAGTGTAAGTTGCATTTTGTAACTCTTTATGTTGCAGTGGCTGGATTTTCCTTTCAAAATTATCAAAACTTGGCTTCCATGCAGCAAACTCTTCCACAGGCAGCTTCTTTAACGAGTGATATGGCTTCCGCCTCAAGTCCAGTGGCAAATGCACCTCTTAATCTAAGCGTAAACGCCACAGGTATATTGAGTACTCAAACGAACCGTTTTACAATCGGTTCCAATTTTAGCGACAAATTGTGGTAAAAATTCTCCCTTGGATAACAGTCTATTATGTGGCACTCTTCCCTCGCAACAGAACAGTTCAACTTTACCTTCTTCTCTAGCATCGCAGCAACCGGCTCCGATGCCTCAATTTATTTTGGCATCCGGCCAATTGGTACAGGGCATCCAAGGGGCGCAGCTACTCATTCCTACTTCCCAAGGTATACAAATTGGCCACCTTCATAGCACTTTTAATTATTCTGTTTCAGGTTTAGCCACGCAGACAATCTTAACAATTCCGGTGAACCATGTAAATAGCAGTGATCAAATGGTTAATTTAGCTTTAAGTAATGGACAGGTCGTCACAACATCCTTAGCAAACTTACAAAGCATGGCACAAACGAACTTGCTTAACCAACCAAATAATTCGGGTAGGTTTATTGAAATGTTAACGGAACGAGGAAATAACCCACAGTTCTCCGTAGCAGCGACAACAAACGGCAATATTACTCCAAGTTTACTTAATCCGACAGCACTATCGCACCTGATCGCAAACGGATCCGCTCAACAGTTCCTCCAAACCTTACCTCAAATGTTGAGCAGCCCGCATCCCACCAACCAATCGGCTCTGATAAACCCGTTAACCCCCAACTTACTTCCAACTCCATCCCCCATACTTCCAACGCCTCCAACTCAATCGTCCTCGCAGCCCGTTCACAGAAATCACCTGATCAACCAAATAAATCCAAACCAGTACGATAGTAAGGTCCACCAAGCCAACATACCCAGAGGTAGCTCATCGCCAACGGCCGGCAACTGCATAAATCGGGCACCGACAAGCAACGGCGACCTCTCGATAGCATCGCACGGCTCAAACTCTAGTCAAAGCTTAAAAAGATCTCCGTCCTCTCTGAGCTTATCGCCGAGCTGCAATGATAATTCAACGGCGGATTTATTAGTAGACTCCCCGAGTAAGTAGACATGAAAACCTCATTGTTGGTTTACAATTTACAAGTGCCTCCTCTAATAGAATGAAAGAATTTATCTCCATTACTCTTTTATTATGGTAATAACAACTTTATAGCGTTCTATTGGCTTAATTAATATGACTACAAATGATTAATTGTGGAATATTGTATCACAAACAGTTGTAGAAGATTACTATTTAATTATTATTGATGCTTTTTATGTAATTTAATTAGTTGTCTATTAAGTTAATTACCTTCATTTTTATTAAGACCAATCATTACAATTACGCAATTAGGGAGACGGATGGATAGTAACGCACAATTTTCTTACAGATCAGCCAACAATAAATCAAACTAACAGTAACGTTGTTGACGGAATAAATTTAGACGAGATTAAGGAATTTGCTAAAGCATTTAAACTTAGAAGACTTTCCTTAGGATTAACGCAAACTCAAGTAGGGCAAGCTTTAAGTGTTACCGAAGGCCCGGCGTACAGTCAAAGCGCTATCTGCAGGTAATCTTTCATTTTATTACTAACGCAAAATCGGTGCGCCAGGACATTGAACATACAGTGTGTCGGTGACAAACAGCGCAAATGTCCCACTCCGTCTACTGAGGATTGAAGACAGATGCGCCGTTTGTTGCAAATTAACTAACAATACGTGAGTAATAGTTGATTTGTTCCCAGTGCCCTGGCCTCTCAGATGATTGCCGCCGCGCAGCTTTCCTCTCAGCAGCAAGCCATGTATGTCACATTTAATTAATCCTACTTTTACTGCACAAAATTTCACTAATCTCTTATGTTGTAAGCTATTGTTGTGTAGCCAGGGCACTGGCATATTTTCTTTTGGTAATTTACAATTCAAATTTTGTTTCAAAACGTTTCTATCAAGGGTTGATATGTCAGTGTCCTGTGCCATTCATTCATTCTTTCACTACATCTAATTACGTCCGTTACCTCTAGGTTTGAAAAATTAGATATTACGCCCAAAAGTGCGCAGAAAATTAAACCTGTTTTGGAGAGATGGATGAAGGAAGCTGAGGAAAGGTGAGTTTCATTACACGTGTTCAAATTTTAATTTTTCAACATTTTCCTCCTAAATGTGGCGAAAACACCACTGGATATTCAAATAAAACAATTTTCAATAAACACCAACCAAAAAGCACAAAAAGACTTAATTAAAACGAAAGCATTCGCTTATGAGGACAAGTTTGGTGTCAAAGCGTGTTCGTTGTGCTTTTTTGGTGTTTGTTGCAAAGAGCAGTTAGAAGTTTCTTCTTGAATTGTCCAAGAAATCCTTATTGTTAATCATAGCCTTTAAATGGCCCAGGCGTTAACCTAGTACCTATACGAAATAGAGATTTAGCTGCATTAATCGGGACCAAATCAAGGAACAACAAATGTGTTTATCATTGCAGAGTTTAATTGTGTTAAAGAAAGTAATTCATCGACGTTAATGCTATTTGAGCTTTGGGCGCCATACCTGCTAATTTAAGAAAAAAATTTATTTAAAATGAATTTATTGATTCAATTCAGCTCGTAATTCCCCTAATAACCATACGCGACAGTCTCTGAATGATAGATTATCCATAAGGCACAATATTTTACAGGCCCGTAACCAGGGGGTGGCCCAGCCCCTACTACACCACAGTATGGTCTGGCCTCGTCTATACAATGTATGGTTTATTTTTCTGTCTTGGAGAGGATAAATAAACCTTAAAGGATAGCAATGACACATCAAAGGTTGCCCAATTTGTCATTCCTAGCCTTTGAAAAAGAAAGAACACAAAAAGTTGATTTGCAGAAGGTACTCCAGTAAATTAATAACTTGAAAAATAAAAAATTACAGTTATTTTGAATACAAACTTCGTTATCAATGTCTTAAGCCCCACCTAGAAAACTGTTTGCCACCTCTCCTACTTTATCCTGGGGCGGGCCCGATTTACGGCTTGAGGCCCTAAACGGTATAGTAATGAAGACATAGGATTCCGCCTGCTACAGGAATCGATGGGTCTAATAAAACCTAACAAGAATATGTTATAGTAGTTTTCGCACATCATCGGTATATTACATCCGAATTATGTATGTTTACATAGTATCTGCAATTGATAGAACAGAATAAGCAGGTATGTAGGAAGCCATACGAACAGTGCTGCATTGTCGTTGGTCTACTGTAGATTGTAGAAGATCGTTGGTGTAATGGGTATACTAACCACAATGCAGCACTATGCGTATGGTTTCCTACATACTTATTCTACTCTATCGATTGCAGATACTATGTAAACATTGTAATTCACCGATGACATGCGTGCAAACGTAGGAAAATGCTCTTGTTTCAAACATTTTATTGTTCTGATAATGACACTAATTGAGTCATTTAAAGTTTGGCAAAAAATTTCCGTTGAGTTAGTCCCGTGTGTGTGGAAAATTAAATGAGGTGAATTTATTTTTTCATTGTATGTTCTAGATTAGTGAAGTAAATCAGAAAACTTACAAAGAAAGAGCCATCTGACTTATCTTTAAGGAGGAAAAATGCGTCTGATGGCAAGTTTTGAACTCATTTTTTCAACTTCCAAACATGTTTTCCATGTCTTCTTTTTTAAATTTTAATATTCATTTTTTTGTGTAAAAAAAGTGAAACGTATTGTAAATTCACTGCACTGGTTAAATTGCGAAGCAAGTTCGTGGTGGTCCAACGTAAGGAAGACGGATAAAGTAGGTTTAGTCTATCACACTCAAGTGTATTTATTTCCAAAAGCAGGGCATACAGTAATAGATACAAAAATATGTCCCACATACACACAAAAAACAAATCATTTCAATGAAGCAAATTTTGCGTTGACCGAAGCACATATATGTTTGGATAGGGCCAACTACATGTGTATTTCAGTCTAAGTGACAATATATTTAGGCTATGATGCAAATTTTTATTAACTCAGACACAAATCAAATTGATTTAACCTATTCTTTCTGCTAACCTCGCAATTTATTTGGTTTAAATACATTGCGCCTAAATTGCAAGTATCGACGTGTTTGAATTAAAAACCATATTCTAGATCAAAATTTAAAAATATTTAAGGTAAATATATCATTTAAATATTGTGCTGTTAAGGGGAATTTCCGTAATATCCACAATATCACAAATTAAATACATAATAAAAATGCAATATGAATATAATTCATTTATTCAGAACTTTTTAGAAACAAATCAGAACCCAGTCATAACGTACGGGGTTTTTGGTATCTAGAGGGCCAAAATCGTAATTTTTAAGATTTTTATTTTCATACAACCTTTTATTTTGGCTCCCCATAGTTACCGGGCACCCTATGTACAAGAAATAGATATAGGTAAGTATAAAAACTTAAAAATATAAAATTCCACATGTGATAAAGGAATAAGAACTTACAAAATATTCTCTCAGAAGTACACCTACATAAAAACGGCAGGTAACTTAAAAATATAAAACAAAACCAAAACACTCAGGATGAAACGCACTATCTACGCACTTGCAAGAAATTTTTTCGGTGTCGCAACGCAAAACTTCGAACGTGTAAAGAGCAACCGAGTCGAATTTACGACATGTTTTTATTGGAGGGGGAAATATTTATGCACCCATGCGATGCGATTGAAATGAATTCATTTCATTCCAGAGATTTATTTAGTTACTTGACTCAAAACGTCAAGTTTTTTATATTAAATACAGGAAAAGTTAAATTCATGTACTGGTTTATTATGTTACACAAATGAACAACATGTTTAAGCGAATTGTGTGGATATTTATGTGAAACTCCTCAAAGCAAATTGCTTGAGTCAAATATAATATTTTTGAATCAAAGTTAATCCAAGTCAAATATTTTGTGACGAAACATCAATTACATCGATTTATTTGAGTCAAAATAATTATTTTTGATTTAAATCCAATTTGATTATTTTAAATTAGTCTTTACTTCTTTTAAAGAAATACGAGTCAAATACATGATGAATTTGTCGTTAAAGTACGATTTTTTTCTGTGTAGCATTCGGTATGTTATATATGTATATATGTACCTTTTAAGTCCAAAATGTGCAGGGAACCCTATGTATCTTATGTACACACTATGTACGTTCATTATGGACATGGACATAGTAGGGTATTTTATGTTCAGTATGACTATTCTATAAATATACGTTTTGGATGTGATATGGATCTTCAGGTACACAAAGTACATAACATATATGCCTTTTAAATCCAAAACATACATGCAGTATCACGTACTTTGCATTATCTTATGTATATTAAAAATAGGTACACCTGGTCATATACCCTACATCATCTCTAGATGATAGGTATTCTATGTATATACATGGTATATAGATAGGTACCATCGTTAGCCTCGCGTTTTCTGTGAATTACGGCGATGAATAATAAATTGCATATTGCAAATACAGTCCATTTTTGTAAAATTGACAGTGTTATTCGGAGTTAAAATGTAACATAAATAAAATAAGCAGGGACAAGACTATCTGACTACTACCTACTTTGGTTTGCCACTTGTTCGACAAATCACATTTTTAGTGCATTTTTTGTTTAAAAAAAAGTGCTATGGTCGGCGCATTGTTCCTCCGTCCGTTCATCCGGCCGGACCCCCATCTTTCTGATCTGACGGAAATGCCAACTACCTCCTTCCTTCATGACTTTCTATCGAGATTGTTTATAATTATTCAAACCTGTATGAGCGTATATTCAAGAGCAGAATAATGTCTCGAAAACAAGTGTTGTAAAGGTGCCATGTTGGAAAACGATCTGCAATTAAAATGTTAAGGTTTTTTTTAAATATCTTACATTAATTAAAATTGAAAATTATTAAAAGTTGTAAACCGCAAATTAATAATAGACAATTTAAAAATCAAAAACCATACACGAACAATTTTTTTAACAAAATAATTGAAACAACGATTTATAGAACCGTGCAAGTGCAAGTAACGATGCAATCTGATCCTATAATCGCTCACAACGTGTTACTCGCGAACCGAATTGCACTCTATTCATTGAAAGAAGTTCCTTGTTATATTATTTAAATTTTCAGAAACAAAACGGAAATAATTCACCACTTCTACCTAACTAAATTATTTAACTTGAGTTGCCAAACTTCAATATGTAAAATTAAAACGTTACGCTACGATTAACTGTCTAATACTAACTAAACCTTAGTTCACGCTACATATTTCATTATAAGTATCTCTTATCTAACTGACAGATCTCTCATATTAAGCTACGGTAACAACAAATAATGTTTTTGTATTTGCGTTACTATTATTATTCACCCAATCAGACAATGAAGTCCGCGGACAAAGTATGTACCCCTTTGGAGTGAACATTAATTAACAACCCATTCCTTATTTAATTCAAATTCTTTATTGCCTTAATTCTTGCTTTATAAACAATTTTTCGTTTCTATTTCTTTTACACCACTTTTTAGTTTTGTATTGAGTTTTATCATATTTCTCTGATTTCAATGACTGATTAAACGATTAGTGCGTATCATAGAACAAGAGGCAACAAACATGCCTTTTCTCCAAAAACAACAATGCTAATAGTAACACAATATTTATCCCCCTCTGCTTAAAGTTGAAATTAAATATTGTGTAAGCTCCAGTCACTAACTTTGTTCATGCACTTGGTTTTCGTTATCTCTCCTCATCTATAACCTTTATTTTCTTAAAAAAATCTCTCTCTTTACCCTCAAATTATTTTGCACCCTACTCATCACTTGCAAAATTATCATTTTCTGGTGTCCTAATATTTTTCCTTTACTAACTTTCTCTGGATCGTTAGTAAAACCTATTTATACGTGCCTTGTTTAAATTAATTTTTACTAATCTTCTTGATGTAGTGCTCCATTTTGTTATTTGGAAATTATATATTGAAAGGTATGAAAGCGGTTGAAAGAAATATCTTTATGTTCTACCTCTACATTTCTTTTCATCTTTTTATTTTTATCATTTTCTCTTGCTTTATTTTCGTTATACTTTGATCTGCGTTTTAGAAACAATCATAGGTACCTTTCATTTCCTTGAGTTTTTGTTACAATCACCTTTTATGGCACCATTTCTGTTTTTGTACAGTCTTTTTTATCATTGTAATAAAATTGAAGCACTTGCGAGATTCGTCTTTTCTCGTGTATATAAATTTATTCACCATTCGCGTAAGAATATGTAGAATTTTTCCACTACTTAGCAATAACAACATAATTTCGGGCATCCCAAGACTAATTTACGTATACTGCGTGCGTGCAGTTATTTCCCAGATGTAGTCAAAATACCACAACCAGGTAAAGGCTCCTCAGAAATGCTAATAAAATGTTAATTTAATTCAATTTAACAATTTAGAAGAAATAGTTTTTTATTATACATAATTATGGGAAATTACGACTAAACAATTTGTTCCGAATTTTAATTGCCGACAGCCTCATAAATATTAATTAGATATTCCGCCATTGGTACAAGGAACACGATTATTAAATAACGCAACAGTTTTTATTCCAGATATAAAAGTGGACAGAACCATTTGACAGATTTTATTGGAGTTGAGCCGTCGAAGAAACGAAAAAGAAGGACGTCGTTTACCCCACAAGCGCTCGAGCTACTTAACGCACATTTTGAAAGAAATACGCATCCTTCAGGTTAGTTCTCGGGCAAAAAGTTTGATTAAAACTGACGCTCTGATTAGGTACGGAAATCACCGGACTGGCACATCAGCTGGGCTACGAGAGGGAGGTTATAAGGATATGGTTTTGTAATAAAAGGCAAGCACTCAAAAATACGGTCCGAATGATGTCGAAAGGTATGGTATAAATGAAGCCTGTGATTTGGACCTTTTATTTTTGATATGCCCAGTAGTGTAGTTGTAGACTGAGACTAATTTAAGTGATTAAGCCATATTAAATTCAACGTAATTACCTAAATTATACAAATTGTGATGAATTTAATAGCAATTCTGATTGAATGTATACGTTTTCAGAAAATTACTATCATTGAATCTAATGATAAATCAACAAATGACCAAAATGTGTGATGTCTATGCCAGCTACAATCTATTGTAACATAGAAAATAAATGCAATTTGTACATTTCCACCTAAATTAAGAAGATTTACATTCAAGGTAGAACTCATTATCTTAATTGCATTTTAATTACATCATTAATATTGTGGCTATATTAGGAGTCCTGTGTTATTATTTTAATTGACCTCCGTCGACCTTTTGTTAAAACAATCACTCACTCATTTGTGTTTGTTTAACTGATTTTAATGCAAAAAAATAACTGTATTGTGATATGGCCTCATCCATTTATTAACTGGATCTTCCAATATTTATTTTTCATTTTTTCTATTGCGTATTATAAAATATCTACTAAATCTACTTATACTTGTAAGCGTTATTTATTTTATTTGTTTTTCTTTTCGTATTTATTATAATATTAAGTAGAGGATTTTAAATCCTTGAATGAAACCAAAGTTCCTATTAGTGAGTAAGAGTAAATGTTGTAAATATTAGATATCTAAATTTTTAGGATATGTCTTCTCTAAAGTCTGTGTCAGATAGAATAGTTGCGAATTATTACTAGCGATACCTCGATATAGTGTGAATGACAAATTGTAAATGTTCTTGTGATGTAGCTGTATTAAAGAGTAAACAATCATTGTGCTAAGTAAAACGTTTAATAAGAAACTATCGTGTTCTCTCAATCCCTTGTTGTTGTTCTTGTTCCGGGGCTGTCCTACGCCGTATAAGATCACACCACAATGAAAAACCTTAAACTGGACGACTAGTAGTGGTACAGGCAATAGCGTTCATTTTCCTTCTGAAACATGCGCTAAAAACAAGTTTGCTCTATGTTGACTGGACTCGAGGAGTAAGTATGAACAGACGATCCGCGCACTAAGGTCTAAAAGCCGTCTTACACTGTACAATTTCTTGCACAAGATATATTGCACAAATTAAATTGCATAGTATCATACAGGAAATTGCATGCAAAATTACATTGCAACAAGTTATTGCATCAAAAATAGAACAGGTGCTATTTTTTTATGCAAGTTTCAATGCAATTTTATAATGCGCGTGTGCCGCGCCTTGAACATGTGTTTTCAGATCAGCTGTTTGGCGTTTTTGTTTGACAAAATGTCAATTCCTTCATTTAATTATTTGTGCTTCATTTCTTGCACAAGAAATTGTGCAATTTCTTGCGCAACAAATTGCATAGTGTAAGACGGCTTTTATCTTAGATTTGCAGTACTTAACTGGCCTGTTACCTAAAACGAGCATATCTACAAATTTTTATTAATTTTGTTTTATTTAATACTAGAAATACCAGCCCCCACGGGTTTGTGTGACATCCTACGTCAACGATCAGAAATAGTCTGCCGAAATGTAGAAATATAAAATTAAAAAAATTTGCATCGACCGGGAATCGAACCCGGGCCGCCCGCGTGGCAGCTACAACGAACGACGACTACTACAGGATTTGTTCATTGCAACTGGGATGTCCCATCCAGTAGTTTACCATTGTGCAAGTTCAGCAACTTTACCAATGTCTTCTGCTTAGGTTGTGCAGCGGTGAGTAGGAGGTCAGATCTGAGGGCTTGGTCCATTTCGATTTTCCCTTCCGAGCCTTAGCATTTGGAGTGTAACGTACAACATATCCTCTCAAAAACAAGTTCCTTTTGATCCTTGCTCCAACGTCCGCAGCGGTGACAGATACACTGTCACCGAACAACAGACCATGGACGCTGTAGAATATCCATTTCACCGACGACGATCCAACAACCTACGAACCCGTCCGCACCGAAATTTGTTCCGGAGTTATAAACATATTATCCAAGCAGGACTAGGTGGTAACTGAATCAAGAATCCCAAAAAAACACAGCTCCTGGACTAGACCGAAATTCATGGCATGATTGTAAGGACTACTGTATAGGTTATTTTCCTATCAGTCGAAACACTGGCAAATTGGTGATAACTGCCCCGTGAGTATACTGGTGATCTTCCTAATCTGGTTTCTATCCAGTTTTAGAAGCTTAGAACCACTGTGCCTGGAATTGACTGATCTTTAATCTTGGCCCACACAACGGAGAGAGAAATTCCTACGGTAGGCTATGGCCCGATGAAAACCCAAACATTGCTTTCGCGAGTCATCTAGTTCGCCCCCCATTCCGCTGCTACCCAGATCAAGCCTCCCTATTACTTGCTTCGGTGATATTAGACAGGTCATGCCGGCTAACATCTCAGCCTGAAACACGATGTTATGCTAACCAAAGGAGAGGCTGATGTCAGCTCTCGGTTGATCACCACATATACCCATGAGCGGTTAGGGATCGACTCGTCTGGAAACCACACGAATACCCCAGGTCTGAGGAATGGGCGATCTGAGTTCACCCACTGCTCTCTGTCCAGGAGAGTGACTGTATTCCGCCTTGGCCTTAATAAAACAGCCCGGATCACATCTCTTCTTGCGAGGATGGGATCGGACCTAAGGGTTTCCTCTGCCAGGTCAGTCTGTCCATACGCAGGGTTTACTCGTCCCATTCGTTTAGCCGTATGGAAGCCTTCCGGGCCTCTGCTCTAGAAATGCCTCCATGGGCAAAGTTGGCGTGGTGTTCATGGCTCCAGTGCCTCCAGTGGCTCTCAGGCAGACGAGCCTCTGCACCTTACCTAGCTGCTTCCTGTGGGTTGCCCTACGCATGGCAAGCCACCATGCAAGTACACGTTACAGTATTATTAGTCTTATCACTACACTAGCCGAGGATTCAAGCCCCATGTAGCGGGTGACCCAATAAGACTGTTCCTCGGCCATATCTCGGGAACCGTTCGTCGTATGGCTTAGGGGTAAAAAAATTATTGGGTAAATCGGTTTTGAAGAATCGATGGAAAATATTTTCAAGTTCTAAAAATGACCAACAGAGGGCGTGACTGCCATCTTACATTTTAAAATTGCATTTTCTTTAAATTTCGCATAATAAACTAAACATTATTTTTTCACATTTTTAAAGAGAACCAGTTTATCTATCATTTTCGTAAAAATAAAAACTCAGTTATTTCAAAAACAAAGATCTTGTGGGGCGTTTAAATGTTTTTGCAATAACCTGCTTTAACTTCTTAACGGTTTGACCGATTTCAACAAATTTGGTATCGTTGAAAAGAGCATTCCTTGGGCAACAAGAATCAACCATAGTCATAATCAAATATAGTTGATTTAGTGGAATCCTTCTCCGCCAGGGGGCTATACTTTTGACACTATGATCCAAAATCCTAAAAAAATCAAACGGAATGATATGAGTCTTTCTTTATAAAAAAAGTAGCCAAATAACACCTAAAGAGGCCAGTGAAAACCGTTTTTCAAAATATCGTCCCTAACCTCAAATATTGGGAAAATGAGATTAATTAATTAATGCTTAAATTGTGTCTTATTTTGATTACTATTTGACGTATTTCCGGTATTTGTCGATGGCGCGAAAGATTGTTTGAAAAAGAACCCTAGACTTTTAGGTAGGCCTTGAAAAATTAAACAAATGAAACACGATGCATTAAAAAATAATAACAGCCGTAATTTGTAAATTATTCTGCATTCAGAAAGTGCAGTTTTTTGAATTTGTAATCTTTTCTAAAATGCCGATTTCTAACCTAGAAGCATTTAATATGATGGCGCCGATGGTTCGTGGTCGATTCGGATAACGCAAATAGAAGATGCGGGCAGCGATGGTCGCATTTTGAAAATACTCAAAATATATCGCCAGCATATTAAATGCTTCTTGGGTATAAATCGGCATTTTAGAAAAGATTGCAAATTCAAAAAACTGCACTTTCTGAATGTAAAAACAGCAGAATAATTTACAAGTTACGGCTGTTATTAGGCAATTTATAATGCATCGTGTTTCATTTGTTTAACTTTTCAAGGCCTACCTAAAAGTGTAGGATGCTTTTCTTTCGCGTCATTTTAATTAATTGATTAATTAATTTCATTTTTCCAATATTTGAGGTTAGGAACGAGATTTTGAAAAACGGTTTTCATTGGCCCCTTTGGATGTTATTTGGCTACTTTTTCATAAAGAAAAAATCATATCATTCCATTTGATTTTTAGCGCATTTCCACAAAAATAAAAAAAAAATGCGCTATTGTGGCCACTTTGTCCGTCCGTCCGTCCGTCCGCTAACTTTGCGACGCTACTAGTTTTTTATCTTAAGAGCTATTGTTCTACTTTTTTTGCTATTTGGTTCGTTATGGTGTCGAGTCTTGTACCAAGGAAGGAATTTTTTCTGTACCGCTTACAAAAAAAGTTATTGTAAAAAAACAAAAAAACCGTTTTTTACATGTTCCATAATTTTACACTTTTGCCGTTTATTAACGATCCTAGAGATCGTTTATAATTTTGCATTGCTATCTCTCGCCTGCCGGTTGATCTCTCCGTCTGTTCCTTTGTCTGTCCATCTATCTGTCCGTGTGAACGATAACTTTGTTTAGAAATGTTCGATCGCTTTTACATCTCCGTTAGTTATGAACTGAATTGCATGAAATTCAATATGGGCATAGCTTTAGCCACATAATACGCAATGCCAAAAGTTGAATCGAATCGATTCAAAATTCACAGTGCCCTTTTCGCATCTCGACCATTTATAAGCCGAATTGCAAACTTTTTTACTTATAAAAGTATTTGAATGAAATTTGATACATAGGCACTTGGGATAAAGGAAAATCAAACGCAATTTCAAAATTTGGTTTTGCGCATGCGCAGTGCCAACTTTTTTATTTATGGAAGAATTTAAACGAAATTTGATACATAAGCACTTCGAATAAAGGGAAATCAAACGCCAATTTCAAAATTTGGTTTTGCGCATGCGCAGTGCAAACTTTTTTATTTATGGAAGAATTTAAACGAAATTTGATACATAGGCACTTGGGATAAAGGAAAATCAAACGCCAATTTCAAAATTTGGTTTTGCGCATGCGCAGTCCCAACTTTTTTATTTATGGAAGAATTTAAACGAAATTTGATACATAGGCACTTGGGATAAAGGAAAATCAAACGCCAATTTCAAATTTGGTTTTGCGCATGCGCAGTGCCAACTTTTTTATTTATGGAAGAATTTAAACGAAATTTGATACATAGGCACTTGGGCTAAAGGAAAATCAAACGCCAATTTCAAAATTTAGTTTTGCGCATGCGCAGTGCCAACTTTTTTATTTATGGAAGAATTTAAATGAAATGTGATACATAGGCACTTGGAATAAAGGAAAATCTAGTTTCAAAATTTTATTTTGCGCATGCGCAGTGCCAACTTTTTTATCTATGGAACTATTTAAGTGAAATTTGATACTTAGGCGCTTGGAACAAAGGAAAATCTAACATTAGTTTTAAAATTTAGGTTTGTGCATGCGCAGTTCCAACTTTCTTATTTAGAAAAGCATTGAAATGAAATTCTTCTCATAAACTGAAATTGAAGTAGCACGTCAACAATGGATTGCCCATGTGCAACGTTATCTTTTATATTTGTGGCGATTTTACGATTTTAACAGAAGTTGCATCTTACAAATGGGAAATGAATGCAAGTGGAAATGCGCTTTATGTAAATCGTTTACGATTACTTTTTAACTTGTTTTATTTTTTTAGGGTTTTGAGTCATAGTGTCAAAACTAACCCCCTGGCGGAGAAGGATTCAACTAAATTTACTATATTTTTGATTCTCATTGTCCAAGGAATGCTCTTTTCAACCATACCAAATTTGTTAAAATCGGTCAAACGGTTGAGAAGTTAAAGCAAGTTATTGCAAAAACAATCGAACGCCCCACACCATCTTTGTTTTTGAAATAACTGAGTTTTTGTTTTTATGAAAATGATAGATAAACTGGTTCTCTTTAAAAATGTGAAAACAATTTTTTTAGTTTATGCGAAATTTAAAGAAAATCCAGTTTTAAAATTTAAGATGGCAGTTACGCCCCCTGTTGGTCAATTTTAAAACTTGAAAATATTTTCCAGCGATTCTTCATGACCGATTTACCCAATAATTTTTTTACTCCTAAGTCATATAACGAACGGTTCTCGAGATATGGTCGAGGAACAATCTTATTGGGTTACCCGGTACAGTCATAAGCCCTTCTACATGCCCATAGAAATATGATCTTTTTGCGTATTCGCTCAATGTACCCCCTTACCGGTCCAGCGGGAGTTTATGATGACCTGCTCAGACGCAGTTGACGTCCTCGAAGAGTGAGCCCATCAAGGTCAGCTCTTCTTCTCTTCCTAAATGGAGCAACCTCGGTCTTTTCCGGGTTAACGGCCATGGCTACTGCATCACCTCTGCATGACCTCTTTTACGGTGTTCGGAAACTTTCGAGTTATGACGATCGCGAGATCCTCCGCATATCCTTATGTATACGATCCATCTTCCTTCAGAGTGCGGAGGAACCCGTCTAGCACCAGGCACCACAACAGTAGAGACAACACTCCACCCTGTGGACATCCTCTCTAATGACCGAGGAGCTCATCTCCGTTGTCCCGATTGACGATATAATGACTCTGCTTCCGCACATGGCCCGGATCCATCTTACGATCGAACCATATCAATGCCATCCTTCAGCAGCAGCTTCACTAATAGAATCGAACGTGGTGTTGATAAACGCGATCCTCCTTGCGATCCTATCCAAAGTCTGAGTTCCACCAAGGTGTTCGTTTCTTGAAAAGTCCGCAGTTTACAGCTGTCTTCATAGGCGTCGTTTACTAATGCGACGCCCTCTTTCACCTGCTCTGCTTTCCGACAGAGCAAAGGTGGCTCGTCGAACCGCTCTGACAGTTTCGTCACACAGCCGTCCCCAGTCAGTGGATAGGGAATTCCTAAACCTAGATGACCTGCAGCGAGATGCCAGATTTAATTCGAAAAAAATGTGCCTGTGGTCTGAAAGCGATGATTCATCAGACACCATCCTACTCATCCACCAATGATGTACTAGAACTAGGTTTTCCCCTCCCGTAGTGACGTCGATAAGTCAAGTGACGTCACATGCTGAAACTAAATTCTTTTTCCAAGCGCAAATTTAAAATCTTGGAACTTTTTCATTTGTGGAGGTATTGTAATGATTATTTCGTGTTTTTGTTTCTTCGCCATTCAATCTGATAGTCATGTCCCCCACTACCTCGGGTCGTAATGTTTCATGCGAATTCCTGGAGATTGTGACCAAAGTGGACGTTATGACAAAAAGGAAACGAAGAATTGGATGTTCGGATTTACACCGGTGGCGGTGGGAGATATATTAATAATAATAATAATAATAATAATAATAAATGCCTTTATTCACTAGGAATGGGCGAGGTTCAGCAATGACATGTATGCCATGTGCTGCTCTTCCACCTAACCCGATATAACATATAGAAATTAATATTGATATGGCCACAGATAAAACATAAACATGTAAAAAATTAAAGAAAGAATATCTCCAGTGAACACTAAGGTACATAATTATTTATATACATATATAGGTAGGTATATTATTGGAATTAATGGGACACGAAAACAAGCAAAGATTCAACTGAAGGGAGCAATTAAGTGTATAAAAATTAATTTTTATATAAGAAATGCATTCTCAGCCTTTTTTTTAAAATTAACTTGGCTTAATGTTTTAAAATCAGATGGTATCTTGTTATACAGATGTGCAATTTGGTAACTAAAGGATCTCTTGAAAAATTCATGTTTGTGCGACGGAGAAGTTAATATTCCTCTGTAACGTAAATTCAGATGATGTACATCTGTCCTGAAAGTTATTTTTTTATATAAGTATGCTGGACAAGCATCTTTTATAATTTTGTGATACAAACAAGCAGCATGGAATATCCTGCGATCATTCATGCTTAACCATTTCACCGTTTCCAACGTATGCGAAATGTGACTGTATTTCCTGATTCCAAAAATTAATCTTAAACAAGCATTTTGCAAGATTTGAATTTTTTTATTTCTATGCTTTTTAATGACGGACCATACACAACATCACAATAATCTAAGCTCGACAGGACCAAAGATTCGCACAGTACCACTTTAGTCTTTATATTTAAAATATCGCGATTAATATAAATAGCTTTTAAAGCAGCATAACCCCGTTGGATGTTTTTTGATATTTGCTGAGTGAATCGCAGTTCACTATCTATGATTACACCGAGATTCTTAGCAGATCTTTGAATTACTAGTTTATGACCACCTACATATATATTCGTTTGAGCAGACAAAATCTCCAAATCACTAGAATTTGCAAATAACATAACAACTGATTTTCTCATGTTTATGTTGAGGCAATGGTTTGTAGATGTTTCAAAAATGTTTTGTAGGTCACTATTTACAGTTTCACACGCCTTCACTATGTCTCTTGGAAAAAACGAAAAATATATCTGAGTATCGTCAGCATATAGGTGATATTGGCAATCTTTTAGAACAGAAGGGATAGCATGTGTGTAAATTAAATACAGTAAAGGCCCTAATATGGATCCCTGAGGGACCCCTCTTTTGATATTTAAGTACTTTGATGCCTGACCATTGCAAAATACTGATTGCTGACGATTATTCAGATAACTATTAATTAGTGAAATCCCAGATTGCGAAGCCCCAATATAATGTAGTATAGCCAGCAATACCTCATGCGAGATCGTATCGAACGCTATTCACCTAAAGGTCACCTAAAGTAGTAAACCTTATGACCAAATCCAGATTGGTGAACGTTGTGACCATCGTTGGACGTCTTAGATCCAATAGTAACGTGAAAACGAATCAGATACACAGTAATTATTAATTAATTATTAACCAAACATTTTGATTATTTCTTTTTAAATTCATGAGAAAACCAAGGCCTAAAATAAGTGCAATCGTCTTCTTTAGCAGGAGCATAAGCAAAAAAACAATCTCGAAAATTAGGGGTGGGCAACTCGTACGAAAAAGTAGAAGGAAAAAACTCCCGAGCTTCGTTGATTGCCACCTGTTTCACTTGACGATAGTAAATATTCTCCTTGGTAGCGGCCTACAAATCATTGCAAAAATAAGCATACCAAAAACTTACGGCATCGCAACGTACAATTTTCCGGACACTATAAGCGTGCGCCCAAGTGTACTGCCTTGCTTTTTGTGTAGACATGTCCAATCTAGCTCCTGCCGTAATGCTTCTATCGCAGTAAATCAAGTGGTTCCAATGGCGCATACTTTCCTCATAAAAAGTTAAACGGTCCTCTTGTGTCCAATATCTGCGACACCGCATGTCCATCCACAACCTGAAGATCGGCAAACTCCAACTGTCGGGCAATTTTGCTAGGGGAAACCCATCGTCCGCCATTATACGAAGTGCTGTCTAAAATTAACTTTGAGCTAATGATGTTTAGTTGGGCTGTCACCTTTAGGATGTTCATCTGATCGTCGTAATTCGACGGCATTTTGTTTAAAATGATAAACCTATATAAATCTGACATTTCGGAATCGCTTTCTGGTTCGTCCTCAATTTTTCCACAGGCCTCGTCGCAAACCGGTGGCGGCTTAGTGCAGATGCATGTAGCTTGTATAGCATCCCCCGTCAGGTAAATGATTGAATTACTGCACGGATCTTCACCTCCGCACTCGCATTTAGGCACGTTTGCAGCACCACTTTCGATTGCGAGTTGAACATCTTCGCCCCCATTTACAATGGTTGATCTTACAGTCGAGCACATTTGCATCGTCGTTTGGTCTTCAGGTTTGGAATCCTCAACTTGTTCCTCTATCTAAAATCAATTACATAATTCGACTGGACAAGTGGCTAGCATTACCGCGGGTAGTTCAGCTTCTTGAAACCTGGGATCATTTGTAAGTTCTTCTTGAGCCCTGGGATCATTTGTAATTTCTTCTTGAAACCTGGGATCATTTGTCATTTCCAACATATACTCGTGAACGTCTATCCGCATCTTCTCTAAGTACTTTTGGTAGACTTCCAAACATTGAACGTGTCGTTCTTGGTATGCTTTGAAAAGCTTCATGCATGTGCAATCTTCTGTGGGAACAGCGCTTGATACTACAAAGACGTTCCCTTTGTCTGTTGATTGTACTCCGGATATGACATATTTTTGCTTTCCTAAAGGAATGGTAGGCATATTTGCGCGTCTTTGCTCTTCCAGAAGTTGATCTCGTTGAATTGCTGCACAACAGCATTCTAGCTCTGGAGCAACCCCTGACAACATATACACTGGCTGCCCATCGTAGGTGTAAGTAATACCGCCTACCACATATGGCTTTGGCATCGATATCAAACCTTGTTGGGCATCAAACCTTTGCTTCAATTTTTCATAAATTTGCAATTTCGTTTCATACACCGCCATACACTTACAAGTTCCAGTAGACAATTCCTGCCTGCGGGCAGTGCACTGTGCGCACTGGCATAGGTTAGTCTTAATGCTTTCTTCCACGTCTTCTTTGCAAGTGCAACCAAGTGAGGGTACCCTTGCAACCACCAACATTTCACCTTCCGGCACGCTCTTCGGCTGCTCAATTGATTCGTCTGGAACGATCAAAACCTCACTCGTAATCTTTTCAGGTTCTATCTGTTGCTCCTCCACCCCACATAATTCATCACATGGGGGGTCTTCGAACGCGATTGGAATTGACAAATCCTTTTGCTCTAGCTCGGTTTCTTCGTGTCCCATCGCCAACTCTTCCGGAAGCTTCGCTACATGATCGCAAGGAATGTAAATAGATGGTTTTAGTAGGTACGGGACGGGTTCGAAATCTACCAACGATTCGTATATCTTCTGGGCGGACTTTAATTCCGCCACTATTTCCTTTTGTTGGTCCACTGTTATGCCGGATTCTGCAACACAATATGAAATCGCACATCGCGCAATCGTAACATACGTTTTCTCTGGATATACGTCTTCCTTTTCTCGTCATTTTCAAATGCTCTCTCTTGCTTCTAAAATTATGCATGTTACCTACTTAAAACATTTTGAGATTAAAAAGGTACCAATTCGGTGATATAAGCAAAATATGGGCTCTCCGGGTGTTGTACGTGTTTATTTTTGTACACTCCTGTGTACTTTCTAGGACATGGAACAAAATCGAAGGTTGCCAAATATGGAGATTTATAGCGAGGTTTTGGTGGTTGCTCGAGCACTGGGTTTGGTTTTCTTGGCGAGCGTGGAGGCGACGGTATGCGAATGTGTAACTCCTTAAGCGTCTCTCTCATTGTTAAATGCGCAACCGCAGACAAAAGCAGACGATCGTTGATAGAGTATTCGGTACCTGAAATTTATCACAGAGTAAGTTGGACTAATCGGAAGCCAACTTACGTTTCTGGTTCATTAGTTGGTACAAAATTAATAAAAATTCCACTGGACATTCGCAGCAGTTATTTAATGCTTTCTTTATATGCCGTTGATTTGGTCGAAGTACCAGGCCAAGCTCTCCAATATTATCCTTGGTGTAGGTAATGCATTTGTACCTTTTATCTTTGAGAATACAATTTTTTAAGTTATCTGCCGCTTTTAGTTGGTTTGGGGAAAGTTCTTGGAACCAATCGGGGCCCACCAATGCCATAAGTTCATTGTGACCCGCGGCAACTTGAAACAAAACGCTGTTTGCACTACGATACAAACTATAGAACGCCATGTGGAGAATTATACCAAAAAATATAGAAAAAGATGAACCAACATAACCTTACGAAACAATTCGATCTGGATCTAATCTTGATTCTACCTTGTTGTCATCAAGAGGCTTTTAAATGAAGTCAAAGAAAAAGACAGTGCTCTAGAACGTATTACCTACCTTGCCTTTTCATAAACTTCTTATTTTCAATTTGCAACGTCCTGAGATTTTCTCGATATTTTTCCTGCTTTTTCTCCAGACCTTTCCGCCATATCTCATCCGCAAAGCTATAAACAGGTGGTCCGCCTGAAAAGTACTTAACTACCTCAGCTTGCTGGACAGTACGATCTTCGGCATATCCTAGTAGAGAAAAAACGTAACTCGTTCTGGTTTACAACAAGTACATTTTTGCCATACCACCCTTTAAACGTTTTGGATTTTTCGCGACAGTTTCTTCAATTTGATTCTGGGAAATACTTTTAGACTTGAATCGGCGTTCGTTAGAGATGTTTGATTTCGCGTTAACAATAGAATTTGTCGCGGGAGTTTCACTTATTTTCGTTTCCTGGCATTGCTCGGGCAAATCGCCCCTCGTTCGAGAAGCACCTTCATTGCCAGCATTTAGAGTTGCCTTTTGATTTTTGCACATTGTTTCAAAATTGCACACAAATCCTTACAAGAAATTTTTGGCGTCAGCTTTCAAATTATGACATGACAAATATTTAGTACGTATTTTGTTTTTAAGTACCGAGTATATAGGGGTTGGGTGGAAAACCTTACCAAAAAGAGCACTAAAATCGACGTTAAATCTTCAACCATTAAAACCTGAACTGATAGCGTCGGGTAATAGCTAATATAAAACTTGAAGCCAACATCTGCAGCACCATCACTGGGTATGACTAAACATGGAACTAAATCTGAGGCGCTAAATTTGAAATTTGCAAGGGCAAGTATATCCACACAAAATATTAATACGATAACTGTTTAACTTTATACCTGATGAATTAATTTATATAATAAATAAATTTGAAGTAGATGTAATTTTTGGATAATGATACCAATAGATCGTGGAATAAGCTTTTATTTAAAAAATATACATGTTTATTGCAGCGTCTACGCAATCTCCAGGATAACGTGTATAACATGACGGTGAGGGTGTTACACAACGATTAAGATTCATATTTTGATGACCAGCGAAAGTGTTTACATCTGTTTACATTTTCATCTAATGTAATTTCTTCAACTTGTTCTTGGTCGGAGAAACTATTTTCATTTGATGTATTTGGGAAAATTGAAGGAACCGAATTAGCCTTTTACTTACGCGAAAAACGTTTCTGTTTTAACGTGTGATAATCCACCCTGATGGTTAGGCAACACACGTTTACATCTGAAACAAAAATATAATATGCTCTGTATATAACCAACGACCGTTTTGCGCAGATGCCGAATACTAGGGGATTTTGGTAACGAAGCTAGGGGAGAATGAAGAAGATGGCGACGAGGTCGACGGAAGGCATACGCTTTCCCGTTTTTTTTTTTTATTTCTTGATTATTTTGGTGTTGTTGTTTTGAAGGTGTATTTACAGGTAGTAACCATTTTATTCCTTCCTTGTACATACTAGCGATTTAATCATTGAATTTCTTGCCACAATTTGATACTATTTACATTTTGCTGATTTTGCATAAACTACGATAATCTGAATCATGGCGTACTCCATGCCTTGGTTTTGAGTACCGTTAGATGAATCGTGTGTGTTATACTGTACAGATGATTATGTCATTATTTTGTTTAATTAAGTATTTATTTCTGCTATTCACGAGAGTTGATTACCAGTGCGATGTTGCTCTGTCCGATCGATGCGTAACTATTCCGTTAAGTAAGTACTTAATACGTTTGATTGTTCGCTGTATCTGTTACTTTCTGATTCGTGGCGCTGCAGTTCTTGTGCGTTAGCTATACGGGGCTCTTTTATTTGATGTTTCGATGTTTGTGTGTGCGAGTGGGTCATTCTGTCTCCGTGGAGTAAGTAGGTACCTAATGCAGTTCGATCTTTCGCTGTATCTGTTGCCTACTCGTCTCGTGCGGATTGTAGTTCTTAACATCTTAGCAATACGAGTGGGGGCCCTCTCATTAACATTTCCTCTATTTAAAATATGTTCTGCTTGAGCGATAATCGATTTTCACATGAACACTTGCTATTTGCATTCTCACATGTACTTTTCGTGTTAAATTAAATTATGTTAATGAAGGTTGGAGTCGAGCCACACCATTTTGATGTTTCCTATGTACATGCAATTTATTATTTTACGAGTTGTGTTATCTCAATTGATCGTACAGGTATTTTGATGTGTTTTTGAATTGATTTATCATGTTTTCCACTGCATCTATGATGTCTTATGTATTTTGTTTTTATGAACTTGTTTAATTGCCTATGATTTGATTATCTGATTTTTATCATATAATTTGAGATGTTTTATTTATGTGTATTTTCTCTTGCCTTTATTGCTGTAGGTGATTTATTTCATGTATTTGTGTGGCCTATGCCGGGGTTTTAGTCCCGTAGAAGGTTTCCCTGGCATGGTCTTGTGTGTGCGTAATATATTTATTTGTTCTTGTCATTTCTTATGCACAAAAGTTCTGTCTTTTATTTAATTCCCTTACCGATTATGTCTCACGTCCCAACACATAAAGAACCGATTACACAACGTAGGAGTTCATTCGTGCCACCCATATCGAGCCGACTGCCATCCAAACTCAACAGTGCCGCGGAACGTCCATCGTTTCGACTTGAAAAGTAGGTGGCTCTGCTAGTAGTTCTTGCCAGAGTTGCCAACGGTAAGTATAGGGTAAGTCAACGTTTTCAGTGTCGGCTTGATAGACCCCTAGGAACATTACAACCTCCTTGTTTTGAAGGTTATAAACTGCATCACATTTTTTTACGAAACAACGTCACCGTCTCATTTTTAATTAATTATGTAAAAGTAGCACAACTAACGCACACAAATTTACATAAACACTTAAAATTAAATCTCGGAACATTGACGTGTGTCAAATTTCGTTTCACAAAACGCACACGACTTTGCTAGCCATCCAGTTATTTTTCATCCAAGCGTTAAACCACGAGACGTGGATCTAGTCCCTGATGACTTTTCGCTCTCAAAGATTGATACGAGTATTATCTAAAACTCGCAATTGAAACAAATCGAACACGTTTAGGTGCTAAACAGGTATGATGATCTTAGAGGTCCTCCAATCCAGCACTGTTATTTTGACTCGCGTTATACTTGCAGTTGGTAACATTTGGGAAAAAATTACATGCAGAGCCATCCTGTCAAACAAATTTAGGTCCCGTTAACAGTCGATCTGCTTATATAGCAAACGCCCCCTCTTTCTCGAAATATCCGAACGCTTCCGAAAACTTTCGAGTTCTTCTAGAATGTTCTCAAACAAATACGTCATATCTCTCGGAATGATTACGCCACATCCGCCATCATTATTTATCACCGATTAATAATCTTTCATGGCGCCTCGATGTCTATCGAAATTTCTGGAATGTTCGCTACACATAGACGACGATGGTGGCGAAGACAGAGTCCCAGTCCCAGGCAACTCTGGTTCTATATCGCGTTGCCGCGATGATGGCGGTACCCATTCTTAAAGAAAAAGCAATCCACCGTTTTATGAATCGGTTGCGGGGTTCCTCTGGAGTTCAAGCAACAGAACAATATTTTCACACCGGTGCCCTGGAGGCCCACCTCCCGAATGTTGCGCACAACGCGCCAGTCTAACCTACCAAGACGCTACTTATAATCGATAGTCGCTCAAAGTGACCTGCGGTATTTATAATGAATAACACTAATGGGGAGGCTACAGTGGAAAAGTTTAGAGAATGTTTTGGAAGGTAGGACATTGTTATACGCTTAGATACCAATAAAATCAGTAGGTATGGTTTTCTTATGGAATGGAAAGATTTATACCTACTTATTTTAAATTAAATATAATAAACAAACATTTACATTTATCTACTCTAACTCATAATTTTCCTAATTTTCTTCGTTTTGCTGGTACCTTTTCTTCCCTAGAAGTAATTTCCAATGGACTGTCATTGGTTTTCAACAGCTGCGTCGGTATCGCTATAAAATAAAGTTATAAGATAATTTTGAACAATTCGGCACACTATAGCTTACCGTCTGGCTTTAATTTTTTTCTGCACGGAAGATTAAGGAGCTCGGCTTTTAAATTTCTTTCGAAATGGATTGGTAGGAAATGTAAACTGCAAATACGTGCAAATTGTGGATTGAAAATGTCTGTCCTGTTACATTTGTTGATCCATTCTGATTGTCTTTGTGAGTCTTTGGGAAACGAAAAAAAAGATAAATCTCCGTTTTTCTCATCTTGACTTTTACAGCTCGCTACGCTGCAGCGTTTACCACCGCCCATTTTTCCAGCAGGTAATCTGAAATGCATTTGGTTTTCGAATATCTACTTATAGATAGGTACTCCACTAAAAATAGGATTTTTCAGAAATTTAGTTCCTGGAAAATTGAGAAACTTTTCGTGTAACATCACAATAAAGAAATTTGAAGTTTTTTCTTTTTATCTCATTGTTAGTGAGATTCAGACGTGACACCACTCTAAATTCCTTTAATTTATTAGATAGATAGGTATAAAACCGAGTATAAAACAAAGTGAACATTGTTTACAGCTATCCAGGAATTAACTGGTAAGAATCACCCTTTTTTAGTTTACTACACTCTATTTTTTAACTAGAAGACAGATTTAAAAGTTCCGTCAAAAATCTTAGTTTCTATGATTTTTGTGTCCATTTGCCTAAATTTTAACAAAAAAATCAGTCCTTTTGAGAACTAAACTTGATATTTCGCGACTTCGTGTCCTGAGTATACTTGCATTAGTGATAGATTCATGCATCCAATGGCATTATACTTTTACTTTTATTCGAGGTGCCTACACACAAAATTTTATATAATTTTAACCAATAAAAAAAGTCAAAACACATTTTTTGGTTCAGTATTCTTTTTACTTTTATTCGAGGTGTCTACATACAAAATTTCATGCAATTCGGTTCATAACTAACAGAGATGTCAAAAGGGTCTTCGTTATTTTTTGGCCTACATTGTCAATTCACGAATTCCGAACTACAAACAATCCATCTGCAAAATTTAATCGCACAATCGGTCCACCCGTTCTCTTTTAAAATCCATGCACATGAAGCCTGCGACCGGCGAGCGATCGGACGATTGGGAGAAAGCATAACAGTCTCGTTTAAAATTCGACGCTAAAACGAGGAACTCGTAATTCCTACCAAATAATACCATAAAGGCATACATTAAACGCCGTGTCCCGTTAAACCTTCGTCCAACGCTGATCCTCGTCATAGGATTTTTGTATGTTTGCTTTTGTTTAAAAAAATGTTTTTTTCTCCAACCACCTGAATAAGACACTATTTTGTGACAGTGTTCGGTACGTAAAATGGACGTTTTGCGGATTAATCGCTTTCACCATGGCAACTGTACAAAAAGTGGATACTTTTTGTCCTAGTACCAAATAATAATAATAATAATAATAATAATAATAATGTTTATTGACCGACAGATATAAATACATCCAATTACAGGTCAATTACTATTAAAGCTAAACGTAAGGCGCATTATAGGTATATAAGAAAAAGAAAAAAAAGATTATAGTAAGTAGAATTTATAGAAAAATGATTAAAAAGAAAATTTTAAGTATATAAATTAAGAAATTACAAATCAAGTACTTTATTCGTGCCTAAGAGTTAATAAAATACTATCTAGAGGTGAGAAGTGGATGTCGCACATATTTGATATTTTATTGAAATTTGCACACATAAAATGAATAGGAGAAGCAGCCAATATGTTTGTGTTCGGTTTAGAGCAATAAAATTTAGTAGACGACCGTGAAGCCTAAAATGGTACATATAGATTTATTAATTTTAGTATCTCGCCACAGTCTATCTTGTTATGAAAGAGATTATACAGGAATGTGACGTTAGACTTAGTTCTTCTTTCTTCTAGTGAATTTAAGTTGAATCTAGACAGCAGTAAATGTTGAGGATGACCTCCCTCTGGATAAATACCATCACCTTTGTAAGAAAGAAATTTCAAAAATCTTCTTTGCACAGATTCCAGTTTAGCTTTTAGGTAGGCTTGGTACGGTTGCCAAATTAATGCACAGTACTCCATTTTTGATCGTACAAATGAAATATATAAGATAGTTAATGCAGATATATCAGTGAATGATTTGCAATTTCTTATAATGTAGCCTAAGGATTTCTGACGAGTGTATTTGGTTTATATGTTCACAGAATGAAAAGTCAGAACTGAAGTGAACACCTAAATCCTTTACCGCTGTGGATCGACGCAACTCTTCATTTCCAATGGTATATGTATACCAAAAAGAAATTGACCTTGAAAGTTGGCCAATTAAAAAATTACAATCACGGAGATATGTCACATTGACATCGTTTTACATTGCAGGTTGTAAGATTTTCTATACATACAAATCAAATATTTTTGCATATTCAATGCAAATAATGCTGTTACCTATACGTATGTACATGTATTGAAAATGATTTACGCTCGCTATTTTTATTTAAACCATGTGTAACGTAATTTACATATTCGATGAACGTAATTTTAATACGTATACAACCCGGCGTCGCGCGTAACGCCATCTACTTCAGACCCATTGCACTATTATCTGTCATTTTGAATTCAAAATTTGAAAAAGTTAATTGCAATTAATTTTAATTAAAAAACTGTATGGTAAGTTTTTTATTTCAATACAAAATATAACACGATTAATTGTGTATACAATAGAAATGACTGAAACTGATAGCGACCTAGATTGCACTCCACCAGAGATTATAGAAACGGCAGAACATGCTACCTCAAGATTTGCTCCCTACAAAGTCGCAAGAGGTGAGAAGTAAGAAGTAAGAACGACTAGGTTATAAGTTAACCTAAAAACTAGAGTGGCATGACACGTGAGGACAAGAAAGCAGAAGTTCTTATACTATAGTAGTGAAACTGTGACTGAATCTAAATTCGAATATAATTTGAAGTAAAGGGAGTTGGAGAAAAAATTTTATGTTTTATTCGTACAAAAAATGCGTTGACATTTTTTTTGTACTAATGAAACAAATAACTATTTTTAATCTTAAACGTTGAGTGAAGGATCTAGGTAGAGAGGCAATGCTTATGTTAAAAGTATAGTAAACGTGGGGTTTGAGATATAGGCGGCCAAGAGTGATCTCAGATCCCGACGGCAACAACCAAGTCGGCGATCCAGATCCGGATTGCATTATTTTATTTTCATATTTTCGCTACCACAATATTAACCTTACAATTACATTATCGCATTATTAAATTTGCGAGGGCAACAGGCGAAATATACGGTTACGGTAGGTCCGTATCAGAGGCTGCATGTGGCCCTTGTAAAATTAATTTGTGATCGATGATCGAAACAGTATGTTTACGGTGACCGAAACATATTATTTAAAAGTATTATAATGCACATGTTATATCTAGGTATATTCTATATAAAACAAGCGGCCGCATCAAAAGCAAGCCTTTAATCATGATAGCAGAATAGCTAGATAAAGTTACCAGCAGATTCGCCAATTAAACAAGTTGTCTTTGACTTTCCCGGTTATGATAAAGAGAAACACATAAAGTAAATGATAATATACATAGTCACAGGTACTTATCATTATAAAATTCAGTAGGTACCGTCTTTTTTTCAAATTGTCACGTTAATTGCGAGAGAGTACCTATACCTAGCGTTATCGGTTTAAAATAAGTCGGTAGTGTGCTAAAATTGTAGGATGAGTGTTGCAAATCATATTTGCATTTATGCAAATTGCTACATCAGCAATAAACATAGTGATGGGATAAGTTTCTTTAAATTTCTAAATAATACCTACTTTACTCGCACAATCGCAAAATACATAAACATAAATGATATGAGATACTTTTCTTTGTGATTAGGTAGGTATACTTTTTTGAATTTCGTCCGTACGTACCTGCTGCTTTTAGAACTGCTCTTAATTAGGTATCTGATCCAATAATTATGATAAGGGACTGATATTTTGCAGGTATACAATTGCATGAAAATAGAATGACTCATTTTGTTTACGTGTGTTACAACGGTTTTCGATAGTTGCAATTGGAGTTACGCTAAAGACTGATTTCGTTGGAGAGGGCGGCTGGGCGAAAATACTGAATACTTGTAAATTGTAAAGAAGGAAAGCGCCGTCGAAATTGTCGGTGGCGTTAGCTGTCGGTGTTGCAAAACGTGGACTCGGAGGGGCAGAGACGCGATGTGCAATAGAGAAGGGACTACCTTAGTAAAAGATCGGAAAGGATGACCGCTTTTCATATAGGCATTACCACTCTACCTAGATCCTTCACTCAACGCTTAAACCTACAAATAACCACGATACACTTACAACGGTATGCTCTTGCGCATCTAGCGTGACGTCACGTGCGAACAAAACCACAGAATATAAGAGCAAAATTACGATGCTTAGATCGACAAATCACAAGGTTAGTTGACAAATCATACTGATTTGTGTAGAGATCCTCGCGTAAGTTATTTCTGGGATTTCGTGATCGTATGAAATAAACTCTAACCAAAAACATTGGCCCTAAACATGAAATGCGGCTGTTTCAGTAAAAATTATATAATTAATGCATTATCAAAAGATCTAATCGCTCCTCCGTGTCCCTTTTATTTTGATTTTCATTATTACGCGGTAGTTTTAAAGTAGGTAAAGCATCAGGTTTCAAACATCGACATCCGCTGTTTTTAAAAGTAGGTCTAATTAAGGAGTCGTTCCCTTGCGGTGCTTCAAAACGGCTGGCTTCAAAATGTTCATAACAAATACAGGATATAGGATTAAACAGCAATGAAAAGACTTAAACACGCCACTTAATAATAATGCAACACCATTTTTCAAGGTAATTTTGTCCTTACGACGACTTGCAACAATCCATTTTAGAGAAAAGTCTTCAATTTTCGGAAATCGAAAGTACCTATTTTATTTCCACACACAACCTGGCATTTTGGAATTTTCACTAATGATTACTTAGCTATCAACAAATTAATGCTTAGCTATCAACAAATTAACGCTATAAAACTCGTAAATACAACTGAAAAGGTGCAAACTGTCACGCGTGACATCTGTACTGGATTTTTCCGTGCGTAAACATTTGAATTTTGGCGCCACACGTTCGCAGGTGACGTAATGCGCAGTAGAAAACGCGTTTGAGAAAAATAATGAGCATACCGTGTGTAAGTGTATCGTGCAAATAACCCTAACGTTCAACTCCGAAAAAGGTTGGTATACGCATTTTTGCGAAAAAAAAAACAATTTCCCAAACCAAGAAACGAACACGAGCTCTGCGGGCGAGTACCGGGTATCGTTACCACTAAACAAACCACGACTGAATCACATATACAAACATATACATATACAAATGTTTGACGGGGGCGCAATTAATAACCGTTTAACGGGACTCTAGACACTATGTGAAAGAAAAGCACATCACGCAGCCCACAATACATATCAGTATAAAATGTGTAGACAGTTGTAGATTATTACTATTTACCTATATATGCTTGAGTCGTGCACGTACCTAAATGAAACAGCAAAAGTACTGTTCAAGTATTGGGCGGTCGTAATAATCGAAGCACAAAATTCGCAGGCACGCACATACACCGTACACGGCACGCTACCAGTTTAATAACCAATATCTTGAAAGAAGATTAACACAATAAAAAAACGCGGCAAATTAGGGTGAGAGACTCATACAATACTGTGCACGATGGCCGTGGTACCAGCATACAGAAACTACAAATCTACAATTAAACAGGCTCGATTACGTCAGAAGCGGTAAGTTCCCCTCTCGCTCCGCAACCAAACTGAAGTGGGCGAGGCAACCGTTTTAGACTAGAATATACCAGCATTGAATAATATGGTTTTTATTCAATGATACCAGCTTAAAATATCGTTCTTATGAACTATATGGTTCTTACAATTGTAAATTTAACAGCACCTAAAAAGTTCAATCATTCTTCAAAATGAAACGTTCCATACAAGGCGTTTAGCATACTTACTTCATTCGTAGGATCACCATTGAATGTCGTTTTTATTCAATGGCTGTGGTGGTAGTAGGTAATAAAATAAAACGTAACCCTACGTCTTTACTAAAAACAACCTCTCGTCTTTCATGATATACGAATAGCTATACACTCATTTTCGGGATATACACAACTTTGTGCTTGTGGCGTCCACACAAGAACAACTACCTATATTACGACTTCCATAGAAACTAGAAACGAAGGAATTCCGCCGTTTCGGACAAACCGCGATATGAAATAACTCCGGAAAAATCGCCCTTTTTTTGTTTTTTTTTTTGGTAAATCGAAACGTGCTGATGGATAACACAGGTACCTACGGAAAAAATACAATATAGGTAGGTCATTACCTTCATCTCATTTGTTATTTATTAGGGTAGTTTAAATTAAATAGTATCTGCTTTCTACTTATTTTTGAAGTAAAAATAACACGAGGGTGGTGATCGTGCAAGTTGCATTGCGGACGATCACAACAGGTTTAGGGCCATTTTTCCTCTTAGATACAAGAAAAACTATACCTATACCTACCTACCCCGAAAAAATGAAAGTGCCTACCCACTATTAAACGCTACTCTCTAGCTAGGCAATCTTTTATTAGTGAGCCTGAGCACCACTGTGGTGTGCCAGTTGGTTCCATTTACGTCCACATATTTCAGAAATTGACGATTTCTTAACAGGAAGCCAGGAATCATAAGAGGTTTAACCGTTGAATGAAATACTATTTTTCACTCAACGGTTAGTGTTAGACATTATCCATAATCCAATACAATATAAAGCAGCAAACGTTATATCGATTATTTAGTAATCCTTATATAAAATATAATCTTTATTTCACAATTCACAGGGAAGATAGCTTTACTTTTCGCCACCTAACACCTTTTGTTAAATTGTACTTCGATTGTAGGATACGATTACGTCGATTACGACCTCTTTCTCCGGCTGACATACTAATATCAAAACACTAATTTCCACGATATACACAACGTTGCTCAAGGGTCGTGGATGATTTCCTTCTCTTATATATATGATGATTTCTTTGCATTGACATTATACCTAATCACCAGTAGCGTACGCAGGATTTTTTTTCGGGAGGGGCTGAAACTCGAGAATTAAGAGCAAAGTATGTAAATTTTCACGGATGTCGTACACATTCGCAAGATCAAGTAAACAAAGGAAAAAGTAAGGTAGTTTTTCCAGCAACTGCAACATTTTTATTGTCGCTTGGCATTTAAATAATTATACCATGACTGACCGACTTACGGGATGTGCCGCTGAGTAGTTAAGTCGATTATTTCGGGGGGGGGGGCTGTAGCCCCTTCGCCCCCCCCCCTTTGCGTACGCCGGTGCTAATCACAACACAATGTTACTTACTTACGTACTTTTATTTTTAAACTTAGGTCTTTACATCACAAGGGCTTGTTCCCAAAATCTCAGTATGGATTTCGTAGAGGGCATGGAACAACATACCTATTCGATAACGCAACTATACAGGGTTGTGCCTTGCGTAACGCATCATAGGGATTTCAATGTAAAATTCATAACAAGCGATTATTGGCTCCCCAATTTATTTTAGAGCAAAAATGTATTAAGGTTTTTTGTAGAAAAAAATTTTTTACGTTAATCAACCGTATTAGTTTTCAATTTTTTGCATAATAAAGACGGAAAATTGGAGAAATAAAACCCCCATCTTTTTCAATAATCTGTGATGCCATGGAACTTTATAATACAAAAACTACGCCAATATCCGTCATGCCATGGAATGTCTGCTATAAAACAAATCAAATTCTATCAAAAAGTATTATATTTAGAATTCAGCAAATTCAACGTAAAGAATGACCAAATTACTAGGTGTAAACGGTTTCCTAATATAACAATTTACAATAAATGTTCAAATAAGTCACCATTAACTGCAAGACAGTAACCAAGTCGATCATAAAATCCATTTCGAACTGCTGCTATTTGATAACTGGATATTTTGTTTTAGAAAATTCCATAGCATCGCATATTATTGAAAAAGGTGCGGTAATACATTTTAGCTCTAAAATAATTTGGGGAGCCAATAATCACATGTTATGAATTTTACATTGAAATCCCTATGATGCGTTACGCAAGTCACCACCCTGTATAGTTTCCGACATACAAATTAGCTTTTCAAAAAATGACTATATAAGTATGTTTTAGTTTATTTATAGACCTCAAAGGGGCATATGATGTGGTGCACCTCTGTATATTATTTGAAAAGATGAAACACATGGGTATCAATCCAAAGGTGTCTGTCTGCTAATACGAGGGTTGTTTAGAAAGTAGCAGACGTTTTGAAATAAAAAACTTTAAACTTGTAAAGAAGATCTATTATTGTGGGGGATACACCCTTGGGCTATTTATCAACACAAGCGCCATGCCATTCAAATTGATGCACTTATCATAGCGTGGCACAAGTGTTTTGATTCCAGTTTTTATAAATCCGCCGCCCGAGATTTTAACCTGCACTGGGTAACGCTGACATGAAGTTCGGCATCCCTATCGAACCGCTGCGTTGCGAGCCAACGTTGCCAGATAATTCAATTTCAATGTTATGTACTATTAAACACAACCAAGTAAATAAAAAATTGATGCAAATTTCCAATTACTACGGTTCCATAAAATGGGTATACTAGGTACTAAAATATTTGGAGCAAAATAAAATAGAGCTACTTTTCGATATAACAAAGAAAAATTTGACAAGCGTTCAACTGTGATAAACAAGGAAAACAAAGGGTCCGTAAATATAACGGGTTTCCTTCTTTCAAATAGTCATTATTTACCGCTCGTGGCCAAATATCCTTGTTTATTTGTGGTAAAGATCATACTACACGCGTATGTAGAATTGTAGTTATAGTTCTTTAAAGTGCTTATTCAATGGAAGTAAAAGTTTTTCCTTTAACACATAGGTACCAAAAAATACACTCCCCTTTTTTTCAAATCGTTTAACATTTGGGGTAATTTACTATCATATACCTGGTGAGCAGAGCTGGGAACTAAAATTTAAGTTACTTTCAAGTAACTAAGTTACTGTAACTTAGTTACACTTTTGAAATAACACTAAAAGTAACTTGTAACTTAGTTACTTTCTAAAAGTAACTTATAACTTTTCCATATTCAGAGGAACTTAGTTACTTAAAAAGTAACTAAGTTACCTAAAAAGAACTTAGTTACATACCGAAAAGTTACTTTTTATTTATTGTAAAATTATTCCTCAAAATACCTTGCAGATCTCACATGCGTTTAAATAATGTCAATAAGAAAAAATAGTCCTATTTGTAATTTAATATTGAGGAGATAGGCTGGTAACCTGAGTTTTAAATGATAAAAGGAAGTAGCCTAAAGTGCAATTTTTTATCTCTGATATTTGATATACCTATTATGTAATGTAGGAGTATGAGTAAAATGTTGATGCATCCAGCATCGCCGACTCGGCAACGCATCCGCAGATATTTGTTCATGTGATCTCATGCTTATTATAAAAAAAATTACAACTCGCCATTTACCTTGTTAGTTGTAAACGTGAGAATGTTGTGCTTGTGAACGAAATAATATGAAAATAAAACTTTTGGTTATTGTTATTATTTGTTGAAATTCGAAGCAAGCAACTCAAAAGTATCTTTTTAAAACTTTTTTAAAAGTAACTTAGTTACTAGTAACTGTAACTTTTGTTTCTGAGTATCTAGTTACTCAAGTAACTTAAGTTACTTTTTGGAAAGTAACTATGGAAAGTAACTTAGTTACTTTATCAAAGTAACTTTCCCAGCTCTGCTGGTGAGATAGGTTTGTAGCAATGGTTATCGTTCTCCTCAACAGACTGGGAAATTAAAAACAAGTATTGGCATTTTTTATTATAAAATGTCTGTATAATAGAAAATTTATATTACTTACACAATTATAAAAGGTATGTGTAGTCCTTACATAAAATTAAACTAGAATATTTACTACTGTAATCTCATATAGTTTCTAACATCTTTTAAACTGTTAGGCAAGCCATATAATCCGTACATTGTAAAACCTGCAAATAATGTATGATTTAAGTGTGGATACACTACGCATGCACGTTTCACAATATTAATCACCTAACATGCAATCATCTACTCTACTAATGTACAAAACTACAATGATCCTTAATTCCCAAGCAAAAGGTGGTAGGAGGCGTGAATCAAAATGAAAAGCTGAACACAAATTTCTCAAATGGACAGCACAGACACAAATGGAAATATGAAAGGAGTATTTTTAGAAACATTTAGAGTATCTCAGTCGCAAAATCATGTTGGATGTATCTGTCGGCCCCGCTAAATTCTCAAATGAATCTCATTCATTTATCACCTTCAATACCATTTGACATAAAGCTGTTTTTCTTCAAAAGCTTTATGTTCCTTAAAGTATTACCCATCAAATTTTTATGAATATTTTTGTAATTTGCTTCATCACCGCTTACAATATTGGGAATATTCTTCTTATTATCCACCTCTTCACCTTTAACTTCGCTTTTGACATTAGATTTATGCAAATTCAAAACCGATCTAGGATCAGACTTTAATAGCTCGTTTAATTTTTTCTTAATATCCGCCGGTTTCATGGCCTCTTCTTCTATAACTCCGTCATCACTTTGCTCTGGCTTTGACATTTCCGCCAGGACCCACTGTAAATTTGGCACATTCGACGGGGACTTTGGTAAATCTTCCCGATCGTCGATGGCCTCAGGTTTTGTAAGTTTCACCATAGGTACGCCCATAGAGTGCCTAGACAGAAAGTCGTTCAATTTTAGGGCGACTTTTTCGTACCGTTCGCTACCTATTGAAATATTCTGGTCTTCCTGCTCACTGTGCACGCTACTTGTTCTTGACGGAGGGTTGGGATTTGTGCTGTGGAAAATGAGGTCAGGTGCACTCTTAGAACGAGTCAAGGATGGCCGGGGTTCGAGTGGTTTCATTTTGAACGTTAAAAATCCGTCCATGGGAGGTGGGGGAGGAGGTAGATCTAAATAATGGTTAATTTCGTGCATGGTGACCTCATTTGATGAGGTATCTGAATCGATGTCGGTTTGTTCTTCTAAAATAGGCAGTGAGCGTTCAAACTCATGGTGGATATCTTCGTTGTGTATAAGAGCAATGACTGATTCTTCAAAGTGTAAGTTGGAGACATTGGATACGGTATCTATAGATATTTTTCGACTGAACGGGTTTTCGTAGGAGAACGATTGCCCAATTGCAAGCTCTTCTTTAGTAAGCACCTCGTCTAAAGCAGCTAAAGCACCTGAGACACTTAAACTGTCTAATGACGAACACAGAGGACTGCTGATATTGTTAGACACAATGGGAGGAAGTGGAGCTTTAGGTTTGACATTTGATGACTTATTTAAATTATTTGCGACAACCATAGCTAATTCTTCACTTTGCTCCATCGTAACTTTTTTATTCTCTCCATCTGTTTCATCTATTACATAATTTATATTTGCTTGTCCATTCGATTTTTGCGTATTGTGGAAAGCACCGTTAGGTTTTGCATGCACTGTATAAATACTTAAGGGACTATCATATCTTACAGACATGAAGTACATAGGCAAGCCTAAAGAAATATTAAAGTATGCAAAACATGCAATGAAAAAAAAAACAGTGATAGCATCACTGTCATAGACTCACCGACGGCCATCCACACTCCAAATCGTATCCAAGTGTGCACGTCCAGCATGAGCATAAGATAAATGTTAATCAAAATGCTCAGAGCTGGTATTAATGGAACTAAGGGAACCTGCATAATTCATGTAATTGCTATAATTAAATGTGATCAAAGATACCTTAAAATTTAATATAGTCTGCGAATTTGGCTGCGTTCCTATAGACATTAGTGACAAAATGATCACAAGTCCAATTGTGCATAGTAAAACGATCGTCCAAGCTTGCGCTTCTACTATTTCGTCTTCCAAGTAAATTGCGCATAACCACAGGAACACAGACGCAATTACTAAAAACGAGAATTACCATACAAAGTCGATTAATTTATGCTCACCAAAGATGTATATTTGAACAACTACAACAGTATGGGAAACTCTAGTGGGAAGCCGTAACATCCGTAAATTGAATGTTTGTTTCGCTACATTACAGAAGGTCACCTCTTCGTCCGCGGCGAGAACGTCCGTGCTTGTTGTGGCCAGCAAGCTATCATTGTTAATATTACTATAAGAGTTAACTTAAAAAGACATTATCAACTACAACTAGATAATTACCCATCAGTCTCGGAGTCTGATGTCGCGGGAACTAAGTCATACTTCCGTTCTTCACTCGGTGAATATCTTTAACAATTAAGACCATCAGTTTAAGTACAGAGATCAATAGCGGAGATATACCTCAATACTAAAACACAAGCAGCTACTATACTGTATGCCAATAAAGTTCCAATCGACATCATATCAACCAAATGTTTTAGGTCAAACAAAGCAGACATTAACCCTTAAAGAAATATTAAGTAAGTACAAGAACGAAGCAAAACTACACTATCAATCAAACTTTCATCGAAAGTTTTCTGGGTTAGTAAACACAATTGGTCATGCAATGAAAGTTAGTAATACTTGTAAATGAACTACTTTTTATTAAAAAATCTAAGACTACAACATTTCGAATAAACAAACAATTGTTTTGGCACCATATCTTGTCTATTTTAGGTAAAATCTATACATTTTCGCAAGCTTACTGCTTCTCTTCTTCAATTAACCTCTTTGGATAGGTTGTAGTTTATTCACGAGCGCTTACAGAGAGTAACCACGTTCAATTGGGTCTAGCTGTTAGAACACCCGGTTTGCACCCAGGTGGCACGAGTTCCGATTCTTTGGTATGAAAGATTTTTTTTCACAAAAATGCGTACCAAATTCAGCGGGGCTGGATATTAGGTTCAAGATTGTCTTCTTAAATTTTTTTAAAAGTCTCAAACTTACACAAAACAACAAAATCTACACAAAATGCGCATGCCCAAGAGAACGTAGTTACTCTCTGTAAGCGCTCATGTTTATTCCTGTAACTTACAAGCTACTGCCGAAAACACGTGATTATTTCGAATAATAATTTTTTGATATGCTGTTTCAGAAATGATTAACAGATTTAGTATCCATTAAGAAGAGAGTACGTGGACGCTCTGTATAACAGGATAAATTCAAATGTGAATACTTCAAGAAAAATGTTGGAAGGGAGGCTACCTCTTTGTTGTCTTTTTTTTATTCTTTTATCCTTTTTATTCCTTTATGAGCACCGTCTTCCGATGTGACAGGAATATTTTTGCGTAATAAAAATGCAAGCATCTGACGACCTACGGGATGATGTTTTACAAACTGCTCCATATACAGAGTGGAAATTTTAGTACTGAATATATCTGCAAAACTACAATTTTTGCAAAGAAGTTTTTTATGATATCTGCAATTATAAAAAGTTTGCTACCAACTCGGCTACCAATCTACGTACTTCAAATTTGTGGTCAGTCGCGCAGTGTGCAGTTTAAGAATGCATACATAATAAAAAAATTCGAATCGCTATTGAGATGTCTGTTTTCAAAATTTCAAACGACAAGAACCGTTGGCGTTTATAGAGACACCGCTGGAAATACGTTATGCCTCGAAATAATCCAGTTACTGTTCAACAATGCATTAATTTCAATGTCTGCAACTTTTAACAAGTATAAATTGTGCACAGGTCTTGTGCAAGTAAAGCGCATTTTTTTAACCGAAATAGCTTTTGTTTTGACATCCCCGATGAATATATTTCTTGCAGACGTTCCAATCGCCCTTTGTGAGTACCCTCTTCCAACAATCCTGAGGTATAAGGGAATATACCCGATCACATAAGAGGTCGAGGAGGGCTATGGTTGGTAGAAATTAATTCCTTTCGTTGAGACCTTTCATTAGAGTACCATGAAGGATAAAACTAGTTCCACTTCCCCCCCCCCCTCCGTCCCGTACTTTGATAAGAGGACAGAAAGAAGGGCAGTAGTTGGTAGAAAACGGTTCATTTCGTTGAGACCTCTAATTAGAATACAATGAGAGATAAAATTAAATTAATTCCCCCCCCCCCTTCAGGCCCCGTCGCTCACTGATCTCGAAAAAGAGTCGCACGGAAAAGTTATAGTTTGTACAAACCAATTTATTTCGATGAGACCGTTCATTAGAATACCATGAAGGGTAGAACGTGTTTACTCCCCCCCCCCCCCCCAATTTTCTAAAGTTTAACTGCGCACCATTAAAGGCATGCGTATGCGACCAATTGGTTGTCGTATGTAAAAGTTATGCACGTTTTACTTTCAAAAACAGAATCTCAGGAAATAATTCGTGGGGGGGCCCCCCTTTTAGACAGCGAAATTTAATGGCCGTCTGGCACACCTTCAAGGTATAGGCTACCTACTGCAAAAAATTACAGGACTCTACGACCTAACAGTAGTTCAAAACGGCAGAAGTGGGTCCGGATGGACGGACGGACGGACAAAACGCAAACATTAGCACATTTTTTTTAATTCTTAAAAAATGTCAAATCTTTTAGTACAAATATCTGCAGAACGGGATGTCGGAGAAAGATACTGCCAAAAAGCGATTGAAACGTCTACGGGAGACATATCTACTTCCGATGTAAAAGCTTGAATGTGAATACCTCAAAAATGGAGTGTCGGCGTCATTCTTCTTGCATTATAGATAATAATATAGATTTTGAATGTGTACAAGGCGCCCTTTTAAATGTTTATCTGTAAAGCGCTCCCTCCCCATTACACTGCAGTGTGTCTCAGCTGTTTTTAAAGATAGAGGCTTGTGGGTTTCGTGACCTTTCGCCACTTTTTTGTGAAATATTTAATACCACATACAGAATTAACTTAGCCACGTTTGTTTCGGAGCTACAGGGTGAAAACGAAATCACTTGTTTGTTGCTTACTATACAGGGTGGACCACGAGGTGGACCATTAGTGTGTGGGTGAACGATTGTGGGTTTATTAACGCGCATATTTAAAATTCATTGTGGGGAATTGTTTAGGTTACAACCTAAAAATATTTTCACCGAAATTGCAATTGTTATACAGGGTGATTTATATCAAAGTTGCTTTTTTTTAAATCCATTATTACATATTTCGATTCCTTGGTCAATTTTAGTGTGACTTTATGTATTACACATGATATCTAAAATTCGTCGTTTTTTCAAAAAGTAGATGTCCAGTAAAAATTGAATATCGCAGTTATCATAAAACTTAGAAGGCCGTGACTTTGCAGTAGCACTAATCATGAAATGTACTAACATACGCTGAACAGCTAAAGTTAAACTTTTTTTTGCGTTAAAAGGAATCACTCCGTCAATTTTCAAAATTTCATTCAGAGGTATCTTGACTTTTTTTAATGGAAGTACGAAGTTTTTTTTATTGCATGAAACGTAAAATTTTATTAGGGCCCTATACACTTTTTAATGTAAAGCTTCCAGCTCGGCCTGAGGATGACTTATTGTCGAAATCGATCGCCGTCAGAAATAATAAAAACTGTTCGAGTCTCAATCATTTCATTATTTTCCAATAAGCAATCACTCAAACATTGATGGAGTCCTTCATCAACAAAATAAAATAATGAATTTGCATTTAAACCAATGCGTGCACTTATAAATAAATCAATTTGAATAGTAAGCCATGAAATCCATATTAGAAAATATTAACACAAAATAAAATGAAATAACATCAGTCAGTTTAGTTTATTAGGATTTACAATTCTGTTGTTCTTTGTTGTGTTAGAAAAATGGAATTTGAATAACATATTTTAAACGGTGCTTACTTTAAATTTTTAAGCACTTGAACATAAAACAAAAAACAATTCTATGTAATTCTCTGGTACTATCTAAACTAAATTATTGTGACTCAGTCTACAACGCCTGCCTTGATTCAGTCGATGAAAGGAGAATACAAAAACTGCAGAATTCATGATTGAGGTTTATCTTCGGAATAAAAAAGTATGAGCACATTAGTGATAAGCTAAGTGTTTGTGGTTGGCTTAATATGAAGCAAAGGCGTTTCTTGCATACGGCTGCACTGCTTCACAACATCATAGTTACCAAGTCACCGACGTAACTATATCGGAAAATCTCCTTTAGAACTGATATACATAACCTCAATTTAAGGTTTAAAGAACTACTAACGCCACCAGTGCATAGAACGCAATTTTTCAAAAGATCGTTTTCATATAGGATCACAAAGGTCTATAATAATCTTCCTGCAAACCTTAAGTTGCGATCGCTTAAATCATTCAAGCTTAAGTTGCGCAAATTGCTGTTCGAACATCAAAGCCAAATTTAACATACCTAGTCATTGTATTTCATCGCGGTTTTATTGGAAGGTTCTAAGTATTTTTTTTTTTTTTTTATTATACATAGTTTGTTTAATTTTTAATGTAAATAACAGTCGGAATAGTTCCAACGTTAAGTGGAAGAACAGACGGCGGTAGTCTCCGCCGAACTGAACTTCGCCTTGTAGAAGTGTGATATTTTATTTCTGTTTTGTTTTTGGGGATAATTAAAGGCAATATTATTATTATTAAACACTGTGAATTATTAGAAATTGTTGAATTACAAAAAATATGTAAAAGATAAACATCGACAAGCTTATATTGTTAAAAAGGTAATGAAATCCTACATTTGGTGCGATAAAAAAAACTTGGTAGTTCCATTTAAAAAAATTGACGGAGTGATTTCTTTTAACACAAAAGAAGTTTAACTTCTTAACTTTACTCGTTCGGCGTATGTTATTACATTTCAAGATTAGTACCACTGCAAAGTCACGGCCTTCTAAGTTTTATGATAACTGCGGTATTCAATTTTTACTGGACATCTACTTTTTGAAAAAAAGACGAATTGCGGCTAAACGACACATTTTAGATATCATGTGTAATACATAAAGTCACACTATAATTGACCAAGGAATCCAAATATGTAATGATATACAGAGGGTTCCATTTAAAAAATGCAACTTTGATATAAACCACTCTGTATAACAATTGCAATTTCGTTGATAATATTTTTAGGTTGTAGCCTTAAGGGTCCTTCAACATTCCCCCACAATGAATTTTAAGTATGCGCGTTAATAAACCCACAATCTTCCGCCCACACACTAGTGGCCCACCCTGTATAAGCAAATTGAATTCTATTTGAGCTTAGTTCGTACTTCGATGTGTTCTTGTTATGATATAAATTGTGAGTGATAAATTGTAATTACTATTACAAATTAATCCATGTTAAGACTGATATAAATTTATTGGTAATTTAATTGTTATAAATAAACGACGTAATTAAATTTACGTTACAATATAAAAATAAAACTTTTTTTATTTATTTATGTAGTAGTAATTTGCACCAATACTGATGTCTACCTAAAATGCAATTTTTTCTGTGTAAGTAGAACCATAATAGCTGGATATGCAATTGTATGAATCTTTGACTAGATATGAATCTGCATGTAGATGCAATAAAAATAATCTAAAGGCATAATACAAAAACACTGTGATAAGTTACAGTAATCATTGACATGTTCTTAACACACAAATATGCGTCTTGTATATTAAAAAAAAATAAACTGGAATAGTTCAACTGTACCTTAGAGCAAAAAAGTGTCAACAAAAATAATACAACAAAAGATAAATTAAACCAAAACGTGGTAAACCATATTTAACTATTTAACGATCTTTGATCTTACATAACTGGGTTAGAATTGATAGTCACATAATTAGAATGTACTCTTGTGAAATACAGTAGACAAACAGGTTTTTATTAAATATTTAAAGCCATTATAGTGATAAAGAAGAGAAAAAAACTATGACCTTTGCCTTCTACACATTCTTTGTTTATGAATACTTCTTGAATTGACAAATAATGCATGCAGTAATTACTTTACCTGTGAGCAGTCCGGCTAATAAGGTACCAATGAGAGGTGTCTGGAATCTGGAATTAACCCTTCCCAAAAATTTAAAAATTATGCCATCACTCGCCATGGCATAAATAATACGTGGTAAAGGAAACATAGCCCCAAATAAACTAAAAAAAGGTATTACCTGTTATGTACAAGAAATAAATCACTACCTCGCACACAGCCCGAAAATTCCCCCAATGGCAACAATCCATTTGGCAATATCCCAACCGACCAACTCAAATGCGTGAGGAATCGGAGCATTTACATCCTACATTCATAATGGTAATATCACAAAGTGATTACATTTTATTTTATACCTGCAAGTAGTAGGGGACCATTAAAGTGACTATGCTCGCTGTTCCGAAATATGCCAAAAATATAATTGCCAACGAGGCGATAATGGCGAAAGGGATCGCCGTTTGTGGATTTCTCACTTCTTCGCCTGTGGTTGCGATGCAATCAAACCCGACAAAGCCGTAAAAACAGGTCGCCGCCCCTTTAATTACACCGGAAATTCCGTACGGAAAAAAGCCTCCCTTTCCATATGAGGGATCTGTAGGGGGTGGGAGATCCCAATTTTCGGGATGAGCTTCAACAATTCACTAATTAAAACGGGTAAAAGTTACACAGCCAATTGCTACCTTTAAATGATCCCGCGATGACAATAAAAACTACTACAAACAAATTAAGCATGGTAAATACAGTGTTGACTGGCGCGCTGTTTTTCAATCCACATCCTAACGCAACTGCAAAATGCAAAAATTAGTAATCGTAGGTAGTAAAGGTTTGCACTTACTCGCTAATATCACAGAAATTCCCAATGAGAAAAAGTCAAAATAGGATCCGAGAAAGCTGACATCAATTGGTGCTATCTCTCGAAATGTATTTTGCAAAGTGTTATTAATTAAAGTATCTAAATAAAGACTAAGTCCCTTCGCTACACTGGCAGAACCTAAAATAAATAATGAATTGTTGAGCTACAGCACGAGGTCAATACCAATGACGTATTCCAGAATGAGATTCCATCCTATAATAAATGCGACAAATTCACCTATACAAACATAACTATAAACGTAAGCCGACCCAGCTCTCGGTACTCTCGAACCGAACTCTGCATAACACAGCCCTTAAAAAAGGAACTTAATAACATATACAAATAAAATTTAACACTGACATACCTGCGAAGACTGATGCGACTGCCGCAATAAGAAACGACAAAATGACAGCTGGACCAGCTACTTGTTTGGAAACTTGACCGGCTAATACATAAACGCCCACCCCGAGCGTGCTTCCGACACCTAAAGCAGTAAGGTCAAAAGTATTCAGAACTCTCGCTAATTGGGTGTCTGTTAAACTGGAAGCGTCTAATATTTTTTTTCTCGTTAATACTCTGAAGATTCTATTCATCTCGATGACTGATCTAGAAAGTTGATTCAATTACACTAATGAATAATTTGAATAAGCAGTATGCTAGATCATATTACTCAGATAAGGAGGAGCGGGAACTACTTGTGGAATGTGTTAATATTAAATTAACCAGATGATAATGATAACAATGTATAGATAAGAGGCACTACTAGAAAGTAGGTAACTCACCACAGCATAATTAAGCTACACTGCTAGGAACAATAGACATTAGATTTTAATCATACTTTACGTCAGGATAAGTAAATTAGGTTTAAAAAAGTCCACACTTGGTCAGTGTGACTTCTGCCACAAAGCAGTGCATGTTTACGTAATATAATTTACGCAATTAACTGGAAACTTATTGCTAAAATTTGTATGTAAATAGACAATTGACAAATATGTCAAAGTTTTACTTCAAGATTCAAGGTTATGACAAATTTCCCTTTCACGTTCAAAGGTAAGCTGTGTTCAAAGGTTAGATGTAACGCTGTGTCTAATACACCTCACTGTTAGTAATTATAGGAACATTGTGTACAAGGTGCTCACGAAAGTTTTAGATTACAAAAAATATTTTCGTCGAAGTAAGACTGTAGGTTATTGCATTAAGAACTGGAAACACTTTACCAAGTTATCAAAAACATATTTAGCAGATAGAATCTGTGCAGCTCAAGTATTTAAAATATACGCATTATAAAGTGTTTGGGCATTCTCCAACAATAGGATTAAATCATTTGCATTTGCTTCAAATTTTCAGTCTTGCCAACATTGTAAAAATAAGGAGACGGCTTAGTTGGAGTAGTACGTCATATATGTAGTTTTGATATGGGAATGTTTTGTACAGTTTTCTTTTGTGTGCTTGTTTTTTAAGAATGAGCTAATTTACCTAGTTAGTGTAGGTATAACGAAATTAGTAAGTTTACATCATGCCACTTTGTGTTGTCTGTAATTGGGCTTGTCCTGTTGAGAATTAAATACAAATAAATAAATAAATGGTTGCTAAATTTTTGTTTATGTTTCAATTGCATGATCTTAGCCCCAACTTAGTTTTGATAATTCTTTTAGACTCGAAACCCTGGACGAAGGGCGAGTTATCTATCAAGGAACGAAATTCTCCTAATAAAAACTCTTGTTCTCATTAATAAACTTACATGTAAAACTCTTTATTATTTAACCTATTTCACAAATAAATTACATCATTTTAGAAAATAACTTAACGAATATTATGTTAGGAAAAAGCCTACACCCAAAAGCAGCATTTATTTGAGATTACTTTTTTAAAGCTTTAATTCTTTCATCAAAATTGACTATAGCCTTTTTGATTTCCTCCAGATTAATTGCAAAGCTTTCTTGAACGCCTTGAAGTAATGCTTGGTTATTGTTGATACTGTTCGACATTTCCGACTGTAGCTTTTCAACTTGGGTCAGAGTCTTCGTAAAGTCGGTGGCTAATAGAACAAACAGTTATTACTTTCTATTGCAGGCAAATAGTACACTTACATTTGTTATGCAGTGCTTCAAGTGAACTTAAACGCTCGATGGTTTGTGGGAGAATCTTAGCAAAGCCTTCGGTATTCTTCAAAATTTCATATAATTCCAAAATCTAAAAAATTTAATTTTTATGTAGATTTTCACTTTTTTGTTAAGAATAGGAAGCAATTCTTACTTTTAAGAACTTATAATTTGTAGTAATTTTATTCAAAAATATTATTACACAGGGTATCACAAATCGAGGGGGTTTACATGGGTTAACATTGTTATTTTAAATTAAAAATTAGATTAAATGGCTACAGTTTTGCGATTTTGTGTGCTGATTAAAATGCTGTTTAAAAAAATTTAAAATTCGGATTTAAATATGTTATTAGAAAAAGACCTAATCTATATCTATATAATAATAGCCACTCACTCGAACTGGGACACCCTGTATAGTATCTGAATGTAATTTATAGCGCTTTCGATTGACAAAACTTAGTATTATGAGGAAATACATGAGCAAACAAGATTAAAAAGCGAAACATAAGTTTTGATTTATAAGAAAAGGCGCATAATGTTCCAAACTACCATAGATATAATCTTATGAGATAAGCCATAAGATGAATTTAATGAGAAAAGACACAAAGAAAACGTCTTGCAATCACTTCTTAACAAACAATTGACAAGCCGCATTGAACTGTGTTTAAACTGTTAATTTGAAGATCTTTGAGATTCCAATGCAGTGCATGGCGAATAAGCCACCCTGTATATATTTTCACACAATCATACTACGTACCATTTGATCTTTGTTTGCGTCGTCCGATATTTTTGCTCGTTTCTCCGAAATAGAATCAAGTTTCTGACTAAGTGCAGTCAATCGTCCTTCAATATGATCCAACTGAGCCGAATCTAACATACTTGCTGTTGCACTGAGATGTTGCGCCGTCTCAAGTAAATTACCTACAAGACAGTTAGAAATTTATCGGAGTAAATATCAAATAAAACCAACTTTTAGAAGTCATGGAGGATAAACGAGACAATTTCTCAGATGATGCACCAAGAACAGTTTCCAAGCGATGCAGTCGGTGTTCTAATTCAGCTAAACGATTGGTATGAGCGAAACGTCCTTGTTCCGGCTTATAATATAAATGATAGGCTATCGCATTGTCATCACTTTGGGTATGGGATTCGGGGGCTTCAATAATGCTCGCCTTGAACTGTTCAAGTTGGCACAATAACTTCCTAAAACACAACTTTGAAAAAATATTTCAAAAATTGAACACTAACTTGACTTGCGCTCCTTGAGGATCTACTATACTAGATATTACATCATCCCCCAAATTTTCTTCCAGTTTCATATCGGTTAATTTTTCTAAAGCTTGCTGCAACTGTTCAGTCGTAACTAAACAATTATTATCAACGTTCTTCTCATTTTTAAACTTGTCAACTTCTTCAAAAAGCTCTTGCATTTCACATTTCAATCTTTGATACTTCTGCAAGGGAGTCTCGCACTGCCCTTGTCCTGCAAGCTCATAGTCGCCTGTAAGAGCATCATAACCAGTTCGGATACGTCTACTAATCCTCTCGGAAAAATCGGCCATGTTCGCATTAAGAGATTTGCCTTTGAATTTGTTAAACGCCTCGTTTGGTGAAATATCTATATGATCAACTGCATTGTTTTCTTCCTCGTAAAAATCTGAGGTTTGATCGGATTCCGGTAGATCATTAGTTGCGTACGTATCAGGTTCTCCATGAGCCTTATTAGTAAATGATTAACACAAAGTCAAATTTTACAATTATTGTACTTACGATTCCTGGTAAGTCGGCATATTTAGGATCTGCCATTACGACGGTCAAAATTTTATACTACAAACTGCAAAAGATTTTTACAAATTAAGGTTATGTGAATGATGTCACTTGACAGTTGCCAATCCTTGGATGTGGCTCAAAAGGCGAAATCTACGGACTCGTAGGTTTAAACCATACAGTATGGTCCAAAAATACTAGTCAAGTGCATTAGTGCCTATTTAACATCAACGGACATACAAACTTTTCCTACTTGTCATACAATCTACTAATTCTTTAACTTTTCCCCTGGTATCGTGCTTGTCATACATAGCTCGCTCATAAAAAAAAATTTCGTTACCTTGAATTCTTGAAAAATTCATTTCCTTTTATTAAGGTGCGGAGTTCAATTTTATTTTTTTACACCACATTTATTGAAGTTTATTCAGAACCGCATAGAAAAGAACGTAAGCACAATAAACTTTTTTTTATCAAATAAAACTGTTATTTTACAACTCGAATTATCAAGACAAAAACCATTAGTCAAAAAACGGTTAAACTGACAGGGCTAGTAATATTCCAACATTCTAAAAAAATCATTGTACGCCAGTCACAAATTCCTTTAACAACATTGAACCGAAGAGAAGATCTTATACAGTGTAAGTTTGTTTTTTGTTATTCAATGCACTTCTGTACAATTTATTTGTTTATTGTATACAATTTTCTTTAACTTCCAACTTTTGTTTTTGAAATTGGCATTATTTAACCTCTTTGCTGGATCATGTGTATGGAAAATGTGATTGACTTTCATCATACGAAATCGTTATCATTTTTGGTGTAAATGTTAATTTGTCATGTTTCCATTACATGCTCTTGCCACGAAGTTTAATTTCCATATTAGTTTGCCTATGTGGAAATTAACGAATTGCTTGATACTTTTTGAAGAACCCCTTTTTTGCCATGTAGAGACAATTCCCAGGACGGGAATAGCTGGTAACGAAGATTGTTACCACATCTAGCTGTGGTTGATCTCGCAACCCATCTTTTTAGACACCCCACGCACAGAGGGCTGTTCCCTAATGAGGGGTTCTAATTCGGGAATAATTGCAGTAGCAATACCTTCTGTTCTAACTATTATTACAACTGTTTGTTAAATTCGATAACCAAATTAATACAAACAATCTCACTTGGCCTGTTCATTTATTATGTGATGAAACTTGAGAATGTAGGTTGCTATAACTATTGTTTAATAAAAATAGTTTAACAATTTAACTAAGCTGCTTTATGTTGTAATACTGATGAGTTGGTAGCACAGCCTGGACATGTATGTAGTGTATCGTGAATAAATATATCACAATCAATGCAAAAGATCTTTTCACACTTTAAACAGCAGTACACCTGAAAATTAATCATTAAATACTGCAATTGGGAAACATGAACACATAGACACACTTCTGAAATTGCAATAAATACCTGCTTTTCCGTTTCACCAAATACTTTTTGGCAAGCATAACAAGAACTGACTTGGTTGTTAAATTCGCGCTCTTTATAACCGCCTACAGGAAACAAGTGATGATACGAGCGGGCTAAGTGTGGCGCTGACACTAATGTTAAACCGCAAACTCTACATTCCACAGGTAGCTCGCAGTATTTGCTACAACACTGAGGACAGTAATAGCCACCTGTGGTTAGTTTACTTCCTTCATCAACACTATCAACATGACTGAAAATGATTTCGACTTATGTGAAGACTTTCAAAATCGACTTACTTACCACATGCACATAGTTAGAGGTTCATCTGTTCCTTCCGTTACCATCTGATGGGGGAAACCCATTTTAATAAGGCTCGATTCCAAACAAAATGCTGCGGGTGGAGGTTCTACGTGTTGAAATAATAAATCCTTATAATGGCTGTCGTCTAAAACGACATTGTATGTTCCGTTTGTTTCAGATGCTAGTTGTTTACAAATGTGCACTTCGGCAGCTAGACCGACTATCGAACATCGAACACCTTCCGCTTTCATTGCCTATAAACAACGGAAATGATACAAAACGAATTCCCGTCACCAGGACCACTCTCTTAAATACTGTACAACTTAATTCATGGTACGCTAGTAATTTTGTTTATAAATTCCCCAAGGCACGTTTGGGCTCAGGGCCTGGAAAAATTTTTCCACACATGCGATCAATTGAGACAAATTAAATATGAATTTTGTTTTGTGAAATTTATAAAATCCAGACACAGAAATACACTTCGCTTTAAATGCATCTATAGATAACTGTACAAGTTTTTGATTCGCTTTACGCCGACACTTACATCAATTGTAACATTAATGTCGGTAGGATCACATGTTGTAAGACTTCCAATAATCACCAACACCTCTCGACTGGCATGCGACGGTAACAATTTCAAAGATTTAAGAGCCATATTTAGACCGTTCTGTAATGACGGCTCACCAAGCAACGAAGTACGATTTAAACCTGCAATAGCCTTGACGTGCTTGCGAGGATTTCCACTTAACTCGCTAATTCTGTCCGCCCGTTTATTCTGCATTATTATTATACCTAATTGACTGATGGGGTTTTGATCAAAAAATTCCTCAATGAAAAGTTCGAGCAGCTATAATGAATCAATTAAGAACACATTTGTAACATTCGAAAGTACGAACCTTAATGGTGCAATATAATCTCGTCGGCTTGAGGTCTTGATTAGACATCGACTCGGAACAATCCACAATAAGAAATAGGTGGCGCATCATTCCCAACTTCGTATTCTTCTGTTTTTGTGCTTGGCGCTTTCGTTTCGCTCGTTGGACAATATCGGCAACCGAGGCTTCCAGAAACCCTTCCTCATCTTCCTTAATTGCTTCCCTGTTGGTGAAAAAATCAGTAAAGAGAAGAACTGTAGTGTATCAATCAAACCAAGTTTTCTCATAGCCTGTTTCCCATCTGTACTCTCGAGGATCTTCTTCGTCTACCATTTTAAAGACCTACGGACCACAGTACAAGTTCTTTCTGATAAAATTGTACCTTTTAAGTTTTTTAATTAAATGAAAACATGAACGAAATTTGTAGGTTATGGAAGAGTTGTATTATATACAGAGACATTAGGCGATTTCTGGCGAGAAAAGTAACCTTCAGTAAGGGCCGGTTGTATAAAACTTTACTACAACCGAAGGTTGAACAACCGACGGTTCAATTCGACCTTCGGTTGGAAAACGCAGGCGTTGTATTAAAACAAAATATATCGGCGTTTGGGTAACCTGGAGCTGAAAAAAAAAATTGTAAAGTTGGTCATAGTGCAGGTTGGAATTCAACCAATCACGTAAGAGATGTGTTTGACAGGTATAAATATAAACAGCTGATTTAAATTGTGGATTTCTAACCAAAAAGTACACTTGTGAATTGCGATTTTTTTATCAGTTTGTCTTATTGTTGTTCATATAATATAAATTTTGTTGACTCGAGATTGGTGTTGAAGTTACCCTTTGTTACAAGGTAAGTGTATTGCGAATAAAATAATTGTTAGTAAATTGTAACTTGCAGATGAGTGTACCACGTGCAAAGCGTGTTATCTTTAGTGATAATGACATGAATATGTTAGTGGACTTGGTGTATAAGTATAAACATATAATTGAATGTAAGAAAACAGATGCACTGACATGGAAAGACAAGGTAAATAGCTAAATTTTGTACCTACTTTTAACATGGACATATTATTTAATATAGGATGCAACATGGATAAAAATATCAGATGCTTTTAATGCAAGCGTCATGGAGAAGAAGACACCTGAGCAACTACGTACCAAGTACGACAATTTGAAAAAGGATGCAAGGCGATACTTTGCAAAGCAGAGGCAAGATATTTATAGAACAGGTGGGGGTGTTATTGAAAATGTCATCAGGGATATTTTAAAACATATTTTTGAAAAAATACGGGTTATTACAACCCTTTCTATGGAAGGCATTGAACCACCTGTTGGTGATAGCGATTTTTGTAAGCATAACAGTTACACTTGTTTAGTATTAATGTGACGTGCTTATAGGTAGTTTAAGTACTTCTGAAACAAGCAACTTTGAAGAGACATCTAAGTCTGTGGCAGAGGCAGGTGATGACGACCAACATTTCACACAACCTCTTAATGATAAAATGCAAGATGTTGAAGGCATAGAGGTGGTATATGTAGAACCTTGTGTAGAAGAAAGTGTGGCAAGTACACCAGCAAACGGTAAGTGTACCTTAACACATTAACATTTATTATGTTGTATGTCACAGATTGGAGTACCTACACACCAACTATGTTGCGGACAAAAAAACAAAGAGATTTTAGACACTCATAAATTAAAAAAGGAAAATTTAAGATTAAAATGAGTTGCTATCCTTACAAATTAAAAAGCTAAAAGAAACAAATAGCATTGTATAAAAACTTTACTCTTTAATTTAATGTAATATTAAGTTTTATAATGTAGAAAAATAGTTAATAAATGGTTGTCTATAAAAGTTACGGTTTTCTGCTTCCACATGGTTCTGTGGTTGATCATCAATCACTGGTACAATAACATCAGGATCAACCAATGGTTCCCCTTCATTTCTAGCTCTTGCTAGGTTATGTAAAGTGGCACATGCAATAATAATTTGTTGTGCTGTTTGTAGCTTGATACGTATCCCTATGCTTAGTATGGGAAAACGACGTTTCAACACTCCAAATAGCCTTTCAATTGGATTTCTTGTACGGATCTGGGCCTCGTTAAATAATTGTTCAGCATCATTATTTGGATGCAGTAATGGTGTTATTAAATACTTCTGTATGGCATAACCAGAATCTCCTAAGATTATGCTGTTATTGAATTCACCATTCTCTAAGCGGGCATGAATCCTAGAGTTGTTGAATATGGTTTGGTCATGTGTAGATCCAGGCCATCTCACTACTATATCCAGCACTCGAAGAGATGCATCCCCAACAACTTGTACATTTAAAGAAAAGTATCCCTTTCGATTACGAAAGTACTCTGCATTGTGGCCTCCTACAAATTTTATATATTTGAAGTTACGAATTAGATAAATTGGCATAATTTATTAATTACCTGGGGATTGTATGCGGACATGGGTGCAATCGATGGCTCCTATTGTACGAGGAAATCTGGCAATGTTGTAAAATGCCAATTGATGATTTCTTATTTCCTCTTCAGTATTAGGCATACGAATGTAGTTTTCAGATAAAGTACAAATAGCAGCTGTAACTTTTTTTACAATCCGGCAAGCCGTGGATTTGTGGACCCCACTAAAATCTCCAACAGCTATGAGCATATTCCCTGTAGCATACAGGCGTAATGTTAATAACAGCTGGTTCATAGGTGTAATCGCCTTATTCCTATTGGAAATACACACAGAAATATTGTAAACAGTGATTAATTTGAAGTTTGCACTTACCTATTACTTATAGTTGCAAACTGGCCCTCGATTAATTCTAATAAAAAAAGAACAGATTCCTTTTGCAAACGAAATCTCATCGTAAATTCCTGGTCAGACCACTTTGTAAAATTATCCAGGGTATCGATTCCCGAAGTTAGTCGATATGCTCCGTGATGTGCATGTGATGTGACCGGCTGCCATGACGTCATGATCGTATACGATAGGGATAAGTTCAAGTTTAGCTGCATTCCCGAATCGCGAACAAACTGTATGCGCTAACCAATCACAGACAAGAATTGAACTGTCATTTGTCAGTTTTGTATTTTGTTTCGTTTTTGCATTAAGGATACTGTTATTAATAACCAGAAAATCCTCGAACAATTCCATGTTTTATTTCACAGAAAATATGTGAATTTATAGGTTAGGGCACTGAATAACCTCTATAGCAAAACAGCTGCAAGATCCGTCCTGTAGCTGGAACTGCGCATGACTTTCACGCAACGAGTGGTCTAGACCCAGGGGCGCTATTCTCGACACCGTTCGTTTTCGTACCATTCGAATTGAAAACGAAGGGTTTATTTACGAGTACTTTCATAAAATGGTATTCTTGACTGCTATTCGTTTATCAAAACGTATGCTTGGAATTTATGCGAACGAACGGCATGGCAACACTGTCATAATTTAATTTGACATTTCTTTGCGTGCGAACGAATTTTTTAAATTACAAATTATTTGAATTATTATGGAGAAACATAAAAAAACATGTACAAATTACTACTGAACAAAAGCAAATATTGGTTGAATTGATGAAAAGTAACAAAGAACTGCAAAGCGGCAAATTTTCTACCACATTTACATATAAAGATGCCCGAACCGAATGGGAAAAAATAGGACGCACGTTAAATATCATCCCTGGGGCAAAGCGGAACTGGAAGAGTTGGAGGAAGGTGGTAAAATCACTTTAGGGGGGAATATTGCAACATGTGTGCAATCTATACACCCAATTATTGCTGGGAAATTATACTTTTGAAAAAACCTAGAAAGCTATTTGTCTTTTTAACCACACTATTGATTCATGTATCTACCCCATTCTAGCAGCATTGAGTTCTTGTATATTTCTAGGGAAATATACATAAGCGTTAAAAATCTCATTTCAGTTCATAGCATTTACAATTTCTTCAATACATCTTGATACTAAAGGTTGTGATATTTCAAAGTTATAATTTGATCCTACGTCCATTTGGTAGCTTCCACAAGAAACCTCAACGTTACTAAAACCTTAAAAAAATCGCTAAAATTAAGACTGTACCTTGTAGCATATATCCTTGAAAATATTGATACTCAAATTACCTTGGTTGTTACGTATCAGTGGAACGATTTGCGGGGCGATGTAATCTTTTAGATGTACTAAAAATTGCGCTAATGCTTTTTAGATAAGCGAAAAACTTTTATGAAATACCCATCGCTAAGTTCATTAAATGGGTCCAACCGGCGTCTATGTGCTCGTCTATTTCTTACTTCTATGTCCTCTAACTCCTCTATCAACAATAATTGTACAACATCTTCCATTATCCGAATTTTTGTTTCGACTATAAAATGAAAACGTACACTATTTGAAAGCGTCTACAGATTTCCGCTCGCTGTAAACCATTCGGTTTCAATTCGTATACGAACTGAATACGAGCGGTCGAGAATAGCTCTTTAGTCATTCGAATGGAAATGCGCATACGCATTGGAAAGTCACTTGTCGAGAATAGGGCTCCAGTCGTTGCGTTCGATCAACTTTTCGCTCGATGTGGTAGGTTCGAGAATGCAGTGACATTCACGTTCACATCAAGGTCAGTCGATGTGAACAAAGCACATCTTCGGGAATCGACGCCGGTCTTTCTCGAAATGTACGTTCGCGCCTGACTCTACGATTTAGCTCTAAAAGTAATCTGAATCTGTAGAGCTAGAGCTGCTACTACTATTCATAACTTCATATTGATCAGAATCTGATGATGCATCCATAATAAACAGAAACTTAATTCCAATTATCAACAAAATATGAAAGATGAAACTCAATAAAATACACGCGATGTACTCGGGAAAAAATCATAACCTATAAATTGAAATTCGAACTGGCGGTTGACTAGCCAATCGCTACTTGGACTACAAGTTGACCGAACCGGCGGTTGAACCGTCGGTGTAGAGTCAACCTGAGGTCGTGCAACACAATCTTACAATTAACCTCCGGTTCAAATTCAACCTTTAGTCAACCGGACTTTATACAACCGGCCCTAAGACCGCTTTCAATTTCTGGCGAGTAACTAATGACGTCACGTCATACTGTAGTATGCTAGAGTAACCACTAACCAAGTAACATGCCCTTACCTACCTTCAACCTGGAGTAAGCAATAGTAAAGTTAACTTTCTAACCTCAATTTGTGAGGTTGGTTCTTTTATTTATGTTTACATGTGAGTAGTGAGTTTACATTAGTTCTTGGTTGATAGTTACTTTATATTCTAGATTACTTATAGGTATAATGGATAATAGTCTAGAAGATGATGATACTTTAGTGGAGGTGAAGTTCTTAATTAACAATGAAATTGTAACATTTTCGGATAGTGGGGTGGTTGCAACAGCACTAAAAACAGGTAGGTTAATTGCTTATATCAGTGAACCTCAAAAGGCATGTGTTCGTATAATACTAAAACCACACATAACAGAAATAAACACATTTTGTTTGTAGATGCCAATTTTGTGCTAGAGTACATATCAAGGGCAATAGAGGAAGGATTTTTAGAACAATTCGGTGTATGCAAAGGCACTTCAATTGCCGACATAGATATCTCTCGAATTTCTGGTATGTAGACGTTTATCCATTACGATAAGCATTATAATATACTTACAAAACTCCATATAAGGAGTGAACCGTTGTTACGATCAATCTAAAAGGATATGTCACTGTTTCTACAGATCAATCGTATCGTATATGGGACCCTTAAGGCAAAATAATTATAGTTTTTAGTATATTAAAGCTATCGGAATGAATTCAATTATACCATAATGTTTACAGATGAAACTCCTGAAACTATTGAAACCGCAGTCGCAGCTGCTGAAACCGACCAAGAAATCTGGAGCAGTAGAGGGAAACCGACCGACCTTGATAGGCGTGCTACAGAATACATGTTGGAACTAAGGAACTCTGCAAAATTTCAAACTTTATTTGCGGACAAAAAAACTGTAAAAATGTCTATATGGGGGAAAATTGCAGAGCTTCTAGGTAGTGCTGGATTTCCCCTAAATCCTAAAGAAGGAGGGAAAAAATGCTATCAAAAATTTCAGAATTTGACCAAAATGTACATAAATTTTATAAAACATGTAAAAACAACAGGAGGTGAAGCACGGGAACCACCACCTCATTATGACCTATTACATAACATTTTGGGTGATAAACACAAAATAACATTAGGGCATATTAAGGATTCACTGCAATTAGCAGATACTCAAGATGAATTAAATGTAATCCATCAACCACAGCCATGTGCAACAACTTCCCAGCAACCACTCACCCCCACGTCATCTTCCTCCCGATCACAGACACCCACATCATCTTCCCATCTACTCGAATCCTCTACCCCATTATCAAGATCCCATACACCACACCTAGATTCTCATTTCCAAAATATACGTAAATCGGTAAAACCACCCAAAGCAGATGTCATACAAACATTATTGACGATGCATAAGGAAAACATTGATATGCAAACTTCCCAATTTAAGGTATTAGAAAACCTCATGACTACACAGAATAAATTGTTAGAGCAGCAAAATGCCCATAAAGCCACAATAGTTTCGTTATTTGAATCAATGGTTAAAAAAACTACAAGAAAAAGAAGAAGACATTCTAGTGATAGCGATGATGATGATTAAAAAATTGTTTATATTTTTATATGTATATCTATTCAAGCAAAATCAGTATTTATAATTTTTTTACAAAGGAATTAAAGAGTTTGTGATATCAAATCGCGTTTTCTAGCCCCTTCACGATCTCTACGGCCAATATAAGTATCACAACTATCATGTTCACTTGATGTGACATCTACTTCATATATATCACAAGTTAACAAGCAAAAATTATGCAGTATACAACATGCGGTTATAATATCAATAGCCTTTTCAATGGTATATACATTAACAAAATTTAAAATCCTCCAACGGCCTTTCAACATGCCGAAAGTATTTTCGATTACAACCCGTGTCACACTATGTGCGTAGTTGTGTTTCCGTTGCAGCGGCATAATTCCAGTGTTCCTAAACCACAACAATAAATACCTATGTGCAATTATTTGTATTTGTGTCTACCTATACGGAGTTATTAACCATGACCTTAATGGATATGCGGAATCTCCCACCAAGTGGTATCTACCGTAAAACAGATTGAAACAGTTAGTTTCACAGATTTTTCCCAAGTCCGATTCTCTAAGTATCTACAAAACTATTAACAGCATGATTGTAGGTTTGCATAAACTATCTTACTCGTGCATCATGCACAGATCCTGGATAACCAACAGAAATATTAGTAAATAATCTGGAGGAAATACACACTCCTTGAAGGGTAATGGAATGGCAAAACTTGCGATCCTGATAACTGTCATGCTGCTCCTTGGGTATTTTACAAGTTATGTGGCAACCGTCAATAGCACCAATCACATCTAGGAACAACATATTACGCTGATTGCTGTGCGGTTTAAAAATGTCCTTACCTGGATAATTACAACGCTGTTGAAAATCATTTGCAATTTGTTCGCAATCTTCCGCATTAGGCCACTTAATATAAATAGGCATAAGAGAGCAGATAACTTTAATAATTTTCATGGTAATATAGAAAGCTTTTGACACGCTAACATTAAATCTATCACTGATCGACACTAACGTTTCTCCTTTGGCAAGGTACCAGAGAGTGATTAGGATTTCTTTCTCTAGAGGTATTATTTCAAACCCTCCTCTGTATTTTTTTACTGTTAATTCTTTTCCAATTGCAGTGGTCAATTTGAAATATGTTGACTTTATCATTCGAAAATGAATAAAAAAATCGGTATCAAGATAGTTTGTTATCCATTCCTCATAACAAAGTGGCATACGAAAATGGCATTTCCTTTGCTTTTGCAATACAATAAATTTGGTCCACTCAGGAACGGCTTTTAATAGAAAATGCATTACTATGTGCACACTTGTGGTCAAAGTATCATCTATACAAAACTCTTCTAATAATGCATTCATCCACATACTATTATTACTTAATATCGACATAGCCTATGTCACATAGGTACAAGTAAAAATTACAACAAAAACACAGAAACAAAACAAGGTTATGTTATGCCTAACTTTCGATTTTCAGGTGATCTTACTTCCATACAACCAATTACGTCATTAACGGTGATGTAATAGGTAACTTCCAGCATACTGGTACATACTCAGGTACACGTAAGTTACCTCGCAAGAAATCACTTATTGATTATATACAACTCTGTGACAAATATTTAGGGTTAACAACTTTTACCGTGGCTGGCAGCACGCTAAACGGATCGGTAAGTAATATTTTAGCCCAGACTAAAGGCACGCACAAACGTCATTACTTAAAGGCTACCTCAAACCAACGCGAATTATTCGCAGTGGCAGTGAATTTTTCGCGGCCAAAAATTCGCTCCATTATTGCGGCTTATGGAAACGCTCAGCCATACGCGTCAGTTTGCCGTTGCAACTGCGATTGTGCAACGATTTTTTCGTCGAGATTTTTGTTTCGCTGTCAACAGCGTTTATATCGCGCGATTTCTGTTTCGCAAGCAAAACAAAATGTCAAAACTGAAGGTGTAATAGAAATTGTTAAAAAATGAAAAACAACTGAATGCTGCCTTAAATGTTAAACAACTTTTATTTATTTTAACTCGGGAACGATTGTATTTAGGTACATTGGGTACGAAGAATTGAAATATTGAATAATATACAGGGTGTTCCATTAAAAAATGCAATATTGGAGTGCCACGCGTTTATGATCTACCCTGTATAATTAAAATTACTACGGCCTAGTGGACATTAAAGAAACTTTTGTATTTTGACCTTGATGATGATCCATTGCATGATCTTAAGCTTTTTAAGAACTGAACTATTGTAAGACGTCTTAAGGGCTTTTAAAGGGGCGGTTGCTTAGCATTTTTTGGATCGGTTGTCGAAGAGGTAATTATTAACGCGCATTTTAGAAAATGTGTTCTGTGGGCAACATAATTGTGCCATCGTGGCGCCTAAAATCGGAAATGGATGTTAGTTAACTACCGAAAAACTTACAGTAAACTATTTCGGTTTAAAGCTTAGTAATCAGAAAATTATATTTATACGCCGATTATATAAATGCAAAAGTCCTGTTAATTATCATGAAAGTATTTTGTTAACTATTGTTTAGATAAATAAATAAATTTATTTAACGTTCATTTTAAAGTTACATTGTTTACGATTTCGCACATTTTCTCCGATACAAACTTGTACAATCGGTAATTGTTTCTAATTAGTTGGGACATTCTTATTTCATATTTTTCTTTCTTCTTAATTTTTACTCATGAGTAAGTCTTTTGTACAACCTCATTTTATCTATAAAACGTACAGGATGGCCAAATAAGAATTCCAGGTACCGTATCTGGGAATCTGTCCATCGTAGAGGCTTGCGATAAAAAAAAGTTATTACTAAAACGGCCACGAGAAAAACCTGGAAAATATGTTTAAGTTCCTGAAATGACCGCTAGGGGGCGTAACTGCAATCTGGAATCTAAAAAAGTGATGTTTCTGTGAATTCCGCTATATTAACCTAACAAAAAAATGTCCGGTCTTTGAAGTCGACGATAATCTGAACCTTTTTTATTTGACAATTTTTGCTGTATCACTAAAAATGAAGTGGTGGGGGGTATTCAAAAGTTTCCGTAAAAAACACCCTGTATCTTCCAAACGGCTAAGCCGATTTAGACAAACTCGGTTACTTCAAAAGATCTATTGTTCAGCTGCAAATATTATAATATTAAAGTTTTGTTAGTTTCACATATCGCCACTTGAGGGCTTTTTTCGACATTCCGACAGAAATGGCTAATTTTCTCAAAAAAATTAAATGCATTGGTTTGATTTTTTTTTCATGAAAAAGTAGCTAAATGATGCCTAAACAAGCTCGCGAAAACCGCATCAACCTACGATACTTACTAGCAAAAGCAAAATTTTGACTCGACCACGGATTGTCCGTACAAATCGGTGTATAAAAGCACGAACGTGACGTTAGCTCACCAACAAGATACGAAGAATCGCATACGATTTTTAGTAGGAAAATTTTTTGCAACTCGGCTCGTATTCGGAAACCAGACTTTTGATCCGGCTCATATTCAATAGCATGTCTCTTTTCGCTCTCATCAAGGCAGATATGTACAGGTACCCCATACCTTCACTTCGCGTTTAATGTACAAACTCCTTTTAAATATATATTTTTATATATTATATTTTAAATATATACAGGGTGCCCCTTATGTGTGGAATATAGTATATATCTCGGTAAATATCGACTGTCTACAACATTTTTCTATATGAAAGTTGTTACGCCACTGCCTTGCAGTTTAGGCAAACATATTAAACATTCATTGCGATGAAAACAATTTTACTGCCAATTTCGTTTTGCCTTCAAGGTTTAATAAGAAACGTGAAAATTAATGAATAAATAAATGTTCATTTTGTACGATTTATTCGCTACGGTGTGAGGCACTAGGCGAATTTCACTGCCGCTGTCGTCGCGGAATGTTCGCTATCGCTGCAGCTGCGAATAATTCGCATTGGTTTGGGGGAGCCTTATATCACTTATATGTCGCCATGAAGTAAATTGTCGCTAAAACTGTTCGATTCCTTTTCATCTTACTACACAATTGCAATACATAATAACACTCCCCGCAGGGGTTGGAACCCATATGAAATATAGGTTCCGGTTCCGCACTATTTAGGTGAATCATATTTTAAGAGTTCCGGTGCCGGTTCTGTGGCTTTGGTGCGAAACTAGACGGGCGTGTTTTCCGCCGCGGGATCAACGCAGCGTTTTACACCGGAATGAGATACAACGCGCTTATATGGAATAAACGTTGGCGCGTTGCTTGCAGATGTGTTGTACCCTTCGATCATAGTATGTATGATCGAAGGTTGTACCCTTCTCTTATATATATGGTTGTACCAAAGAGTAACCATAATCTCTTTGGTTGTACCGTGACTCCCTCAGCACCGCGCAACCGCAAGAATTTGAATTTGCTTTAAAGCGCCAACGTGCCAGCGCTTGATTTGGCTATACCTACCTATTACCACAATTCCTGTTGACTACGGCAAAAAAAATATTTCTGTGTGGTGTGGTGTTACGCAAACATGAAGTAAGCGAGAACACAAATAAGTTAAAGAAGAGGTAACATACTAAAAATGAATATTGTTGATTATACCTAATATGTTTTTCTTCTCGAATTAAAGCAACCGTCTATCTGTCTACTTTAGCTAAGTATCAGTCATGATCCTTTACAGCATAGCATGGTACAATCTTTACAGCATATGGAATAAACAACAAGACCTATAACGTTATTATTTATTATAAACTAATTACATAATATAGGTAAGCAGGTAAACTAAATTAACTTCAATCAATTACGAGTATAACGTTTGCAGGTTATGTTTATTATTCATCCCTTGGATGATAAAATAAATAATGGTCGAAGATTTACCCCCTTTGATTATGTAGTAGTAATCAAAATTTACCCCTTCCACATACAGTTCAACGCAAATTCAAATTCTAGCGCGTTTGCGATTGCGCAGTGCCGAAGCCACCGAGGGAGTCACAGTGCAACACATCTGCGAGTGTCAAAAGTAACGGTTCAAGATGGTGCTACTTGAATGCATTTTATATCTTTAAAACCACCACTGGGGATAAAAATAAATGACCCATACGAAGGGGCAGTGTATAAATGTTATGCCCAGGAGTACCTAAAGCCATAAAAAACAGATCATGTTTCCTATGCATTTTAAACCGCTCTATATAAACGGTCATTGTAAGCTGTTCTAGGACTTGCGTCTCGGAGGTCGGATAGCATATTATAATATACAAATCTTTACTAATTGTAGAATTTTGCAATCATCCACTCCAGTGATTACCTTGATATTCGGCAAAGAATGTGCAAATAGGGCAGACGAAAATTAATCATGCGTTTTAGTTTTTGTTTGCAATGTACTAGATTTCAAATTTGTACCTAGTTATTTTGGGGGGAATAGATGAAGCAATCGCTGTAAGTTATAACCTCACTATATTACAGCGTTGTAAATACACAAATCAGAATGTTTGAAATATATATGATTCCTATTGTTTATTTATAACGCTACATTTCAAACAAAGGTAAAAACAATTTAATGATACCAAAATAAATGTTTTATTATTTCAAGCACCATTCAAAATAACAATTCATTTCCCGCCAACTTTTCATAGTGGCACCACTGGCGTGCAGTGGAAAATGTAGGTTTTTGTCCATCACAAGCGTTATTATTAATTCCGCAACGCAATTTTGAGGTAAAATGCATTAGTTTAGTATTTCAATTGAGCTAAGAATTTTGAAACAAATAAAATTAAGGACAATTTTAGTTAGTAGTACAAATGTGCTTGACTAATGAACTACAAAATTTTACACCACAATGTTGTGAACCTGTCGTATTTTGCTTCTATCACAGTTCAAGGCAACATATTTTTATGGCGCTAAATATAAAATTTAAACTAATTAACCGTTTCATTCTTTTTTCTCTATGAGTTAAAGATGTACAAATGGCTTTCTAAGTGTATAACCTACAACTTTCAATTTCAGAATTAAATGCAATGGATATTAAGGACAAAGTAGATCCCGATGATGTAAACAAATCGCCAAAGGTAATTAGAGGCAAGTATCAACAACTGGCTTTCGTTGTTCACATATTAAAATTAACATTACAGCCGCAAAAGAGGAAATAGGCAAAATTGATGTACTAGTCTGCGGCGAATGCCACAATGCGTTCCACTACATTGACGAGTTTCAAGAGCACAAAGAAAAGGGTAAATGTTCTGGTCCGTCGGCGATCCGGGACAGTTTCAAAAATGAACGTGAACCGCAAATATGGGCCTTTATGATTTGGAAGCACGCCCATTTAAAAAGGGTAGAAGGCGACGGTCCACAGTCATCGTGGCTTGTATATCAAAAGTGGTGTAAGCTCGACCCGAAGGAGAAGGGCGCGTGGATAATCGCGGCGAAAAATCTACAATCGTTTTCGAAAATATCAAACGCTAAAGTTCAGGAAATTAAGACTGTGATTCATAAAAACAAATCGGAAAAACCTAATAATTCAGTGTCTAAAAGCATCAGTGGTGACGATTTATCGGAGGAAGGTGAAATTTGTGAGTATTATTATACATTTATTGTAATATATTTCAGAACAAATCAGAGACAACTTCGGGTTTTATTTGAAAGTACAATTTGTTGGTTATAATGGAACATAACCTAACTTAGCTTATGTTAGGGCATGGCTATTGAATGTTAATTAGGCCTGTTGTTTGAATCGACGAAAAACGAGTTCTCTGTTTTTAGGTTAGAATGTTTTGCGCCCAACTTATCATTCGGTAAAATACGATCGGGTGGCTTGTGTACTTTGCAAAAACGCTTGTACTCCTTGAAAATGTATTTTACGCATTCAATCTACTGTGCGACTAGTTAAAAAACAAGCTCCTTGATTACATATACGTAACAGCTAAGTGGCAGGGAGCACTCGGTTCAACTCCTGTTGTCAGTTTGTGCAGGGAGATTTACGCATAGACAAGTATTATAGGCTAAAGTCTACAACAGCAAAAAAAAATAGAAAAATTTATCATGATTAATGGGTATAAACATCGCTCCTTGCTTGGAAAGGAATTCGGCAACTGTGTTACATTGACTGAAAGTAAAAAATATGTAAAAAAATAACTGTGATTAATATGCCCTTACTTCACTCTTGGACTGAGTGACAATGCGGTTATTGTGGCCATTTTGTTCGTCCGTTCCTACAATTCTGTCACTACCGGATCTTTATTTTAAGAGCTATTGTCTTATTGCAGTTCATTGTGCGTATAAATCCTATGTACGCTTGTTGCATTTTGATCATTGAGTCAAAACTCAAAATCCATACATGGAGAACCAATCTTGATCTAAATCCCAAGTTGATGGAGGAAGAGGTTCGATGCATTGATGGAGAAAAAGAAAATTCGTTCTATTTGCATCCGTGGTCATTCCTTTAGCCACTGTTTATCATGTGCACATGTTACATTTTAAGGGAAGGTTAAACGCACATGAAACAAGTTAATAAGCCATTATGCAAACATAAATGACGAGAGCGTATTTTTTTCCTAATAATATTAATGCTAGTATAACGCAGGGCTTATAAATTCAAACAAAATTTAAAAAGAAATCAAATCAGTTTCGTAGGTAACAAATGCCATGACCAGGAAAAAGTACCGGTAGGCACGAGTTCCTTACCCCATTCTCTTTCAAATGAGCCACCTATCGTCGAAGTCTATACAGTTTAATAAAAAATAGTGGAGCGTATACAAATACCTCGACAAATACTATGCGATCAAAAATGAGTTGCTGTCGAGTCGCCTTTGAAATTTTTGTTTAAATGGAAAATCGTATTTCACTTGAACTTCTAAAGGCGATTCGACAGCAACTCATTTTTGATCGCCCGTTACATACAAATTTTGAAATGGGCATTAGTTTTACTTTTATTCGAAGTGTCTTCTACATAGGGCAGCTTTGGCTGAAACCCCGCCCACTCAAAAATAAAGGTAAAATAAAATAAAAATAAAACTTTTTATAAATGCTTTCGTAAATAGCATTGCGCATTGTCTACATTAGAAATTTCATTGAATACCTTCATAAACAGAACATACAGCATGCGTTAACAGTAATTTTGAAACCGGTATTAGTTTTAGTTTCATTCAAGGTGCCTACATATGATATTTCGTTTAACTGCTTTCACAAATAAGAAAGTTGCCATTGCGCATGCGCAAAACCAAATTTTACAACTGGTGTTAGATTTGTCTTTATGCCAAATGCATATGTATAAAATTTCATTTAAATGCTTTCATAAATAAGAAAGCTGGCATTGCGCATGCGCAAAACAACATTTTGAAACAGTCGTTAATTTTACTTATATTGGTAGTGTTTACATATAAACTTTCATTTAAATATCTTCATAAATAAAAAAAGTTAGCATCGCACATGCGTCAAACCAAATTTTTGACACTGCGCATGCGAAAAACCAAAAAATATGGATATGCACGGAATCCTTGGTCCAAGCCCTTTCAAATGAGTCCTATATCGCCAAAATCGGTTCAGTGGTTTAGAAGGAGTACGTGTGACGGACAGACGGACGGACATCAAAGTGCAGCCAATAGCGATTTTTCATTTTGAGGAAAATACGCTAAAAATAACTTATACGTGCGCAGGCTAAAAGAGCAAAAAAAATTATTGCGCAGGCGCAGACGTACATTTCTTATTTCTAAAGCAATTCTATTCAATGCTTCTTATAAAAACAATTTGAAATGACATGTAAAAAGAGAACGCGCATGCGCAGTGCCAACTTTTATCTCTGGCCGGAATTTAAGAAATTTTAACAGAAGGTTCAATTACAAAAAGAAATTAGACTGACATGTCATGCTAAATTTTTCGGAAAAAGTATTAATGTGGAATTGCTTTTTTGTAAATCATTTACAGTTACTTATGTTTATATTAAAATGTTATTAAAAAGTCTTAGTTTTGTTTATTTATGATTATTTTTGCGATTTACAGTATGTTATTTGGAATTTTTTAGTCGTATTTAGTGCATTTTTCACGAAAATTTAACAAATACTACTTATTCCGTCCGCCTAAGTGTTTCAGATCTTAACCGAGATCCTCATCGAGATCTTAACACTGAGAGCATGTAGAAAGCATTTTTTATGTAATAATTCGAAGTGTACACCAAAATACACCAAAGCTGTAATCATCAGCAAACAATTGACAATTTGAGTGGTGTTGATAGTTGTTTATTGTTGGGAGATTTGCTGTCGAAACGTGTTTAGATTTGTTCCACATGATTTTAGTCCCCGTTATAGACTAGTTTCCCACATGTCATGCAGAGGACGCCAGTAGTAGTAGGTAATTGTTTGACATTATGAAATAAATACCATTGAATGTAAATACTATTAATGTTCTAAATCGATTGTGAAAAGTGTATACAGTGTCGAACAATCAGCTGAATTGATTATTTCTAAAACAAATGCAAATAGATATCTGAAAATTTGTACGGGGTGGTTCAAATTCATGGTTCATCATTTGGATTTCCACAACAATGGGATATGCAGTGTAGGTTAAAACAACGCATTTGGAATTTTTGAAAAACCTTGGAAAATAACTGAGATATCACCTAAAAACTGAGAAAGTAAAATTTTGTTTTCATTTTCCCTAGCTTAAACGGTCGGAAATGGACGATTCCCGTTGGCACTTTCTATTTTCCACTTTTTTTCGGATAATCTGGATCTGTTACCACAATTTCCATAGCACGCTAGAGGTAGAAGCTACAGGATACTACTTTCTTATTTCTTATGACGCCTTATTGCATTTTTACGGAATGAGATGGAGAGCAAAAAAAATAATGACATGTCACACTCTATAGCTATAGATACTGTTAAATAAATTTAATAAGAAAAATCGAAAGTTTTACATTCATTTCTCCACAAAACATCCACGGGTAACTAGATCTTGCTGAATCAACATCATCATTCCATAAAAATTCAATATTAGTCCAGTCATATTAGGATATAATCTCGGATATAATATTGCCTAAAAATAATTCCCTAAAACGGCCAAAACGGGATATTATCCATATGTGTTGTGAAAGTATCCATTAACAACGTATAAAAAATCAACACTTGTGCATGCTGTGCTACGGCGAACATCTTGGAAAATGGCGGCCGATTTTCACTTTTTTATAACATATTTCCCCAAACGTTGGAAGTGTCCTTCCACTTAAATGCAGTCACATGTGATCAAACTTCCCTCGTGATATTCCAACTAAGATTGACAGTAAAGTAAACCTTTCCTAAGCACAAGTTACTCGTTATTAGGATGAAAAGTATAACTTTGGTACCGGGGACTCTTTCAAAAACTGCTTTTAGTGACCTTAATAAAGGTAGATCTCTCAATTTGCTTTGGACTGCTTCTTATAGAAATAAACCGATACAACGAAATATCGAAGGATCCTCATTAGAATCAATTTATTTTAATCTTACAAAATACATTTTATAGTTAACAAAAATGCATCAAATTCATGTCTTGGTCATTGAGATAACGCTCTTGGTCTTTTTCCCAACGATTTTGACACGTATACTTTTTCTCCTGTATATAAATGACTTACCTCAATTCATTGACAATGGAATTACGTTTATGTACGCTGACGACACTGCAGTAGTGGTGAGTGCTGACAACATCCGACCACGCTTTAGAGAAACTAAAGTTGGTCATTAAGGAATTTATTTCTTGGTGTGGTGCAAACAGACTGGACATAAACTCAGATAAAACTGTGATCATGCGTATGGCTAAGTTCGCTCGAACTGCAAGTCAGGATCATCAGATACTCATTGAGAACGTGATGATTTCTTGTGCTCCTCATACAACCTATCTGGGTGTCAAAATAGATTGCAATTTATCATGGAACTACCACGTTGAACACGTTATCGCCAAGTTGAATTCTGCCTATTATTTGTTGTTTCAATTAAAGCAAAAATTTGATTCCAATATGCTAATTAGAGCTTATTACGCAGTGGTCACACTTGAGCTACAACATTGCTTGTTGGGGATCGAGCAGGCAAGCATACAGACTCTTCATTCTTCAAAAACGCATAATTCGTCTGATATGCAACCTCACATATTTAGAAACGTGCAAATACACCTTCGTAAAATTTAAAATCTTACCATTGCCCTGTATTTATATCCAAAAAATTCTTCATTATGTGCATAAAAACATTAAGAAATTTGTTACAGTAGGTAAAATGCATGAACACAACACAAGAGGGAAACACAACATTGCAATTCGCAAACACAACCATACCTACTATAAAACCTCTCCATTTCATACAGCCTCGGTACTGTTGAATCTCCTCCCAAAACATTTAAGAAATCTCAACCATCATGAATTTAAAACAAATCTCAAAAAAATATTACAAAGCAACTCATTTTATTCCGTACAGGAATTCAAAGAACATATTGCTATTCTAGGTTCGCTTGATATTTTATAGTATAGTCTATATAGTATGTATACAGTTTTTATGTCGTTTGTTTATTCTAATATGTCTGTTATATAATATCCCTTGACGTTTCGATAATTGTAATTCACAATTCTAAGAATAAATCACTATTATTATTATTATGGTCGGTGTTTCTTGTGAGAACTCAGGTCTAGCCTGGTTAACTAATCGCACGGATTAAAATCAAGTAACGATCAGTGTCTGTGTCTGTGTCTGGTGAAGTTATGTAGGGTCCTAAAAAAAATAAATAAATAAAAATCACACATGGGCACAATAAGCCAACGCTATCAGGAAAGAGGAAAACAAAACAAAACAAAAATCATTATAATAATTCCTGTAATTTTATTAAATGGAGTTTATTGTGTAAGTGTTTTTATTATTATTATTATTATTATTATCGGTGTTTCTTGTGAGAACTCAGGTCTAGCCTGGTTAACTAATCGCACGGATTAAAATCAAGTAACGATTAGTGTCTGTGTCTGTGTCTGGTGAAGTTATGTAGGGTCATTAAAAAAAAAAAAAAAAATCACACACGTACATTGGACATCTAGGGATAATGTAATTCGTACTTACCAACATACCTATTGATGGGCATTATTATTATTATTATTATTATTATTATTACGTTTTGATCAAAATCCACGTGGTCGCCAAAAATGCATCAAATTCATGTCTTGGGCATTGAAATAATGCCCCTAGTCTTTTTCCTAACGATCTTGGTGCATAAATAACGATTTTGACATGTTTTGATCAAAATCCTTGTGATCGCCAAAAATAGATCAAATTCATGTTTTGATCATTGAAATAATGCTCTTGGATTTTTTTCCAACCATCTTGGTGCATAAATAACGATTTTGACATATTTTGATCAAAATCCATGTGGCCTCAGAAAAATAATTTAACATTTTTAAATCACACACATGCGGTTATCAAATGATCTACTCTTTCAGCATCAAGATAATGCGTTTGCAAGCCAATCGGCCACTTTTAAAAAGAGTTAGAGCGCACACGGACGGATGACAATACAAAACTATAAAGGATCTGAGGATCCTTAATAATGAAAAGTCGCAAGTGTTCTGGAATGGATTCATGCAATCTGCAATGGATCAATGTAGTAAGGATATTACCAAGACAATACATCTTCGTTTCATGAACCAAAATTCTCTATGTTCAGCATTGAATTTTGCACCTGATCACAGCAGAGATCAAGGCTGATCGTGTATAGTAACCCTTGATTACCTATTATACCTACACGAGACTATACATGTAATAGTTTTGTCCGGTGACAAGAATGATAGTTTGAGCTCTGTGATTGTAAGGCTGGGCAAATCATTCCTCGGATCTGTAATGAAAGTGAGGAAGGCAGTGCTCAATTCACAACATGATGCCAGGCCATCCTCATCACATGCAATTCTGACAGCTGTTACTTTAAATTCAGCTTATTATGTGACCCTGGTCCTAATGGTGTGACTGAGGAACTGAAAACTCTTCGCTTGAAAGTGTTCTCCTATGAAGTGATTTGTAATGGAGCTGCAGAAAGCAAGGAGCTGCACTAGTTTCTGTCAAGCTTTCTTCAACTGCAGAAATTTGAACAAAATTCGAGTTTTTCTTACTAACTGTTAGAGATAAGGCAATAGTTATAAGCATCGACAAGATGTATTTTTTTATGTTCTTCAACTTTAGGCAGAACATATTAGCCATAGGCCCTAAATAAACGATTTTGATTGGTTGGCGCTAAAACACTGTACGTTTTGGCCGTCGTTGGTCAATCGCACGGACGTCTTGTCCTCGGTCTTGTCTATTGTGCAAGCTTGCCAAATTGATGTACTTTTTGATCAGCGGATTGTGAGTATGTTTCGCTACGTCATTACAATGCACATACAGGGTGATTCCTATAGTACCTGCCACCGTTTGGGAGCGTATAGGGGGTGCCTAGGGGAAGTCTTTTCATATAGGACACTTGGGGTCGGAAATCCAAAATAAGGGCGCCAGAACCAAATTTATCTTCTGGAATTTCACGCCTGTATGTAGGCAACCCAACCGACCGACGTTTCGCGCGGAGCGATGCAGAGCGAGTTAGCGCGAGGAAGCGACATGGGAGGGAAGGAGGGAAAACGACAGTCAAAAGCAATAACGTTTACAAGTGTTCAACGTGGCCACCGTTGTTCTCAATGCACTTCCTACATCTAGCCAACCACTCCCCTCGAACTCGCGTGAAGACTCCTATGTCCTGGCGAACAGCCTCTCCGGCCATGACCACGCGCGCAATTAAGTCCTCTTCGGATTCGACGGGAGTCTCGTAGACGTGCGCTTCCATCACACCCCACAAGTAAAAATCTAATGGGGTGATGTCGGGCGAGCGGGCAGGCCACTCCACCGCATCTCCACGGCCGATCCATCTGTCCGGATAGGTTTGGTCCAAGTGTTCCCTCACCTGCCGCCCGTAGTGAGCAGGGCACCCATCGTGCTGGAACCAGTGGTCCCAGTACAAGTTCACTGGAACATCCATTAAAAGTTCTGGTAGCACCTCGCGCAGGAAAATCAGGTAATTATGGGCATTTAGACGCGGAGGGAGGATGTAAGGCCCCAGTAGGTTGTCCCCCAGGATGCCAGCCCAAACGTTTAAAGAAAACTTGTCCTGGTATCCTCGCGTAAACGTTTCATGAGGATTGTGCTCCGCCCAGTAGTGGCTGTTACGAGGATTGAAGGTCCCCTCTCTTGAGAATCCTTTCTCGTCAGTAACTAGCACGCTCCTCAGAAAGTTCGGATTAGCTTCTTCCTCCTGGACGACTAAGTTGCAGAATTCCAGCCTCCTTTCATGGTCACCCGGCCGTAACTCTTGCACTTTCTTAAACTTATAGGGTGTAAGTTGTTGTTGTTGGCGATGTTCCACACTGTGTGTTGACTACAACCCACCTGATCTGCTACAAGTCGAGTGCTAGTACGCGGGTTTGCCTCGAAACGTTCCAACACATCCTCCTCTAAGGCATTTACCAACGGGCGATCGCGATCACGGGCGCTAGTGGGCTGCGAAATAGGAGGAGGTCGGTGTAAACAAACAAACTTTTCGAAATGGGTGCTTAAATGACCCAAGTATCGATGTGCATCACGAATCTGTGTGTAAAGTTAAGCCTCCGTCAGCTTACCTGCAATTGCCCTGTCTCGCACAGTCGGAAGTGAACTTCTTGAAAGACCTGTCTGCAGGGTAACTGACGGTTTGGATACCGCTCACCGTACGCTCGTCGTGCAGCTCGTGCGTTACCATTTGCCAATCCGTACCTGAAGTGCATGTCCGCGTATTCCGTGTTAGTAAAACGTGCCATAGTGCTTATTCACTTGATACGCGTCGTTGCAGACGGGATTTCGTGGGTTTAAACAAAATTCTGATCAAGTGTCAGCCACACATCGCCGCCTGAGATCGCTCCGTGTGCACCGCCGGCCGGTTGGGTTGCCTACCTACAGGCGCGAAATTCCAGAAGGTAAATTTGGCTCTGGCACCCTTATTTTAGATTTCCGACCCCAAGTGTCCTATATCAAAATACTCCCCTACGCACCACCTACACGCTCCCAAACGGTGGCAGGTACTATAGGAATCACCCTGTATTATGCACCCAGCATGGCCATGTTGGCGTACTTTTTTATTTGCTCAATCAATTCGTGAACTAGCATTTTTGTTACACCACATTTGGGTGACGTTTATCATAACTTTGGCGGCTTAGTATGGCCTTAACTCATGTTCATACATATTGTTTTTGAATTTTTTTTTTAAATGGGTGTGGGATTCTGCCAAGACTGCTCTACCAACCCAACCATGGCCTTGCTCGAACCAGGGATTTCTAAATATAACTAATCTGCCTTTTATTAAAATAACTGATTTACACACATTCTTTATGTCTATTGCGTTTGGAACTCATTTGATGCCATTTACTTGACAGGTGTACCCAAATTACCGAACACACAACCGAAAGCGGTTTCGTCTCCAATTACTGTAAATAAAAGTGCACCTATTCCTACCAGTACACAAAAATCTGAGAACAACACAGAAGATCAAAATGATGAAAAAGCAAAGCAAAACGTTAGTCAAACTCTTGCGTTGCCAACTCCAAGTCAACCTGTCAAAGTGGTGAGTATGTAGTAAATAGACTCGTTTTGAGTTTTCATCATTGTTTACGATCGCAGGTTATGCGAAAAGCGTTACGCACAAGTAAAGACGACGACATTGATGAGGCGATAATAGAAAAAATACTCGGTCGTAGATTTAATCATAAAAAGAAATGTACAGAGTATTTCATAAAATGGGAAAATATGCCAGAGTATGTGATAACTTAACGAAATGTCCGTAATATGTGAATTTTAATTTTGTAGGTCAGAAAATACGTGGGAACCGAAAATACATTTAATCAAATGCAGAGTATTATTAGAGGAGTTCGATCGTGCTATAGACAAAAAGAAGCTGGCCGCACAAGCTGCGAAGAGTGTAGAGAGTCAATTAGAGGAAATGGAATCGGAACTTGGACGGTATGTGACGGTAACATTATAGAGAGTACTAGTAACACCTACCATTGTAGACCACAACGTACCAGTAAGCAGAAAGCCTTGAATCAAGTGAAAGTTTGGTGTGGCGATATGTCTGATGGGGAGGAAGGTTCGACCAAAAGAAGATCGTTCAGTGACGATGATTCCTCAGATTCGTTTGAGAAAAAAATGAGATTTGATGATGAAACTGATAGTTCTGAAGACGAAAAGCCTCCTATAACTATAAGGAAGTTGTCAAAACCGCCAGGCTCACTCAACGGTGTCGCCAAGAAAAACCTTGATAGCCCAATGCCAAGGGTGGTACGCGTTAGTCAAAAGGAACTTCCCAATTTATCGTCTGGAGTGTACATCATGTCAAAAACTGAAGGAATTATTAAGCTAGATTCTACCAACAGCTCACCTGGTCATTCATTGTTGAAAGTTGGATCAAAAATTGGCCAAACTCACATTAAGGTAATATGAAAGTGTAGCTTTTTTGTATAACTTTGTTTTTCAAGATGGTTAAAAAGGAGGAACAAACCACGAAACCTGCCATAGGAAAATTACATGGTCTACCCGACAAAAAGTTCTCACCAACGTTGCCAAGGGGCAAAACAGCTCCACAAAGGAAACTACTAACTCCACTTGCCATCAATAAGTCAACATCAAAAGCGATGGAATCGTTAGATAAACAATTAGACACTTTTATGGACGATGACTCGGACGGTGTCGAAGAACTAGAATTTCCTACCGACTTGCCGCTACCCTCTCCTGACAGTCCACCTGGCGAGTTCACTCTTTGTCCTTTAACCGGTCGGGTACTCGGCGAATCCGACGACGTGGAAGAGGTGGAAGAACTAAAGGTTGAGGAGTCTAAGGAACCCGAGCAAATAAAGGAACCTGAGGATACTGTGAATGATAATACAACTCTTGATGCCCTGGTGAAATTGGCGGCGGCCGAACTGCCGGATGTCGAGCTCGACGTAAATGAGCAAGTAAAGAAGGTGGAAGAAATTAAGAAGGATCCGAGTATAGAGGAGGAAGAAGAATCTGATAGTCCGCATGCTATTGTGACAGGTAAAGTGAGAGTGTCGTAAGTTGATAATACGAAAAATGTACAAATGCATAATTAGGCTATAAGCCATGCAGTGTACAATTGTGGTAGTAGCTTACAAAGAAGTCACGTTCATGAATACCAGTCTCCTATGTTACCAAAACTCAAAGCTGCGCCTGAAGTTAAGTGCAACAAACATTACGATTTTTGTTGTAGCAGTGGGCTCAAAAAAGTTGCAAAACAAATAATGCAAATTACGGAAAACACGCGTGCGCGCATGCGTCGAAGTTCCTTTTTTGTGATCCAATCTTACTAAAAATTTTATTTGTTACTCAGTTGTAAACGTTGATTAACAAGACAAAACGCAAACGGGTAAACGTCATGTTTAAACGCTACTGACTTGTAAAACTGACAGCAGACTTGTAAAACTGACAGCAGACCTGTAAAAATTTTACAAGTTAGTAATCTAGTAATTTCATTGGCCAGAATTAATGCGAAGTCTCTGTTACATGGATAACATGATATTTTAGACATTTCTTCAAGATTAATTTAAGAACTAATTATTTACGTTTACAAAAAAAACGGCTCGCCAGTCAACTTCTCCTATCGCCAGTAAAAACTCACTTACCTGGCTAATAATGTAAAATACTATAACAGGCACATCTCTTAATAAAATTAAATCAATTGATCATGTCAAACATGTAAAAAGCTGCATGCGCGCTTACCAAAATTGTAACAGAAGTTTCTCTTATAAAAACAAATGCATTGATTATATTAAACATTTCAAAAGCTGGCTGCGCGCATGCGCAGGATTAAGTTTCTTTATCGTGAACCGCTCTTGCTAAAATTTTAACAAAAACACTTTAATAAAACCATATCGGATTATATTAAGTACTAGCAGACCTAGCGAACTTCATACCGCCCAGTCAATATCCCTCTTCCGGATGGGACGTAGCTCGGTTTCAGCGCTGCGCCCTCTCACCTCGCCCAAACGTCGCGCTCTCGGGAAGGCCATAAGCTCGGTGTCGGCGGCAGCCGCCACACCTTGCCTAAAGGTCCTACTCCTGGATGTGACTTGAGTTACCTACGTTCCTACATCAAAAAACTTCGCAGGCATACGTAATTTATACATTTGACCGTCTATTTTTTTTGTTTGCCTAAAGTTGATGGAGTGGATTCTTCTAGAGCCGTAGTAGATCCCGAAATGGATTAGTCATACAGCATAAGACCATCGGCGAATTAATTTGTGTTGAAACGAGGACCACACAAACAAAACCATGGAGAAACTGCAGAACGCTCAATCAAGGTAGAGATTCTGGGGTATCTAGCAGTTGTGATTAATCCCAAAGGCCACAAGAGCACGTGCCCACCTAACCATCAAGATATAAGTGAGCATATAATAATGTAAATCACACTATTTCTTAATTAGAAATGGCGCTATTAATTCGTAAAAACGCAAAAAACTACAAACATACACTACCCACCACAAAGTATGCCAAGCAAAAAAAAGATATTTTAATAATATTTCAAAAATAGTGATGTTTACATTTTGGAAATCAGAAAAAAATGCTCTATCAAAAGACACAAAAAGTAACAATGACTTCCATAAGAAACAAGTATAAATTGTGCACAACTCTTGTGCAAATAAAGCGCATTTTTTTTTACCGAAATAGCTTTTGTTTTGACATCACCATGGATATAATTCTTGCAAACCGTCTGAAGAGACCTTTCATTAGTGTGACTAGTGTTAGTGTAAATTAATTCCTTTCGTTGAGACCTTTCATTGGAGTACTATGAAGGATAAAAGTAGTTCCACCCCCCCCCCCCCCCCCTCCCATTCCACCCCGTACGTGTCGCACGCGAAGGTTATAGTTTGTACAAACCAATTTATTTGGATGAGACCTTTCATTAGAATACCATGAAGCGTAGAACATGTGGTCCCCCCCCCCCCCCCATTTTCTAAAGTTTAACTTCGGACCAGTAAAGGCTTGCGTATCCAAAATCTGAGACCAATTCGTTGTCATATGTAAAAGTTACGCACGTTATACTTTCAAAAACAGCATCTCAGGAAATAATTCGGGGGAGGGGGGGAAGGGCTTTTAGACAGCGAAATTTAATGGCCGTCTCGCAGACCTTCAGGTACAGGCTACCTACTGCAAAAAATTCCATTCATTTATTTTGAAATATCTCAGTTTCAAAACGGCCTTTTGTTAAAGGGGTAGTATACCCAAAATCAAAAAAATTGTAGAAGAAAATCTAAGAACAAAATTTCAAACCGGAGTTTTCTACGATGAGTAGTTTTCAAATTATTAACGATGAAAGTTTGAAAGACGGAACATGTGACGTCATCCCGACATATTGGGTGCGGCGGCACGGATCCAAGCAGTCCAAACGCGTCAGTCCTTTCATACTATAGTTCGCTTTCCTTTGAAAAAACGAGAAAACCTTACTGAAGTATCATCCTCATATAAATTTGAATATTTGTAATAAATTTCTGTACCCAGCTCAGATTGGATACCTATGTTTTCAGTAAGCGGTATTGGTTCCATTTGATTCAGTTCTTCTGTTTGATTGTGGCATTATGTTTGATGTTGAACTGGTTTCTCCACTACGAAATTGATCGTTTACCCACAATAAGCAATCAGACACAATCTTACTTTCTTAGATAAATAAGTTGACTGGCGTTTTGTAGCTTTATTAGGACCTTTGTTTCCTGTGAGATGTAAAGAAGGGATTGCGGTATGTTAACCTTCTCTAAACCTTATGCTGAGGTAAAGGGTCCTTTCCTTCTTGTATCTTCCAAAAATGTCTGATGACATGATTATTAACCTTTTTTCCACTTGTAAAGTAGGCTTTCTCGGCATTTGTTCCAAGTGGTTAATAATTTTTTATTATTAACTAGTAGTCAATAATGAGAACTGTCACGCTGTCACTTTTAGAAAACACAACCCGAAATTTCGCTCAATGAACGTTTAGACAAGTTCTCTAAAACGAATAATTGCCACCATTCGCAATTTCCAGAGAAATTACATACCTAAAATTATCACATTTTGAAAAAATTCGAACGAAATTACTCTTTGAAAAATCTCAATGACAGAACAAAATACGGCCTGTTTGACTTGTACTTCCACGTACTTGATTGACATGTTAAATTAAGAAACAAACAATTCTGTCCAACCGTTAACTCTCTTATCAATATAATATGTTAATTTAGAGGATTTCAAGTGCTAGTAGTGAAAAAATAGTATATATACCACGGTAGAGAAGTCTATTATTGCCTTCGCACCTTACACCCCTCGGCGCAAGCGCCTCGAGATGTAATCTTGGTGCTCAGGCAATAATAGTGGACTTCTCTACCTTGGTATATAATGTACTATTATATATAATAGAGAAGTTTTGTCTACAGTCTTAATTCTATATTCCATACATTATGGGCACCCTGTATGTGAATCACAGAGCTATCTATTTGTTGTGAAGTTATCTGCAGTGGTCTCCCTGTGGTTTCCCTGTGGTTGATCTGTCCAGGATTTAACCTACACTGAAAGGTATACTTGTGGAAGCTGTAAAAATCTGCTAAAAGTATGATTGCAAAGTGAATATTGTGAGACATACCGTCAAAGCCACCTACAGATTTATTTTTTCTATCAATAAAATTAAAGGTAGTATAAAAAAACGCACGCATATGAACACCTTGTGTATTGAAAGAGGCGGAAATTTACGGCCTTTGAAATGATTATTTTAAATATTTTTTCTATTTCAGTGTCACAATGATGATTTTGTACAAGTTGTACAAAGACAGTGATTATAGTCGTTTTTTTTGGTAACTCATCTCTTAATTTGGCAGTTACTAGTTTGTACAAGTAGGTACTTCGTTGGGTACTTCCATGTTTGAACTTCAAAATGTCAGTCTTACTACGCTGCCAACCTAAAACTTAACGGCATAAACAGTGGCGTCGCTAGAGTACAATGCGCCGGGTAGCAAAACAATTAATGCGCCTTTCTCCAAAAATAAAAAATAAAGATTTTAGCAATTTATTTTAGTATTGTTACAGTAATGTATTCGAGAAGGGGAGAGATCGACGCGACACGTGGCGGAGAAATATGTAACTAACCTAAACGGGATAAATAATAAGCATTATGGCTGAATGTACGTTAAATTCGTCCTCTTTAAAAAAAAATAAGAGCAAGAATTATTGTTGTGTGCCTCAGTAAGTAATACTCAATGGTAATACGTATGCACGATACATACAAAACACAATTTAACCCCCTTTACACCGCCCATTTTGTGTTGTGGTAGCGCCATCTGTTATCACTTCCCTTCTCGAATAGGTACACTAAATACACATTAACACAATAACAATAACGCAAATAATGAGATCCTAAAACACTAAAAATCTTTTTTTCTGGCCTTGGCTTCGGAAAATACATCTATTAGATGATCTAAATTTAATGCTCGAGCTTTGTCGTTTTCAATACTTAAAAGTGCCAGGTTACTTAGCCTTATTTGTGACATTGAACTTCTCAAACAATTTTTAATTAGTTTTAACTTTGAAAATGACCTTTCGGCAGAAGCCGTAGTTACAGGAATTGTTAAAAACAACAAAAACGCTGTGTATAAATTTTTGAAACCTGCCGTGGCTGTATGGTGTTCACAAATTAAAAGTTTCACAACATCCTTTACAGATACACAGTTCATAATTTTGCTTTTAAATGTACTGCGGAAACTTAACAGCTCATGAACTAATTCATCTGTTAAATCTTTATCATACTGTTGAGCTAAACCTCTTGCAGTATCGACAAGAGCGGTGTCTGTAGCTTCAATTAAAAACTTAGGAGTCAAACATAAAAATTTTGAATAAACAGTTTTAAAACCTGACATTCTATTTTTTAATTGATTTATTATAATGTCCAGAAGAGAGTTAAATATTGAAATCCTAAATTGCTCTTCAGGATTTGAAAAGCGATAGTCGTTAAGTAATTCGTCGTAATGTCTTTTTACAATCTTTGGTCGGCGTTGAACAAAGGTACTTTGAACACCCCACGATTCGGCTACATGAATGGCATCGTTTTTAAATTGTTCAAAATTTAAATTTAATTAAATTTTTGTTGAATTTTTGCTACTCTGATTAATCCCAACCGCGATGTAAATGTAAGTAATATAATAAATAAACCAATAAACGATACTAACCGCGGCGCCTTTCGGTACTTGGCGCCGGGTAGCAATTGCAATCCCTACTACCCCGATAGCTACGCCACTGGGCATAAAAAGTGTTCCCAACATAAAACATGTTAGTTCTAATGTTCCCTATAGTTTCTGATAATGATTTTTTTAATTAAATTAAAGCACCGAAATAGAAAAAATAGTATGAAAAACGCGTGTTACAAAGCTTTATTGTAATACTTCTATCTTGCGGACACTCGTGGCTACGCTTCGCGTCGCCACTCGTTCCACAAGATAGTCGTATTACAATAGGTCGCATTGTAACACTTGTCTTTCAATATACTATTTTAGGGCATTTTTTAAGAATTAAAAAAAAATGTGCTATTGTTTCCATTTTGTCCGTCCGTCCGGGCCCACTTCCACCGTTTTGAACTACTTCTAGGAGAATGGTCCTAGAGTCCTGGAATTTTTTGCAGTAGGTAGCCTATACCTATACCATTCATGGTATTCTAATGAAAGGTCTCATCGAAATAAATTAGTTTGTACAAACTATAACTTTCCCGTGCGACGATCAGTGAGCGACGGTACCTGAGGGGGGGGGGGGGGGTAAAAATTAATTTTATCTCATTGTATTCTGATTAAAGGTCTCAACGAAACGAACAGTTTTCTACCAACTACTGTCCTTCTTTCTGTTCTCTCATCAAAGTACGGGGCGGAGGGGGAAGGGGGAGGGGGGGAGTGGAACTAGTTTTATCCTTCATGGTATTCCAATGAAAGGTCTCAACGAAAGGAATTAATTTATACTAACACTAGTCTTCCTCCTCGATCCCATGTCGTGATCGGTTATAATTCCTTATATCTTAAGAGTGAATTGTCAAAGGAAAGTACCTACAAAGGGCGATTGGGACGTTTGGAAGAAATAAAACAATTGGGCATTTAAATAACTTGGAATACACTTGGAATAAAACCAAATTTAACGCCAGTTCCAAAATTTTCATTTGCGCATGCGCAGTGCCAACTTTCTTATTTATAGAGGGATTTAAATGAAATTTGATACATAGCCACTTGAAATAAAAGAAAATTTAACACCAGTTTCAAAATTTGGTTTTGTGCATGCGCAATGCCAACTTTCTTATTTATGGAGGCATTCAAATGAAATTTGATACATAGCCACTTGGAATAAAAGCAAATGTAGCGCCATTTTCCAAATTGGTTTTGCATAGGATGTGCAGTGCCAACTTTCTTATTTTAAAAAAATGCGCTTTACCTGCACAAGGGTTGTGCACAATTTCTACTTGTTTGTAATTGGATGAACGTCACTGTATAGCGTTGTCCCTCAACCCATTTTCTAACACTGATATGGAAAAATATCAATGCGTGAAAGTTTTCCAGTCACAAATGACGCTTTTATTTTTCTCAAAAACTATTAATTTTGGATCTATTGTGTTATAAGGTGAGAGCAACAAAATTTTGATTCAGAGAAGGCCGTGGAAATGTTACACCACGTCTAATATTAGCTTTAAGTAGGTATTCGCCAGGAGAGAATGCCGGCTACAGGCATCCGGTTTCTCGTCGTGCTCAAAGGCGCCTCGCGATAAATATTCGCTCTGTTTGTACGCCGTTTATACGTTATTTCTACCGCGTTCGAGAAAAATCAAAATCTCATATTTTGTAATAGTCTATTTCCATACTGTAGTTGATTTTTGAATAACATCCAGCAGCGTGGCGTTCGTTGGCGTTTCTTCCTATCTGCTAAAATGCAATGTATTACAATAAAGGAAAATGCTGAATGTGCTTGCGGGCTTGCCTCATTCCGCCCAGAAAATTACCTTTGAGGCAGCCTCGCGAAGCACGCCTGACAAGGCTGCCGCGTAAGGTTGATACGCGTCTTTAGATCTACTTACTTGTGCAGTAAATCTACTCTTGTCACAGACACACGTCTATAGCTCTATCTCTTTCAGGGACATCTCTGAATAAATATTGTGTTGCTCACTCAATATTAAAAATTTTAAAATAAGATACAGAATACGAAAAGTTAATAAAAAAAAGATTCATATCATTTAAAATAACAAAGTTATGGTCAACTTCCGATACACGCGGAAGATGGCGAATCTTGATAATATTCTCGTTTGATTTGAAAATTATTCTATTAGTTACTTCTCTATGCTAAGTTGATCAGTCTAGGGAGCTGATGGCAAATGTTTGGTTTTGTGGAATTTGGTTAGTTTTTCTTTCTGTCTGCGCATGCAATCCCCACACAGGAAGTTATGTCTCTTGGCTATCCACTATAGGTAGTCAACAATCTGTCTGTGACCTGTAACCACTTCTCGGGACTTAACACACTTGCGCATGCGCGAGTGGTAAAACAAAGACTCCAATTATCCAGATAAATTGTTTACATTAAAAACTAATATTTGTTGGGGAAGACACTTTAGAGAATTATTTTACTTATTTCTGCGACAAAATTGAAAAAACCAAACTCAACCTAATGCGCCCATTACATAATGCCCCCCCCCCGCCATATATCACACAACTCCGGCTAACGTCTCACCTCAATGCGTTTGTTTGAGAACTGATGACACGTTCTTACTTTCTTTTGCTATTTTCCGCGTCGATTTTTGCAGTCCAACTCCAACTCCAACCTGATAACCGTCCTCGCGAAATGATCTCGCCATATAGCTTCTCGAGCAGACCAACCAACACTTCCAGTTCCACATCAATACCGTTTTAGGAGTATGTTTGATAAGGCGTCAGGCAACTTGGATACATTCCTCTTATTGGTACTACTTCGCGCAGAGCCCTGCACATCTCTGTCAGCTGATCATGGTTTCTGACGCAAATGTAACATTCTTGCGCCCCTCGTTCCTCATGTGTGTACAATGCCTACGTTCATCTGCACTAAGTCCAAGGCATTTGATTGTGATACAGCCTATACAATTAGTTAGTGGCTTCTCTCCAAACTGTTCCTGAAACTCCATGTTACTAATTGTCAAAACGTGAACAACGCCGACTAGCGGTTTTCTTTATCAAGTTTTTTTATTACTATCATACAGTCTGAACACTGCAACTTGACTTTTTACATAAAATTTGTTGTGATGTTGTTCATACAGACGTTTATAAATGTACGTTTTTCGTATTATCTAACTAACGTAGCAGAATAGGTGGAACTCATTTTGCACTGCTACATACTTTCAGATGATGGTTTAGAAAAATTAATAAAAATAGAGTCGGTCCAACCAACTATAACAACTTCATCATCAATTTCTACAAATTTAAATAGTATAGCAACAACATCGACCGATTTAGAGGCATCCATTAAACCTCTTGCTATCGAAAAAAGTAGCAGCATCATAATGAATGTGGATGATTCGGTCACAACGTCGCAACCAAAAACCACCCTAAGCACCACGCTCACGAATGTGCAACTTCAAAATAGCCCAAGGCTGGCTCCATCTAAAAAACTTTTAAGTACTCCGACTTTGGTACGCCAAAAAGTATCGACATTCCAGCAACGCCAAACTATCCAACGACCTGCCTTGGCGAAACCAGTTCCGACAGCTATCATACATAAAGTCTCATCGAATCGAAACAAATCGGCAATTTCACGAAGTTTTCACGAACCTGGTTTAACTACTGTGAAAAGAAGTGCGCCGATATCCACTTACAGACCAGCGAATGTTGCAAGGCGAATAGGCAATACGACTATTTACAAAACGGAAAAGTCGCCACCAGTTCCAACTGTGAAAAGGCTACCTCCTACACCATTTAAATCTCCTATCCAGCGCACTATGAAACCAACTACAGTATCTTCGATTCAAACACAGCCCACTTCCAAGGCGGTAGCGGCGAGCGTCTCGCCCACTGTAATCAATATGCCGCTACTAACACCCGACGACGAAACGTCTGCAATTGCAGGACGCAGCACCGACACCACGATAACGGAAGTTCCCACATTGACCTCTCTAGCAACCGATACCGAAGTGTCCGAGCTATCCACATTAAATTTGTCAGATTCGGAAACGCCCTTATTAATCACCGGCGACGACGGTACGATTTATCAGGTCGCCGGTCAGAACGAGGAGGGACAAACGATTTTAATCAGCGAGGGTCCGGACGGCCAACAGCAATGCGTTATCGTCTCCTCGGAGGTCTCGAGTGACGAGATTCCCGCCGTCATGCAAGACACGGCGCCCGAACCGGAACAGATGGAGGTGGATCAACCTCTCTCGATTAATACCCAGTCCGAAGTTGAAGACGAAAGTGGAGAGTCGGAGGAGTCGCACGTTGTCGCTCAGATTATCAAAGCCGATCCACCTAGCCCTGGTATGTACTTTTCATTTACATTTACTGCAGTTTTGTTACTTGGGTGGCTCAACGATTCAAGGGGGATAAGATAATTTGAATTGCCAATTTAGACAAAAATTAAAGTGAACGTAACAGGCTCACTGAGAACTCAGGGACGTGGAATATCGGAAATATCAAACTATGGCGCCATTTAGAGGTAAGATCATTCATCGAGGGTACCTGATGCTTTAATTGGCGGCGGTTTCCGGCCTCCTGTACAAATAATTAGGTAATAAAAGTACTTTATTTTATAGCAAGTGGTAAATTGAGATTTTGATAGGTTTCAATGAGTAGGCTAAGTCTCTCTTTAACAGTAAGAGTAGATAAAGTGATCACTTTAACTAAGGCAAGGGTAGATAAAGTGAAACAAGTGATTGCGCATGTGAGAAATGTGAGGTTATGTTACTCCATTTTATGATTACTTTTAAGTTGGTACCTAAAAGTGTGCGTAACATTCCAACTTCAATTTCTCAAGAGATTATGTTATTTTTCCACGATAGTACTGTAGAATTATTTCCCAAATTTGTTTTTTTTTCCGCCCCTAAAAATTTGCAGCTATGGGCTCGGGCCCACATGGCTCCATAGTAAATCCGGCCTTGTACGTGATTCCTAAATTACCTGGCGACGTATTTTTATGGAAGTTGTTTAGACCTTCATTCTTGCTCCGGTCTAACTGCAAGTATTAATGAAACCCTCGACAAAACCTTTTGTAGGAAATTAGCTTTGCGATTTGCTATGATATTTTGGATTTTACATACATTACCTTTTTGTCGCTACGAAGAATATACTTTCCCAGACCTAATTTTGTGTATGTCACTTTTGTTACTCGGAATATTTGTACTAATTTTAACTATGTTTCATATCCTTTATATTATCTGCTTACCAATTTAGTGAATTGCTTTTAAATTTTAAATTAGTTTTTGAGGTTACCAAGGCGTAGTCCGAAGCAGATAGCTATGATTTTTAGTTACGTTACTTATTTCACTTCGAAGAATTTGTTCATACTATCTTATTTGCGTTTGAATCACATTCATGCTTTTATACACCGATTTGTACGGACAATTCGTTGTCAATCAAAATTTTGCTTTTACTAGTGTAAAGTCATTCGAATTATTGATTCTTATTGAGTATTAATTATAATTTTTATTCGATTTACTCTAATGTCAGACGTTAGATATTGCTACCGCAATATTTTGTGCCGCGCTATTCACTATCCCTCTTGTTTGTTTGGGTTTCTATCTGTTACAGATAATGCAAAAAGCGCCCTCTCTGAGCCAGGGGCGGATGGGCAACTAAAATCATACCGGGAAACTGACTGATGGCAGGCCAAAATTATAAGCAGCGATCAGCAAATTATGTTTTTTTTGGTGTGTTTATTAAAAAATATGTATGATAATGAAAAAAATTACGTCTTCATTGTCGATATCGTTCAAAATTACCTTCTCGATGTTCATCAGCATGAATGACTCAAGTATATTATCAGACAAAGTGTTCCTTAACCTATTCTTAATAAATTTTAGCGTCGAAAAAGAACGCTCACAAGCTACCTGCGAAATGGGTAATGAAAGTATATATTGATAAGCCAGTGCCAGTGTAGAATAGGCTCCCTTAAATAAGTTATATTTTAAAATTGCACAATAGCAGCATATAACGCAGTTCTGGCATTTTTTTGGTTTCAGTGCATGTTTTTGACTTTGATCCATGTTCCTCGGCCTCGGCATATCTTGTTTCTAAACCATCGTCATCGTCTGAATCTACTTCAACATCACCGTAATGCACTTTGTAAGAATCTTCAATTGACTGCTTGCTTAATAAACTTGCTGGTTGCTCGCAAAACTTGTTAACTCTTCTTTCAGTATCCGTGAAATAGAGCAGTGAGCAGACGCAATCGCCAGTCATCGTACGGATACGGTACAAGTTACTACCGTCACCGTACCACGCCTCGCGGCTCGCGCTGAGAATCACAGTTCAGTCGACCGAGAGTCAGTCATTCCTGTGACTTAAATCGAGAAAAATCTTCCGTACTTTATTTACTTATTTTCTATGTCTCTTCCAATCTTGAACGACTAAGTATACAAATACAACTATACATTTATAACAGTTGGTTACGACGGGCCACCGGGAAATTTCCCGGTATCCCGGTTGGCCCATCCGCCCTTGCTCTGAGCTCCAGAAGGTTGCAACCTGTTGTTCAAACGGTAATTTTTCATCGACTTCTTAATTTAACGTTTGATTACATGCTGGTTTTCAATACAATCGAATTGTAATTACTGCATTTAACAATTATAGCTCTGTTGTTTTCTACGGAAGCCTATTTTGATTTTAATAATTTCCCTGAGTTAAATTTAAACTTTAACATTTCAGATCCAGATATTAGAGTGTATTTGTAATATTTTGAGATCATTTATTAAATTACTCTCACTTGTCATGTTGTAACCTGTCAATTATTTTATTTCTTTACCTTATCAAGGCTTGAACAAGGATCGTTTAGTCTGCCTTGGTTCCCCTTTTTGGTAAGTATTCTCTCTTCTCTTTTGAAATTTACCAAAGACTCAGTGGCGCCTATGCGGTTTACTACTCCTATATATTTTTTATTTTTTTTATTTTGCCTTTATTTTTGAGTGGGCGGGGTTTCATCCAAGGCTACTCTACCAGCCCAACCCACTATACATTTTCAAATATCCATACCCGAACCCGGATTCGAACCAGGGACACTTAGCACCACAGTTCAACTTTAACTGAACTGCGACACACAGCGTTTCGTTTTGGCTAGTGCGAGAACCCCATTATTCCCCCCGACCCGCCTCTATTTTGCCTGAGTTTACAGGGTGCTTATCTCGTGGTAATTTAAAAATATTTTTAAACTTCCAATCAGAGCCAAGATCAACAAATCAAAATTTAATCGCAAAATTTCATTAGAAATTAAACATAGTGCACATAGGTCTGGTTTTTTGAGTACTGATGAATGCATGGAAAATGCGTTACTAAGCTTTCTTTTTATTTTTATAAATTTAAGCTCATTTCTTTACTGTTATTTTTTACATTATTTTATAATCTTAAACCCGTTTAAGATATTAAATTTTTCATTTAACTTAATTAGAGGTGGTACACATAATTTACATATGAAGTTAAAATTGGTTACTTTGCAATCGTATCATATTAAAAACCAACGTAAAGCACAATGACAAAACAAATTCAAAAATCTTTACTGATACTTTTTCTTTAAACACTGAAGATATACCGGGTGATATACGGTAAGTAGGAACATAGGGATTTAACATGGGAAATTAGTTTTATGCAATATCTTGCCCTCCTGTACATTTTACAAAAAAACTGTAGAGTTTAAAGTTGTTCAGAATTAAAAGGTGCATACAAAACTGTTTTTTTGTGCTGCTTAACTGGCAAATGACACTATTTAGTTTTAGTAACTATGCGGCAATGTACAGCGAAAAGATCTAGATCGGCAAAGTTCAATCTCTAAATCCAGCAAAGGTCGAAGCATGTTAATGATTTTCTATTATAAAGTATACGTAGTAGATGATAAATGGATAAATAATAATACTATAGACCTAATAATAATGACAAAAAAATGCTTTTAAAGTGGTGAAATGTAGGATTATGTTACTTTACTGTAATTTACGTTGGCTGTACTTATGGTGGCAACGGCAGAACCAGTGGGCGGGACGACAAGTTGTTTTTAAAAACATAACCTCTAAGTTGTAGTATAATTATTATTTATAGATAATCGTCCTAATTTCAGTATGAATGTTTAAGCACAGATTTAAGTATATTTAAATCTGCACTGTTAGTTGCCGCAGTTGCCTTTAGCCCAAGAAGGATGCTCCACCTTTAACAGCACAACAAGTTACCTAAAATGCGAAACACGTTGCCAAGAGGACATTGGTTCTGGGGCCACTGTTTTTCCAGTTAATGTGTTTACGATGGCCACTTTAGCGTGAAGGGAATCCTCGATCTACCCTTCCGCCACGGCAGAAGATTTCCACTCTCCATGGCGTTTCAGTGCTAGGAAATCAGCTCCTTGCCTTGCGCAGAGCTCCGCCTAAAGCAATGCCCTGTAAAGCTTTGAGCATTGGGAAGATGCAGAAACTCAGCAATCTTTCGTGTCATGCTATCGAAGGAATTCATACCTACTGGCTGCCGTGTACACTTATTATTAGTGTAATAAATGAAAAACCGATTATGGGATGTATTTTTTCTAGTATAACTTGTTCTGTATATTCCGTAATGCTGTTTTCTGCACCACTTCGTGAACTTCACATACTCTTCACTATAACGATTTGATGATTTTTTTGGCAGTAGATTTGCCATCGCCTTATTTGCACAAACTTGTACGTGCTCTGGTGTACTCATTTTGACGTAAATAAAAAAATTCAAATCAAAGAAATTTCAAATTCAAATGTCAAAATGGCGAACAGCAGTGCTACCAACGCAATATTGCGTAGAAAAAAAAAACCAATATAACTTTTAAATGTTATTTATTTGAGTTATTTAAATATTTCAATAAGTAAAAGCAGCACAAAAAATGTTGTATGGTACGCGAGCTGAAAACTATAGCGTAAACTCGCTTCCATGCCGCGTTCGGCCTGCGGCCTCACGCGTCATTAACGCTCATTACGCTATAACGTATTTTCAGCTCTTGTAACATAAATTACTACATAGTACATGTTTTATTAAGCTTTTGGTATACCCGCAAATTTAAAAATAAATTTCAACGTTTCTGTTAGTACCAATTCAAAAACAATAAAAGTCATGGCTATTGCCACTAATAACAGAAATGTTGAAATTTATTTTGAAACTTGCGGGTGTACCAAAAGCTTAATAAAACATGTAAAAACAGTTTTTTGCACTCCTTCGTTCTAAATCGCGTTTTCCCAATAAAGCACAAACGTCGGGAACGTCAATTTTACAATTGACTATCTACTTTCGCGCACTAGTGCCTAAAAATTCAACGAAATTATCTATTTGGTGCGGATCATACACTAATAAGTAGTATGATGGAAGAGTAAAATAGAAAAAATAAATACACAGATTTCTACTTTATCGGCATAGAGGATTTGATTTTTTCAAAAGAATTATAATGACGCAACAATCTCGCGAAAAAGATTTGAATTTATATAAATTCGATTTAATTAATCCGTGCAAAAAATAGAATACATTTTACGTGCTTGAACATTGTTTGCTTGATTCGCGCCGGCAAACTTCGCGCTCATCTGCAAAATAACTGTTCCCGCACTAATAATGTAAATAACTATTGTATGCATCTTTTAAATCTGAACAACTTTAAACTCTACAGTTTTTTTCTGTAAAATGTACAGGAGGGCAGGATATTGCATAAAACCATTGAATAAAAACACTATAAGAAGCCTAACGCTTATGGAAGAAAGCGCGACATATCCCCTTGTACCCGCATTGGTTTGGACCCCGAACTCTCTTTGAGGTAAATAGGGGGAAAGCAAATTTTCATTCTTCTCAGTTCAAGAATCGACACTATCGACAGTGTTCCCATTATATTCTCAGTTCAATCTCTGTCGCGCTTTATTTCCACGGGGTTATGCTTCTTATAGTGTTTTTATTCAATGATAAAACTAATTTTCCATGTTAAATTCCTATGTTCCTACTTACCGTGCACCACCCGGTATAGGTATAATAGGTATAGAAACATATAAATCAAACTATAGTGCGATCCACGCTTAGAGTTCAGTATTGGTCCTATGGAAGGTAGCGTTTCCAAACAAGTCTCAAGTGTCTCACAAAAGACTTGGGTTGGAGAAATTATTAGCATGACAACGGCAGGGCCGTTAAGTACAGATAATAAATCAATATAATGCATCTATTTGAAGCAAAGAAGGAATTTCTTTAAAAGTTAGGTAAAAATCAACAATAGAAGCAGGTAACGTAATTGTGAAAACGCTGTGTAATTTACGTCCCCTATGATTTACATACTGAACTTTAGGTGTTAATCGCACAATAGGTTACATAAACATTTTAGAGTTAGGCTTAGGATTAAATAGATAAAGGTGGCGGTTCTTTACTAATCATGATTATTAATTAGAACTTGAATCATTGAGACACCCTGTAAGTAATCTCTGTGTATTTGTAGTTATAAAAAAAATACCTACTAATTATGTACCAATGGGGATTTACGATAATTCAACCGGTTAAACCGGGTTGGTAGATTTTGCTATGGTTACAATTATTGCCACAATTGTTTCTATGGTGATTTCTACCAATCCGGTTAAAGCGGTTGAATTATCGTAAATCCCCATTATTACCCATCCCTCTACAAGTAGGTAATTCTTGGCGACCCATTGTGGGTATATTTTCGGGATAATATATTTGTTGGTACCTGAATATTAGTAGAAATAAGACCTAGCAGTATCACCCATGGCCTAATAAGAGTATGGTCTGCTATTGCGCATAGTGCATTAGTCGGCGGGCGTTGATGTGACGTCACGCGGTTCTGAAACGAACTGGTGCCGGCAAAACTCCCATAATATTTCTATTTTTTTGCCTCATTGGTTATAACATTTGTTCAGATTATTATATACCATTGGAAAGCATATAAAATTATCTATCCTCTAGTATAAACACAGTTTTATAAAAATAAATTTTCGCGGAGTGAGAGATCCGATAAAACTGATACATTTTTTGAAGTTTTTTGTGAATAACTTTTAGCTCGACCAATTGCCGACGTCTAAACTATATGCATCTGATATATCTTTTTATTCCGCGTAATCTGATATATAACACATGTGGTTGTACCACTTGATTGGGTATATGAACGATTTTGAGGCTCTGCCGCCGCACTATAAGAATAAGTAAGAAAGCCTAACAATTACGGTGAAAAGTTTTCATTCATAAAGTGCTTACGCCTAATTAGAGCTTATCTGCATATATCTACGTAACAAACTGTGTTGTATTACAAAAACAAAGTAAAAATCATTAGGATTTAATCTAAAATATGAACAAAACTTTTTATTCAATACCATGAACAAAACATTAATTCAGACTATTTACAACTTAAGAGTTCTTTTTCATTAGCTACTAAACCATTTTCTTCAGTTTTTTCACATATTTTCGTCTTTCTGCAGAAGTTCCGCAGCTTTTCATTGTCTTATTTAGTTCCCGAATTCGGATATACGTTCTTACTTTAACTAAGTATTCGAGAGCGTCGTTAGGTATAGGTATTAATGTCGTATCACAGTTTTGATGCATTAAGTTAATTACTTTTTCAATAATTTTAGAATCGTGGCAAATGTTCTCGCCGTGCACGTGATTAAAGTAATACTCCATTTTCTCTGCGGCAACAGCGAAAAAATTTGTTGGCTTTGTCAAGTTCCCTTCAGATATAAAATTTATCCAATTACCGCCTTTTTCAAATTCGGCCTTTTCGCCTAAGAATGGGTATTTAGTTTTTCTACTGTTGTTACTACAACCGTACACCGCACAATGAACCATTGTAATGAAGTAATTAATTGTATTTACACGTCATGAAATGTAATACCGAAATTATTAGTGCAAATTCATTCTTATACGCGCGTACAATATTTCAGTGTACAGAACCGCGTGACGTCATGCGCGACTTGTGCGAGATTTCGTTCACGGGAATAGCAGACCATACTCTTATTAGGCCATGGTATCACCTATAGACAAATTGTATTTCATTTCTTATGACGGCTAGAAATTCACACGTTTTTATTTAAAAAAATTGAAATGTGGGAAAACAACTAGCGCAATCGAACCGCGAACTAAATTTTCAAGAAGTTAATAATTATGGGACGCGAAAAAGTAATAGTGGTTGAAATTGAGTAATTCTGGTACATACGGCAAGTGCTGCAGCACCTAAAACGTTACTGTATGAATATAATGGCCTTGTAACTTGTGAATCTTTATATTATTAATGAACAATTCCATTAGGTGGCACAAGAAAGGTGGTGCTAATGCTTCCCGACGGAAATTTGATGATGACCGATGTAACAGCAGAGCAGTACGCAGCACTTGAACTTGATAAATAAGTTCTAGTTCTAAGAAACTTAGCCTTTTAAGTGCAAAGTATTTTAATAGTTTTACTATTCTTTTTTTTCGTTTGTTTATAATTTAATTGATTGATTATTGTTTCATTAGATGTATTAATTTTAATAGCGGTAATATATTAATATTTAAAAACATTACTCACATGTTTCTCTCGACATCTCATCACACGTAAGATAAGCTACATTAAAAAATGTGAACCCAGTTTGCTTTTCCGTTTATTTTACCCTGTAATGTGTTTAGATATTAAAATAAATAGTATAATCATGATACATTTGCATATTGTTGTCGCTTTCAACGTCAAGTGGAAAAAGTGTCAAAATGTCTGGCATACCTTTAATACCGAAAGGCAGAGAATGCCAACAGTTGGACGTGTCACACGTTTTAAAAGAAGCACTGCAAGATGTACTCGATTCACCAGAATTTTATCGGAACGTGGCAAAAAATGTTTGCAAGTACAATGCGCAAAACACGTACCTACAAAGAGCTGGCAAGGAAATTACAGAAGTAAGTATGCCTATTTTCAATAATATCACAAGCAATAACAACGAAAATTAAGGTATACCATTCAACCAAATTGGACATAGTTGATCTGAGCGGAACAGAGTGCAATGTTATGACTGGGCAAGGGGAGTTTTTGAAACAAGAAAACCTAATAAGCAAAGACGCCATTCTGGCGGAGAATGTTAAATTGAAAAGTGACTCATTATTCCCGGAACTACCCCCCACAAGAGTGCAGAAATACAATTTGTTGCAAAAACGGGATATTTTACCTTGCAAACCTATAATATCAATGGGTATGATCATTTTTCTGTAAGAATTACGATTTAACGCAATATTAAGATTTTAGATTGAACTCAAATCGGCATCGTTGCACACTTTCGTGCGGATGTAGCCGAACGGATATTGCTGCAGAAAAACAGAAGATCGGTTTTATTCAACATGAAAAGTGAGTAGCTTATCTGACGGATCGGGAGTTGGTAATATAATGACAATGACGTTTTCCGTCTGCTACATCTTTGTAGAACATTTTTCACTTCCTCTCCTCCTGTTTTCTAATTATTTTAACGAACTCTTATCGCACGGACCGGAGATAAACTTTTATAAAACAAATGCAAATATTTCCAAATGTCCCTAATTTCTTAATACGCAATTACAAATTAAAACAAGACGATTATTTAAACAAAACCAAAGCAAACAAATCTGAAACAAAACAACATTCACCGAATTTCAATCTAAAATAGCGACTACATTTAACTTGAAATTTAAATTGAAATTCACATCATACAGGGTGACCACTAAATGTTCAGATGCTAAATAAAACGCCCACATGACGTAGTTTACACAACAATACATGAGGATGATTGTTTACCACTAAGGCTGACATACTCCACTACAGTGTAGGAGAAGGGCGTTATTACAACTGGAATGTCGTAATGACCCGTTTACACTTTAGGTGCATAAAGAAAGTGAAAATAGATTTTAGAGGGTAGCAGAAAACAAGCCTGGTTTTACTTCGAGCTGCGTAATTGGAGAACGGCCTACGTTCTGCTAGGCAGTCTGTTGCCACTAGTTCTCCAAATGCTCACTCAGTCGGCGGTCTGACCCGACGCGACACAGTCGATTGATTATGGTGGCGAAATTCCGGCCAAAAGTAGTGTGTTGCCGCTACTTCTGGTAACTCAACTACCAGGATTCGTTCATCCGCTATTACGGGTCACCATGCACGGAACAAACACGGGGGTGTTGTTTTTAGTCTGGGTTCTTGGGGCCGTTATATGCCGGGTCGAGCTTGGCGTTACACGCCCCCGATCACTGAACCACTCAAGCGCCACAACCACTGTAAAATGCTGGTTTATCTAAAAAATAATTAACTCGTGGACTGTAAATACTTGTTTATTCTTGTGCTTGTCTTAAACGCTCTTTTTCGACTCTACATAAAATTCGCCGTTCTCCCAAACTTAAAAATCTCGCGCAAGCGCGTAACAATCCTAAACAACCACGACAAGGCTCAACACTGAGGGGGACCATGTCTATGTTGCGTTTGCATGTAATTAACAATGAATCTTAATGTCGATTAGATAAGTTTGTATGATACCAACTCCCGCAGCCTACGATTAACCGCTAATGCGAGTATAATTGAACGTAGGTCTGCACAAACCAGAACAAAAGCACCTTTTTTAAAAACGGAAAATGTAATGCATAAAGCAGTCATTTCACAAGAAATGAAAATATCACATCGGCCGTCGTTCAAACTAGAACCAGACGAGATCTTCTTCTCCGAATACAAAACGGCAACATTATACGAAGTAAGTGATTTATTTTTGATGTGCTTTAACGCTTAGTTTGTAGAAAAAATTTAAACTAATTAACTCCTCTCAAGTAATCCAATCGTTTGCGCCACTTCCCACATCGTGCGACTTCCCCTTCAAGGTGGAAATATGTCAAGGCGGTGTAAGGCTCGCGCCGGGCATGGCGGCGGTATTCAGCGTTAAATACTACACAGATGTTTACAAGAACGTTAAAGATCTTTATAAGATCATTACCCGAAGTGGTGAAGAGCTGACTGTTAAACTTGAAAGCTTTCGAACGCCGCCCTGTCTAATGGTTTTTGTGTTTAGGAATTTTGAAAGCGTACAGCAAATGAGACTGGTCCAGTTGGGTTTGAGCTTGAGTTTTAGCGAAACTCGTCGTTTGGCTCTTAATTCATCGATCGATTGTGGAGATAGTTTGGTCGGTTACGAAGCGAACATCGATCTGCTCGTGAAAAATGAGGGGAAGTATGGGAGGTTTTTTATTCTTGATGAAGACGACTGGTATTTTAATGCAATTCCGGTAAGTTTTGATTAACTAGCATACCGTTCTTCCGCCAACACAAAATAACGGTGTAGGGTTTCTGTTCATCAAAGATGAAATGACAACTAAGAAATATGTAAGTAATACAATGTCTAATTTACAGGAAACAAGTAGCAGAACTAAAAAAACAATTGGTGCTTTTAGCATATATCCAGTATATTTTGAAATTGACGAAGGCGATTTCATTGAACTTGAAATACAGTTCCTTCCAGAGGAATACGGGGTGGCTGTCGAAAAGTTGTTTATACTATGCGACAACAATGCGGTTCAAGAGATCGAGCTTATTGGTGACGGTCTTGTGTTTGAGACCAGTACGGTAACCGTCGATTCGGTAGGTGGATGATTTCATTGTAGCTAAAAATGTGGTAAAAAACATCTTGCAGGAACTCCATCTAAAAACGCAAGAATTTTGTGATCCGCAAACTAATTATGTTGTTGATTTTAAAGAATGTTTACCTTTCTTTAAGTACTATCAAAAAATAAAAATACACAACACCTGGTAATTGGTTAAGCATTGAAAAGAGTAATAATTAGAATATTTGCAGCGGTATCAATTTTTATTACAAATGGCTCGTCAGGGAAAGTCAATGTGATAAGACGATTGATTTTAACTCAATGGACCCTTCCTGGGTAACGGTAACTAATGCCCCACAGTTATTGCGCGGCCGCAGTTCTACAGATTTTCAGTTGGTGTTGCAAAGTGACACAGTCATCAGAGGTTTAACCAGCTTAGTACTCGTGTGAGATGCTCCTATATCTTCTTTTTTAAGCAAAGAATGATTAAGTTAGTTTACACATTTTAGATGTACCTGAAACGTGTTTGTCCGAAAATGCATCGTTTTGCGTACTGGAAAATTTAAACGATGATAATGATGGAATTAAGGTGGGTACACTTTAAAGGCCAACGCTCACTTACGCACGGCGTATGAAATCAATGTAAGAGAAAAAGACGCTTCCCTCTACCGCACGAAGTGAGCGTCGGCCTTTAGTCTTTTACTCAATTAATTAACATTGCACCCTTATGTACGCTTTTACTTACAAATTACTATTAACAATTTTTTGGAACGAAATAATTAATAACACGGCTAGCTCAGTAATAAATAAACTTTTAATCACTCTTACCTTGGGGAAGGTTGGATTCTTGAATCACTTATAATCTGAAAATTAAAACCTGATGCTCTGGTTTGATCACTCTCAAATAAATACTCATATAAATTGAATGGTTTCGTTTTGTTCGCAAATTTGTTCCACTTCATATAAACAAATTGGATTGACAACTTTGATTAATAAATTAGTTTTTTTAAGTAACTTGCCACTACAAATCTAGCGCAACGGAATGTTTTGCACCTTGGACCCCAAACGCTTTCGTAGTAACAATTTATTTAAACGCGAACACCTTCATCCAAATATATATCGAAACAAAAAAAAAAAGATTCACTTCCTTATTAATACGATAACGCTTCGCAATATTCACGTTTAAAAATTACTGCAGCCGTTCGATCGCTTCTTTCACGCAAAGTAGTTCTCTTTCTCCATAAACCAGCTACATATACTATTACTTTATCGCTGCTGGCAGCTCGTAGCGAATTTAGAAGGCACCCACGTTCGTGAAACTTGTTAAAAATGGCGGCACTATCTCCGGTTGCGAGGACGATTCTCCCAAACACTCGGTTATAAGGTTTTCGGTTGGAACTTTTAATTAATAATCATTTTTTACGCGATCTACTAAATCTTTGGCGTTGTAAATGTGCACCGACGGTTCGGTTTCAGTAAGAAAGCCGCTCTTCCACCAGATTTTTACTTAAATACCTCGCCGAATCCAAATACGAAACGACCACCTTTTTCCTAAACGCAACGTGCGCAACCAATACAAATCTCGCATTTTCGCCACGTGCACGGCTGTTTGCAAAACGGAACGAAAGCTATGAGGCGTGTGAGATCGTGTCGTGTTAACACTGTGACGTTTCGACTTTTATCTGTTTACACACTTGTTTCTTATCTCAAAGCGCTTTATTCCTCGAATATTACCAAACCATTCCGGTAAAATAACAATATACCACTCCCTAAATACCCAAACAAGCATTGCTGGACTTAAAATGTAGCCATCTGTGAGAGGATCAGTTTTCAACAAAAGAAAAAAGTGTAATACGCCTCCAAAATATACAGGGTGTTCCTAAATATGATTTAAATACGAAAGAGGCTAATTCTTTGGCTTATTTTATGGCTAGAAGTTATAGATTTTAGGTTTTAGCCAACTTCACACTACAAAAACACATCAATAAAATCGACCCGGCAACGTTTAAAAATGGTCGCCAGAATGACTATTCCCTCCAAAAACTAACCAGATCTCGCTTAAATTTGAAATCGAAAAGTGACATTGTGATCAAATATCTAGGGCAGAAGAACAACGCCATAATCAAAAGTACAGTAGGGAAGGAACATAAAATAAAACAGTACAATGGCGTAATATGTTATAGCAAGTCTCTGCGTAATATGAATTCGCATTTTGAATAAGTCTTGATCAGTTATTGGAGTAATCAATAATATCGAATGAGCAATTTAGTGAAAATGTTTGTTTCATTAGATGGTTGATAATAAAGCAAGAATTGCATACACAAAACATGTTAAAAGCAAATTGCAAAACAAAGAACTGGCTGGAATCAAACAGGTAGAAAACAACGTACCTGTAGAACAGTGACTCATCTTGCAATAAAACTCTTCTGTTAAAAGCAAGATGAAAGTTTATATGGCCTTGGAGGGCAAATTCAATGTGGAAATTGTAGTGAATTGCAACTCAGATTCTACACCGGAAAGTTTTTGTGTTATTAGAGTTCGATGCGTGGAACCGGTACCAATATATGGACCCTCGTGCGGGACTTTTCAGTCTATAGTTGAGATTCGAGAACAGTCCCGGCATTAGGTGTCGTAACTAATCTGGTTACAGTTCTTCACCACTCCTGTGACTGTCTCTTCAAGGCGAAAAGTGTTAGTTTACAACAAGTCCATACTACACCCAGTCATACTTCAAACAATTCAATAATTTCCACATGTTTAAAAGAACGGTCAAAATTTATAAATTTAACTTGAGTCAAGACCATGTAATCAAAACAAACAGAATTTGAGTAACATTTACACCAAAAATCGGTTTCAAGTCAAAATTAACATTTATACATGCCTAAGCAAACCGAAACCTGCCGAGCTGCTTACTTGATTTAAAATTAGAATGGATTTGGGTAGCAGATGAACCTATATTATAGAGTAACTGATACAGCAGAAAAAATGTTGTTAGTATAATAAAATAATAAACAAATTGTTTACGAGCATTATTGGATTATGTTTATCCCATTCTTCTTATTTCGCAAATCGTCTTCACACAAAAAAAGGGGGTGGTAACTAAGAAAAGTGAAAACCTAATATTCAACAAATCTATATTAGCAATGGTAGTGGCCAGAAAACCGAGTTTAACTTCTAGCTGTGTGAATCGTAAAAAAATTATGGGTTCCAGTTCTCAGTAATTTTGTGTAAGAGAATAAACTTTTAAGAAAAACGAAATACTATCGTAAAAAAATGATATCAACAAATAGAGAATGTTCTGAAACATATTACTACCAAATATTTTGAAAGTAGTACCACAGTCTAATCAATAACTGTCAGTTACTTTGAATGATTGATCTTGGATTATTTTTAGGAATTTGTATAAGACATTTAACGTAATTATAATATTCCTAAAGGAACCGGCCTGTGAGAATCAATCGCATGACCCAATTCTTCCGAAGGTGTTTCCAATCAATGAATATTTCCAATAAAAGAAATTTGAAATCCCGTGTCAAAAAATTGTGCATGCGCAGACCCAATTCACTAATTTATGGGCAGATTTTCTTGAAATACAGGAAGGTGTTTGACAAAAAAAATAAATTACACGCACATCAAACAATTGAGTGTGTACCTATCCGCAGACAAAAAAAAGCAAGAAAATCACAGACTTACAATTCTTGTTTGTGATCCAGTTCTCAAATTTCCTCGGAATAAGATGTCTTCTATAAAAGCAAATTGAATTCACGTGGGAAAATACTCGGCCATTACAAGCGGTCAGTAAAAACACTAATTGATTATTTAAATTTTTCCAGATGTTAGACGTGGTAGTGGCTGAAATAGAGATAATTGCAAATTTTGAGGAAATACTAGTTACTTTCAATCCTCCTGAAATAAGATACGAGCAAAATATTGAGTAAGTATATAAACGCGCGCGCGTAAAATGTCCTAACAGAATTCAATTTGTAGGATTCATACCAGTCTCCAACAGAAATTCGAAGTTTGTTCCCATGCAAGTACAGACATGGCTTGCGAGTGGCAGGTTTCAAACCATAAAGTGATACGCGTGCATCCAACTTCCTTTGTACTAAAGTCAAAAGGCGTCTTCACATGTAAACTGAGAATTGTAGTGTGCCAATACGAAGACATTAACGAAACATTAACGTAAGACAATGGGGATCGCATTGATTATCAAATAAGTTATACAGCTTCAAGGTCGAGAAAGATTTGTATGTCAAAACCCTGGATGTGGTTGTAAAAGTAGTCAAGCCAAGAGCCGTATTTTCAACTATCATGCTCAATTTTGGTTCCGTACCGAAAGGTAAAAACGTGCCCCCAAAATTTTTCAGTGTTATAAATAAAGGGGAGGACAAGGTAGAATGGTTCATTTTGGAATGTTTCTATGATTTTAATAAGGGGAGCGTATTTTATAAAAATTCCTTAGAGCATTTATCTTCAAATAGAGGAGTGCTAGCGAAAGGACAATCGAAGAAAATCAGTTACACCATTTCACATCCGACGGTAAAATAAAAATTGAAATAAGGTACTTTTACTTGTATATTTTTAGGAGAACTGCAAATGGTTTTCTTTTCTTATCTTAGCATCCGCTCATCCGTCTTTAGTCACAATGGAGTCTATCATTTTAGTACTGTATGAAGTTGCCGAACCCCAACTTACACTTCATTGCAACTTGCCCAGTTTCCCCACCATTTTTCCAGGGAAGCTTTTGTACTTGGGATGCACATCTTCTTACTGTCTATGTGTGCATAACACTGATAGGAAACTGGCCGGTAGTTTTACTTTTGGTACTCCAAGAGGTTATCAAGCCAACTGTATCGAGGTGATCTTCAAGCCGAAATCTGGAATTATTCCACCAGAAAAGTGTACACATGTCCTGATGTCCCTGACTCCTCTCAAACCCGGAATAATCGAAGATGTACAAATTCGCTGTTTCTTGAACCACAACAGAAAACCAGCGATTCTTACAGTAATGTGTGTTGTCGACAATATCAGGTTAAATATTTATTTGCCGAAACAAAATGACGCAATGGAGAAAATAGTTTGGCCGTCTACATTGCAAGATTTACAAATATGCAATTCGAGTATTGCTGGCGAAGTGACCCTGGTAGCTAATCATTCAGAACTGTACGAGATCTTGGTATAATTTTGTAGAGTGAAGAAGGTTCCCCAAATCTAAGTGCTGAAAACCTTCAGTTAGATTTGGAAGTAGAATCAAATGGAACAGTCGAATTGTTGGAGGAAATGCACTTCAATTCTTCCGAATCGGATTTTCTTTGGGACACATTTGTAGATGAAGAAATGGACACAGATTCTCTAACACCGCCAACCGACATTCTTTTGCAAACATGCTTTGGTTCTAATTTAACATTGCACGAGCATGTAACGGAAGTGAAATTGGTGCCTGTGAAGAAACGTTAGGGATTTAGATTTACTGTAATTAATTCAGCATGCTTCGATTTTACAGTTGCAAAAACGACTATAATTATTGAAAATGTCACTCCAATTCCCAGTGCTGTAAGTGTCTGTGCCAAACGTTTCCTTTCCAAACCGACTGAAAGAACCAGAGAGAAGCTCTTCAACCAATTGCTTGTAGATTTAAAATTGAAACAGGGAGGTGAACACCTTTGCTTTGTTTCTGCATAATTTAGAGCGCCTTTCAGGTAATGAGTGGGAAGAGTTAGTTAACGACTACGGTATTGCGGTTAGGCCATCACCCCAATGCGCAACTATCGAGATTAAGACTCCGGTTGAAATTGATTTATGGATTTATGCGAACACTTGGGGTATTTATGTTGAGGAAATAGCTATCATGGTAGAAAGTATTGGGGTATTTACTTTTAATATGTTAATTGAGGTTGTTGGTTCTCCCATTGAGTTTCCGATGTCACTTAATTCCATACTGGATGAAACGGTTATGAGGTAAGTTGTCCGTAATAAAATGGTAGTTATATTATTGAGGTGGGTGGAGTGACAACTGCACCTTAGTAAATCGCAAAAATGTGCCATTTTGTGCACCAATCCAAGTTATGTGCGTCTCACTTCATTTCTGGAGAAAGTTGTATAGGGTGCACTTAATAATTCGTAAAATTTCACTCAAATTCAGCCTGTCGACAGCTATAACTTAAATCCCCATTGACCAATTTCCCATCTATTCAATCCCATAGTGTAGAAAAACAATGCTGCATAAACTAAACGTTTCCCATAACCTTAGACAATCACGCTATATCTCAAGACTCCAGAAGCAATTAAAAAGTCAGGACCATACTGGAAAGTACTGTTAAAGGAGGTTACATTTTAGGCAATATTTGTTATTCTCTCCTTAGCCCTATGTAATAGTTTTGTGCTGATCTGTCTACCCCTAATCGCAAGATTGGTATGACTTTCTTTTCAGATATCTAAAACTTTCAGGTTACGCATCACCTCTCATTGAGGGAAGAATTCGTTTTTTTTTTCGTGCTGAATTATGTGTCCACCTTTTCTTTATAGGCCGCATAATAGTCTTTTCCAAACTGCAAATGTTTTTCAGTGTCTTCTCCATAGGAAACGATGGGAGATGTTCCAAACGTGATGTATTTCATAATACTTTGTGATGGATGCACACAAAAGCACAAAATATGCACAAAAATGCTACAATAATTTGACGATTTGTAAAAGTGGGATGCTATAATTGAAGGGTGTCATTTATCTTTCTATAGGTTTGGAACCTTCACTTACCTGAGCGAACCGAAAAGTCGTATGTTAAAGATAAAAAATATTAGTACGATTCCAGTATGTTTAGTATGGCACATATTTTTCAAAACTGATTACTTTACCTCCTTCAATCTCCTTATGGATACCTTTGAATCTGATTTGAAATCGTGTGATGATGATGTTGAGGAGCTCTCGACTAAATTACTTATCACTAAAAAATATTACGGAAAGGAAGATCATAAAATTTTTCAGGTGAGTTGAAATATAGATTCTCCTTTTCATATTTTTGGATCTTGTCCTATAACTTAGTCCAGTCAAATAAGAAAAAATTAAAACATTAATCGGTAAAGATCTGAATTTTGGTACACATGTTCATTAGTGTTCCCTATTGGACATACTAAAAGTCCCCGTCAAAATCTGTTGCGCTCGAGGCGCCATCCTGGAAAAGAGGAGCACTTCTTCAGTTTATTGCCTATATATCGGCAACAATTATTGATACGGAAAAATAGTTCAGATAAAAAATATAGTTTATTAAATTGCCCATAAAAAAGCATATTAACATTTTTTTGTATGTCCAATACTTTAGCTATAATCCGATATCGAATAGGGAATCAAGTAGCCTGAGCTCTCGAAACAGTCGCGCAGATATTTTTTTACAACTTTTTACAAATCATTAAATTCATTGAAAATTCTACCAGTATTTCTTATATATGCGAAGTCGTCGCACCCAAGCTTGGTATGAGACACGTTTAATAAGGTTTCTCATAAAACTCTCTCTCAATAGAACTTCATCTTCAATGTGAGCACTGAGTGTGGACTGGGAGCCTTCAGTGTCCGAACAGAGTTAAGGTAATTCTGAAGGTCTGATAACGATGTCGGTTTTAATATCTCTCACTAGCAGGCACGTTATACTTATGCAGATAAGGGCGTTCTTCAGCTTCAGAAATCATTTCGTTGCTCCAACACTTTTACACATTTTCGCTTATCTTTTTGAAAAAAAATGTTATGTCATTGCTAGAATGCTGTATCGCACGACGATTCTGTTCATTATTTGGCTCTGTTACAGCTATCGGTGTAGTCATAAAAAAGACGGCCTCCTTCTAAAACTACGATACGGGGCCTAAACGCGTTCTGACATATTCAACGTGAGATTACAGCTAATGTACTGGAGATACAAAAAAATGTAAATACTCTTTTTTATAGGGAATTTAGTAAACTATATTTTTCATGTAAACTATTTCTTCGTATCAGTAATAATTGCCGAGACATGGGCAAAAAACTGGAAAAGTGTACTGTTTTTCCAAGATGGCGTCTCGAGCGCAACAGATTTTGACAGGGACTTTTAGTATGTTCAATAGAAAGTCCCAATAAATGTGTATACCAAAATTCAGATCTTTACCAATTAATGTTTTTATTTGTCCAAAATTGCACTAATTTTACTGGACTAACTGTAATATGTACAGAATCAGATACAGATCGTTACATAGATTACTTGGGTAGATTTTTGCACTAGCAATATAGAGGTAGGCCGTATAAAAATTGATGTAATTGAGTTTGAAGTAATTGCCAAACGGATTTTTACCGACATTAAAACGCAAGATTTTTTTAAATATCAACATGAACGTCCGAACGCAAATGCTAAAAAGTAATGTTATTTTTGTTTGTTTTTGTTGTTGTTTTCTATTTATGTAGTGTAGTAGGTTGTTGTAGCTCCCCAAGTAGCACGCAATATGGAAGCAATAATGGCTATAAACTGGCGCAACATTGACTTCATATTGTATTTTTATATTGCGCCAACATAGAATGTGAACGTTTTTAAAAATTGGGCCAATATAGTTAACAATATTGGTTCAATGTCACTTACAATATAAAACCAATACTGTTATACTACATTGGCCCGATCTCATAGTTACAATATCGGGGAAATATTGCAGCCTACATCGGACCAATATAGGATGTAAATGCTTTGTAAACATGGGCCAATATTGTTGAACTATATTACCACAATATAGAATGGATATATTGGGCGAATAATGTAATCTAACCAACACCAACATAGAATTTGAAAGCTATTAAACCTTGATTCAATATTTTCTCACAAGGCCGAATCAATAATGTTGGACGATATTAAACCAGAGGTTCTAGGTATGTAACTGTACAACATAATAAAATATCAGGTAAATTGAAAAGCGTAGGAAAACGGAATATCGAATTTATTCTGTAAAGAAAGAAAATGATGTAAAACTAAAGATGTTACAATTAACGATTTATACTTTTCCCTTTCCTTGCGACCCCCGTCCTATTCTGCAGCAGATGCGAAAGTCCCACTCACAAGACCCAACAGCTTGGAATGTATTCTTAACTGTAACTAAACAATATCAAAGATTAAAAAATTACTTATGAAAATTGATATAATATCTGGTTATTAGCACAAAATCTACTTCGTGCCTACATCTAAATGTTTATGCAAGCATTACCAAACCAAAAAACTTAATCTTATAAGATAATACCTATATAATAGGTACTTACCCTTTATTCTCAGTTTCTCACAGGATGCACAAATAAAGAAAGTCACCAAATACTCGCTGACAATACTAACACTTGCACATCTACAAATACAAAATGAAATGAAGTGCATTCATAATCACACAGATCACGTAAACAAGTATGTCACCGTGGTGTAGGTAGATATGCTTAATGGCGTGCTTATGCAGCGGTGCGCAAACTCTCCGAAATGATGCTATACTTAAAAGTGCTGTCTCATGTTTTTAATTACATAAAGGCCCAAGATTGTGCCCATATATTTTTTCCTATATTGATTAATACAATATAGGCCCAATGTCGATAATATCAATATAATAAGATATCGAATTCAAACATTAGACCAACATTGCGCCAATATTGTTTTATTCTATGTCGATTAAAACAACATAGGTCCAATACCGACAATATCGATATAATAAACATATTGACTATACAATATTAAACCAATATTGGAAACATACGTGTGAGACTACATTGACTGACCAACATTGCGCGTATATAGTTTTTTTGTACATTGATTTAAACAATATATGTACAACGTCGATATAAACAATGTTGGTTACATAACGTTAAACCAATATTGAACCATTATTAGAAATATCCATATAACATTATATTGGTTATTCCAGATTGCGCCCATACCAGAATTATCTATATAGAATTATATTAGATATTCTATATTGATCCAACATAAACTTTTAAAATGTTGGATTTACAATATATGTCATATATAGGTGTAACATTGATGATGTTCCATATGAAATTTACAGAGATTTTAACATGTAGGTCCAATATAGAAAACGATATGCAATATTGCGCCAACATATTTATATTGGGCCTAGATATCCCCTTTCTAATGCCAAGATTATGTGCTACCTGGGATCCCTTATAGTAGGAGCGCAGACAATGCTGGTTGCAGCCTCTGAAGGGGGCGCAGGAGCGAGTTATGTTTAGTCAAAGAGTATTAAGTATTCTTTGGTTTAGTTGTAGTTGCTGATTGTAGGTATGAATTTAAGGAGCTGTGTTTAAGGAGTCATATCTTTATATTGTCGTTAACAAACGATTATTGTAGTAGTAACGACTTGACTTTGAACAACAGCTGTATTCAGTATCACTTGCACCGAAAATAGAATCGTTTGCTGATCATTACGAATTGAAAAGAGAAGGTTAGGCGACACTTAAAATGGCAAAGTTTTTCCGATCACAATAGATTGAAATAGATAGATAGGTCAGATTTCAACAAAGAGAGAGATGCGGAAAGAGATCAAAGTTCGGAGTCACTTAATAGTACGTAATATCACCCTCTATTATAACTGGGAGTCGGTGAAGGGGGTTGAAAATGTTGAAGAGTGTAAGAATACAATGTGGCATCAGTACCTCTCAACATTGCACGTTGGAAAAGAACGATATTGAAGAACTGTTTAATTTCAAAGGTATAATCAACTATCGATTTGATTTACTGGAATCATACACTGGTCCTGTTTCTATCAAGATTTGAACGAACATGTTATTAACTACCGTCACTTTCGTAAAATGGAGTTTGGTGGCGAGGAGGAGGAGTACGACGACAACATCTATCGCGATATTGAAGATGTGCTAAGCTATAACAAGGCGGTTGCAGATTCGTTAACGGTCTTTCAAAGCGCACGTTTTGATGAAACCGTAATTAATCCGATATTCACACCTATTCCTCACACGGAGAATCTTCGAACTTTGGGTTTTCCAGTGCACCGGTAGCTTGGTAGGTGGGTTGGGTTGTTGAAAGAAGATGGCAGGACGAGTTGGCTTTATTTTTGATTTTACAAACTAAAAGTTTTAACACATTAGTGTAACTATAATGACCTGAAAAATTCATACCTAAACCAGGCGCTGGCGTGGAATAATTAAAAATTATTTTGACCAAAACCACAAGGCTTTAGAGTGCGTAAAATTTTGCTCTTAATTGTGCTACGTTGCAATATAAAATATCAAATTCCCTTTCCTCTAACCTTTCCAGCGCCTGCTTTCACTACGGCAAAAACAAGTTTGCACATTCGGGCAATACCCGCGTATTTTTGAACTTTACATTTTAAATTACATTACCTTTAAATGAAGTTTCTGCTACACCAGTGAAATCCGAATATTAATTCAAAATCAAGAACTGATAACCGCCACGTACGGGTACGAGTTGGGAGGACAAAAAGTGGACGTGTCTAGGAATCTTGGAATTACATCCTCACTCAAAGGATACGTATCGTATACGTCTACCGAAAGCAAAGGTATGCAGCATTTGGGATGGTCACCTACAAACGAATCCGTTCAAGTAGATTACAACAAGAGCAACATAGAAAAACATTTCGCTGTATGTATACCGCTAAAGCACAAGCCAAGTTCTGCAAACATGCGATAAGAATTGGTGCTAGAAGCGATTCCGACTGTTACCGCCGACGATGCAGTAATAACGTTAAATACAATTTAATGGAAAGTTCCGCACGCGACGTTTAGCGACTGTGCCAAAATTGGCCTATACGAACGGATCAATAAGAGTGCAACAATTATAAGACAGGCACGGGCACAATCGGATTATGGCCAATCAAGACCTCAACCCAATCAGAAAACACGCGATGGGCAATTGTGGCATTTCAACGTAGCGGGATAAGTTTTCGCATGAGGCAAGAGCGGGCGGTTTCGATAACGTGAAAATTCGAAATCTTAAACTGCATCTTAAGTCTGAAAGTTATCCGTACGAAGCGATGCACTTAAATGTTAATGCAAATAAGTACATAACAGCATACCAAAACTACGTAAACTTTCGACTAGATTAGTACGCAAAGGACTATTTGTATTTTAAAAGTTGCCCAATATTTGTGCTGGACTGTTCGAGACAAAACGAATCTCTGAAGCATTCGACGGTTAAGCTGGAAATTTCGCCCCCTAAAATGAAGGTAGTGACACAGGAGAATAGGCTGCCCATTCACAATCTGGATAACCCCAAATGTAGAGCGGAAAAACATGGCGAGTTATTTCCAAACAATGTAAGATGCTTAATCTGCGGACCGTCCAGTTGCGGTAAAACGAACACGATGCTCAGTCTGCTAACTGAGCCCAACACGTGTACGTCTATTCTAAATCGCTAAATCAGGACAAATATAGGGAAATTTTGCAACCGATGAAGGATATCGGCTTCTTCACATTTAGTAAGAACGCAGACATGGAACTCAATGCGACCAAACCTAATTCGGTTTTTATCTTTGACGATATCGCTTGTGAAAAACAGGATAACTACTCATATAATAAACATGTTTAACGCTGCACTCGCACTTGCGCAAAGGTAAACTTCTTATTTGTCGACCGAAAACTGCGCGTACTTTCAACAAATGGTGCAATGCTCATTAATCTAGTCACCCATGAAATTAGTAACGTTTTACTTCAAGTTCGCGTACTACTGACAATTCATGGCTGACTAGATTAATGAGTATTATTGAACGTTGTTGAAATACACCCACGCGCAGGTTTTTTGCGGTTTTCCGATGCAAGAGTATACTATACATTTTTAAAAGAGAATAAAACACTTGCTCTTTTGTTTTAAAAAAATAAATAAAACAAAAATTGAAAAATATAAACTTGAAATATTTTTGATTAAATAGATATATACGATATTCCATATCTACTTTTCGAACACCTTGTATAAAAATATAGGCTAAGCGCGTAGAGGTCGCCGTAGTACATGTAACGACAACGACTATACTTGTTCCATGAGCACAAATGTTTTTAAATTAAATTACATGATATCTTTAAACAATCACGCAAATGACGGCTTGTATTATACAGGGTGTTTTTTAAAGATGGGCCATAGAAAGCACATACCTTTCATACACCATAACCGTAGGTGTGTGCAATGGAAAGGCATTGAGTTATTTAAAATGGGCCATACATTGCGCCAATTGTTCTCAAATTTTGGCCTTGCGGTTAGTTATTTCACTGACAATTCTCGATCTCAATCCTTCAAACTGCATCAACAAAGCAGCAACATGTATTCCGCCATTCGAAAAGGTGTTCATGTAGTACAATTTGTACAAGAGTGGGCGCAGTAGCTGAGTGGTATGCCAGCTATTCAGTGCCGAGTATCGGGTATTGTTTGGTTGCCGGTGGAAAACAATTCGAGTACCGATTGTAATTTTATACGTTTATATCTGATTTGAATAAATTTGTTGATTTAGAAACAATTTCTACAGTACGGTGGTAGATGATTCGCGAGGAAGCTATGACTGAAACAATTGATGCCATGTAGGTAAATTTCCCTAGGCCCATTTTAAATAACTCAACGCCTTTACATTGTCGTATGGCCCACCTTAAAAACACACTGTATGTATAATATGTCTTCTTCAAAAGGTTACACCTCGCTGTATAAGACTGAAGCCGAAGCAATCGAAGATGATTACAATTACACATGATCCTCGGCATTTTCCAGTGAAATTTGAAAAAACTGACATCGAAGCCGACCTCCTGGGATACGTACATTTAAAAAAAGACCATAAGTAACACTTTACCCGTAACTTACATTGGCTAATGTAAAAAGATTTCAAGATGACTTGTTCTACCGGAAGTCTGATACGGAATCAACCCCAGTCAATGTGAAATTGCTTACCACACTGGAACTGCCACTGCTGCAGCTACAACTGTTGCAAGGTGACATGACAGTTACTGCATATGCTAGTGATATTATTGATAAGCATGAAGTACAGTACGAAAAAACACTCATCTTTAGAAACATTCACGACACAGCTGCAACAGTTTCAATGAATATTGAGAAACCGTTCAAAGTCTTGCAGTTATCTACAGTCGAAGCCGAAACTAGCGAACATTGCCCCGCAATCTTAATCAAACCTGGCGACTGCCTACAGGTAGGTTCCCAATTTTTGAACGATATCTTATCCATTTCTCCAAAGGTGCTAATCGAGTGCGTAGTTGACGTCGAATATGTACTATTTTACGCCGATGCGTTGTTTAACAATAAGAACTCGACCAACTTCGAGTACTTCAATCAGGACGAAAATTCTGTTACACTCGAACAAGACCTAAACATTAATCAACTTGGTGTACAGAAACAGGTAACACATGTAATATACCGTTGTTCTTTAACTAGCAATTTTTTACAGGTAACAAAAATGAAATTCATCCTTTACTATCCTGATCTACACATATCTCAAGAAACGGTTAACTTTCAACTCGTTTACATTGGCAACACCAAAATGGCGTTATTGATGTTGTCGAACACTAAAGGTATTTATTTCGTAATGGGCGAACAATTTGACAATGTCTGTTGATAATTATAGGTACACATTTACACTTTAGCATCATCAAGTCTATATTAGACAGTCCATTTAGGATTGTACCAAATAAGGGAATTGTTCCTAAAGCTGAAGGAAGGACTCTTTCTACAGTAACGTTAAAAATTTATTTTTCTCCCAGGTAAGTTTTTGATTTTGAAGATTGGGCGCGCACTTCAACATATACCTCCCAATTTTTCATTGGTGGGGTTAAAAATTAAAAATGAAACGCAAATTTGAGATGTTTGGGAGGAGGGGGGTAGCTTTCAAATGATTCATTTTGAACATTCGGTTTCTTCGGAAAACACTTTTGTTATCAGCCAATTTTTACTTTGAACGGAACTACATTTTTGCTTTTCATGGGCACTGAAAAGAAAAAATGAGTGTGGCAATCAAAGTGTATGGTGAAAGCTTAGTCTTAACTTCAAGAGCCTTTTTTTCTTATGTCAATTAAACTCCTAAAAGATATCCTCTATGTGAGAAGTAAAAGTGTACATTACATATAAGCTAGAGCTATATATTGATATAGGTATATGATCACTTTGTTGGATATATATTGAGAATATAGTGATGCACCTATGTTTATAAGTACCATTGGACTTCTTACCACCATAATGACTTGAATTATTTTTAGCGAATCCACAACCTACCATGAAGAAATTAACATACTGAGCAACATTCCTTTCCTCTCGAAGAAGGTGACCTTAACGGGAATAGGAACCCACAATGAAAAATTCTACGAAGAAGGAATATAAAATATTTTGTTCTATACTTTAATAAAGAGCGCATAAAAAAAACCAACCGAATCTACATTATTTGGCCCAAATCGCTGTACATACAAACGTTCGGTTTCGGAGAGAGTGGTTCCAAAGAGGCCTGGTCCGCCTAAGGTAGGATCAGGTTTTACTAATCGTAAATCTCCGAATGTCCTTAATGCCCACGCGACCATTGCTTCGTTTTCCGCCAAGGTAATCGTGCAAGTACTGTACACCAAGTAGCCGTCCTTTTTCAGCAAGGGAACAGCCTAAAACAGACAAAACACCCGTTAAAATGACCTTTTCCGTTAAAATTTGACCGAAGCGAGAGAAATGTTCTACAAATAAGATATGTCTAAAAATTCCCCAACCTTGTAAAATAACCATATACGTTTTATGAGTTTAACGCAGTCATTCAGAATTGAATTAAAGACCTGATGTATAATATGAAACTAAGCAGATGGTATAGTTTTCAAAGTACTAAGTAGTTTACTAGTTACGTCCGGGCGAAATTCGTACCGTCTTTGGGAAATCCCGTTTTTTCCCGTGTCCCGTTCCCGTGGGAACTTCGGGAAGTTCATTCGGAGTACACCTCCAAAGAAACCTACATTGTCAAATCTGTTTTCAACTGTAAAACATAAATAACCATTTTTTCCTGTTCCCGTTCCCGTGGGAGTTTCGGAAAAGTTTTTTACTAACTCAGAAACTTTCGCGGGTATACGTCCAACCATTCGGCATTACCCAAAGTTTCATCACAATCGGATGAGCGGTTTAGGTAGGCATAAGAGACAGACATGACAAACTTTCATTATTATTTATATTAATAATTATAGACCCGGCGAACCTCGCACGAAAACGCCAATGGCCATTGTGCGTGCTCGT